AAGAAAAAAAATATTCTGTGCAGAGCATGCAAGCAAAGCGAGAGACGCTTACATGGCTTCTCTCCCGCAGCTGTAAAAGAGGAGGAGGAGACACCGGGACAGGTGCTTTGCTTGCTTTACAGCGAGGCGGGAGGAAGGATGGGCAAGCACTTAAGAGAGAATATTATGAAAATGATTTACAGGTGGTACATGACACCAGTCAAGCTTGCAAAAATCTATCATTTGCCCGATAATAAATGTTGGAAATGTAAAGAAACTGAAGGTACATTCTTTCACCTTTGGTGGACGTGCCCAAGGATTAAGGCTTTCTGGGAGATGATCTATAATGAAATGAAAAGGTATTCAAGTATACCTTCTTGAAGAAACCAGAGGCCTTTCTCCTGGGCATAGTCGGCCAATTGGTGCTAAAGAAGGATAGAACTTTCTTTATGTATGCCACAACAGCAGCAAGAATACTTATTGCAAAGTATTGGAAGACACAAGATTTACCCACACTGGAAGAATGGCAGATGAAGGTGATGGACTATATGGAACTGGCGGAAATGACTGGCAGAATCCGAGACCAGGGAGAAGAGTCGGTGGAAGAAGATTGGAAGAAATTTAAAGACTATTTACAGAAATACTGCAAAATTAATAAATGTTAGAATGATGTTGGATTGAAGTTAAGTGGTTTTTAGCAGCAATGTTATAAAGGAATATGTAAAAATGGATTGTTAATAGGTGATAATTTAAAGTTATAATATATTAAGATAAAAGATTAAGATGAAATCAAAGAGGGAAAGGATTTGCTGAATTAATTAATTTGAATTGGAATACAAAAAAGGGAGGTGTGAGGAGGTCGGGGAAACAAGCAAATGAAACATAAGACATGTAAAGACTAATCTGTTTTTTAATTGTTTTTATCTTGTATTTTCATTTTCTATTTTTCTCTCTTTATTTTTTCTTTCTTTTTTTGCTTATTTTTGTAATAAGTTGAAATTTTAATAAATATCTTTTAAAAAAAAAAAGGAAGGATGGGCAAGCAAAGTGAGAGCTGCGCAAAGCAGGACAGAAGCCATCTAAGCGGCTCTCGCTTTGCTTGCTCCCGTCTGTCCCTCCTCCTGCTTCGCTGAGAAGCCAGCAGAGCAAGAGCGATAGCTGTGCAGCGCTTCTTGTTCTGCTGGCTTCCCAGCAAAGTGGGATGAGGGACGAAAGGGAGCCCTTACACGGAGCCCCTTCCGTCCCTCGGAGGGCAGCCCGTCTGTCCCTTCTCCCTCCTGGGGGAAAAGCCAGCAAGAGCCACACACACACTCCGCGCGGCTCTTTAAAGGGAGCGCTGAGCAGAGCCTCCTGCCTGCATTCGCTCCATAAGACGCACACACATTTCCCCTTACTTTTTAGGAGGGAAAAGGCGTGTCTTATGGAGCGAAAAATACAGTATATTCCAAACTAGATACATCCAGTGTGCTCCTGCTACTGGTCTGTGAAGCTGTGTGCACAAGATGACAGCCACAATGCACATCTGTCCCCTTGTTTTATGCTGTGGCATGTTGATGCATCCCTCCCACCTCCCGAAAATGGAAGGCATCCATGATTCCACTCTGCCAGGCAGCAGGTGGCTCGGAAACACGTTTAACTGGACTGATGTGTACAATGCTGTGCGAATGCAGCACATGGGGGAGGGGTGTACGTGACCTTGCTGCATTCGAAGCCAATAATGGGTACACAGCCTCAGCATACAGAAATAATTAGTGAGTTTAGTCAGCTGTAGGAATGGTCCATAGCTGTCAACTTACAGATTTGAAAATAAGGGACCAGCAGCCTTGAAAATAAGGGACCAGCAGCCAAAATAAGGGACCTGCAGCCTCACCTGTTCCAGGCACTCCAGTCTTCCTGTCCTCCTGCATTCTGGTCAAACTCATGCTGGTAGCTTCGAGAACACTGTCCAACCAACTTTGTAACCAGAGGTTCAACTGAATAGAATCTGAATCACATGCACCACAGGGCCTATGCAGCCTCAACTTAAGATGGCTCCCCGGCCTGGCTTTGCACTGCAAAGTTTGCAGCAGCCCGTGCAACAAAATGGCGTCCAGCATTCAAAAACCTCCTCAGCTTGCATTAACTAGCCACACACAAGGCATGCAAGCTCCACCCCCCAGTCGTTCTTAGACTTCTTATTGGGTGAGCAACACAGCCAAGCAACACAGTTGGAGCCTCCCTCCTCCCTGGCCGGCAGGGAGGGAGGGAGAGGAGCTGCTTCCTTTGAAATTTTAAGGGACATCATTTAAGGGACATTTAAGGGACATCCATCAATAAGGGACAGCAGCGGGACATGGCGCTGGAATAAGGGACTGTTCCTTCAAATAAGGGACACTTGACACCTATGGAATGGTCACATGTTCTGTGAAATGTATGAGGCTCCAAAAACCCTTAGCTAAATCAGACTACTTGGAGGGCACAGGAATGGCAACAGCAAATATCAGGGAGCGCATCGATACGAACATGCACATATAGTCTACTTACACTGTGATAAGTAGGTACCCAAGGAACTACACCTGCCCCAGCTACTTATAAAAGTACAGAGCACTGTTGCGCTGTACCTTTCTCCTGAGTGATGCTGCCAATTTGAGGTATGCTATCTCAGGATCTTTCTCTCCCCCTCCCCATAAATGACTTTTCCTGTTTGGTTCTAGCTGCTCTCCTCTCCAGCAGGATCCATATTTCAAACTGCAGGGGTTAAGCAAAGCGGCCAATTTCCTCTGACTAATCGAGCATGCAATTTGCCTGCTTGTATTTGGGCAAGAGGATTTATTACACCCAGCGACAATAAATGTTCCGAGCACTCTTATGGGGCAGACCTGTGCCGCAGTTCATTAACTTAAAAGGGGGAGGATGCTGAAGTACTATTTCTATTTTCGGGCTACTCTGTTTCAAGTTCATTGTGTATTTACAGCTCCCCGGGCAATAAAATGCTTGAGAAGTCCACACCAGAAACTAATTTTGCGTGAGTGTTGCTAACTGTGTGGGAGGCTGTGCTTTCCCCCCTTCTCTCACCTTGAAGTGTTAGTGTTCCCAGCACTCTGGTTTTTCACAGAGAAGCCTGTCATGCTAAAACTCAACTTCCTTGCTCCAAGTTAAATGCTCTGGAGTTCGCCACTGACAAACTGTTGAATCTGAACACGGAATGGGCCTATGATTTCACCCACGCATCCGCAAATGATGTTGAAGTTTGTATCTAACCCACTTTTTAAAAGGTGCTCAAAGTAACCAAAATCATAAAGGTAAAAAGAAGAAGAAATGGATCAAATCTGTTGTTGTTGTTGGCATCCGTCTGTCTTGAGAAACAATGGAGTCCGCCTCCGGGGGTGAAGTCAAACCTCTGTGTTAGCAGCACCGAAGTAATCTTCCTTTTTTTAAATAATTTTCATTGATTTTAACATACAAATTATAAAACGTACCACGCAGTTTAACACTTATTCAAACTTATTGGACTTCCATCAGCACCTCTGATGATCCTCCGTCTTAATCACTTCTTATGCATTTCTTAACTTTATATTGCCTTTACATCTCTTAACATATCATCCCCCCTTCTCCGTTTTTGCAATACTTCCAATAATACTCCTCACAAAACTTCTTGCAAACCTACAAACGTTGTCTGATCGTCACAAATACTTTTCAAATATTCCGTAAATTTACTCCAGTCTTCGGTAAACTTCTGGTCCCGCTGGTTTCGAATCCTTCCTGTTAGTTTATCTAATTCTGCATAGTCCATTAACTTCATCCTCCATTCTTCAATCGTTGGTAATTCTTCTTGCTTCCATTTTTGGGCCAATAATATTCTTGCTGCTGTTATCGCATATTAAAAAAACTTACATTCTTTTCTATTTATATCACTTCCAACAATGGCCAATAGAAATGCTTCTGGTTTCTTTACAAATGTATATTTCAACATTTTTTTCAACTCATTATAAATCATCTCCCAGAAGCATTTCACCTTTTTACATTCCCACCACATGTGATAAAATGTTCCCTCTTTTTCTTTGCATTTCCAACATTTATTACTAACTTTATACATTTTCGCTAGCTTAACTGGTGTAATATACCATCTATACATCATTTTCATCACATTTTCTTTTAGGGCATTGCATGCAGTAAATTTTAAACCTTCTTTCCATAATTTTACCCATTCACTCAGCTGTATATTATACCCAAAATCTTTGGCCCAGTGAATCATAACCGACTTTACCAGCACCGAAGTAATCTTCCATGGTGCACAAGGCTGGGCAGTGTGTGTGGAGGTCCTGGGCTGCCCAGATGACAAGGTTCCCTTCTCAGCCTCGCTGATGTGGTCCAAAGGAAAGCAGAGCAATACATTGAGCACCATCTTGACTGCAGGAGTTGCCAGAAGGAGGCGTACAAGGCCCCATCCAGCTGTTTTGGGGACTCCACTCCAGATTTGTGTAGGGTTTACTCCAGGGGTCAGCAACCTTTTTCAGCCGTGGGCCGGTCCACCGTCCCTCAGACCATGTGGTGGGCTGGACTATCTTTTGAAAAGAAAAAAAAGAACAAATTCCTATGCCCCACAAATAACCCAGAGATGCATTTTAAATACAAGGACACATTCTACTCATGTAAAAACACGCAGATTCCATGACCGTCTGCAGGCCAGATTGAGAAGGCGATTGGGATGCATTCGGGCCCCAGGCCTTAGGTTGCCTACCACTGGTTTACTCCATAGCCTTTCCTTCTCCTGAAGATATCCCACAAGGCAGTAGAGGTTTAAGATCAAAGTTTTCCTTCTCCTAGATGGACGACCTTCCTAGGTTGATGAGTCCCATCTGAAAACACACAAAACCATCTGAAAACAACAGGACAGCTGTCAGGTAAAATACAAGCAATAATAAATGATTTCTGGCTGGGTAATGTAACTGGAAAGAAAAGAGAGGGACTTTCCAGAGGAGAAAATTCAATAGCGGGGGGCTGCTACTGGAAAGGTCCTGTTTCATTTTTTTTATTGTTTTAGGACAGCATTCTGTTTCATTGTTTTAGGACAGCATTTTCCAATCTGGTGCCCTCTAGATGTTGTTGGATTACAACTTGCATCACCCCTGGCCATTGGCTATGCTGGCTGGAGCTGATGGAGGTTACTGTCAATTAACATGTGAAAGCCACATGGTTGGGGAAGGTTTGTCTAGGAACATATTCAAGATCACTTGATCTTTTAATATGTTTTAATGGGGATCCTTCTGCTGCCCTGTAATCTGTAGTCCACACTTTTCCAAATTACATATGAATACTCTCCCAGCATTCACACAGGCATGGTCCACGCAGCTGCCTTTGTAAATTTCCAAAGAGTCTCCTTCATAGCTGGCTATGACATTGTGTTCTCCATCCTAAAATTGGTGCAGTACAAACAAGGACCTTCTGCCAAATATGTTTAGTAGTATTCTAGATTTGCCCACGGTTAGGGAAATGGTGGCTATCACAGCTTGACCATGTGCTGATTCATGTGTCCTACTTTGCAGAGGACAGTCCTCTGTTTCAAGGTATCTTCTATTTAAAAGGCTGTTGAGTCAAAGTCTGATTCAAAGGTAAAAATTCCATTAGAAGGGAGAGCAGGGACCTTGAAGTTGCCCATGAGTTGTATGAACCTGGATAGCAGACTGAGCAAGCACACGGATTGCCTAGTCAGTTTCCCCCACTGCAGTGAAATGCAATACAGTTCTATTTAAATTAGAGGCATTACTCGTACATTTGCAGGGATATGTATGAATTAGCATATGCAAATTTCATGCAAATCTTTGCCTTATTTTGTCCTGCTTGTTTCCTTTTCCCTTTTTTTGCAGAGCAAAAGTAGTCATTCCATAACTATGAAAAATAGACACTGATGGTCTGGTCTGGTCTGGTCTTGTCTGTATAATCGCATTTTGATCTGCAGATATCAGCACATAGTGGTTTTTCATTTGCTGATTGTCTGCAGAACAGATTGTTTTGAAAGACACAGAAGCAGGGGCCAATAAAAGCTTCCATGGAGAAGCTGCTGTTGGCTTTCTGAATTATGGAAAAAAGTGGATGAAACCCAATTTTGGAAAATGCACAGGTAGCTATAGAAGAGATCCATGTGTCAAAGAGACCCTACAGTCTATATTGCAAAAGAATAGGAAATGAAACTCTCTGGGTGAAATAATTTTAATCCACATTGATTGTGGGAAATTCAGACTTGGCAGTCATAGCTGTTCTGGATTACCATTCACCTTGTTAGCTAGGAGTGCTGGTGCCATTGGATTGCTCAAGAACAAGCTTTGGTTTGGCAAAGGGAAACTAAAATCAACCCACAATTAGCAGCATGATCATGCACAAAAATGGTGGCATTTGAATGCTTAGTCAGAACATAGCATGTACTGAAACAAGAAATTAAATTGTAATCAAGCTTGGTTTGAATTACAAAAATATTAAAGATCATTAGACAGAAACCTATTATCAGAAACCTATTATTCAGGCATTTAAGAACTTAATAGATTCAGGCATTTATAACCCTAATAGATTTGACATGCGGACTTTCTGATTTCAAGTTTTGACAACTTTTGTAACATAGAAACAGATTGCTTTTAGACACAGATTGTGTAGGGATAAATATAATATTTGGAATCCATTTATAAAAGTATAATGTCGTGTTAATAATGTTGCATTTAATGGAATAATTCTATTACCTGTATGCCCATATACTCTTATCATATCACAATTTCAATTTTGGGTGTTTTTTTCCTCTTTTTCTTTTATTCTTTCACATTACTCCCTCACTGAAAACTTTTAATAAAAATATAAACCTTACAAGTTTTGATGGCATTGCTGATTCTCATTGTATCAATGTTGTACCGCAGTGGCCTATTGCTATAATTAATCAAAATAATTATTTTACAAACTATACACAATTTCCTGTAGATTATATAAAAGTCCAGCATGCCACATCTTGGTATGCACTGCCATCTGGTGATAGTATTTTATGCAGGGTTGCCTTTTAAAATTGTTAACCGGTAGCACTCAAATTAAATAAAAAATGTTTCTTTTAAAAAAGGTAATTCAGAGTTATAAAATTAACCCCTGATAATAGAGAATAAATTCTCCCGCAGCAACAGTGCATTATCAATTCACTTGCATCCAACAGATGAGGGGAAAGCCTTGATTCAGGCACAGAGGATGGCCCATGAGGGTAAATGGGCAGTACATGAGAAGCCTTAAGTCTCCTGGCAACCACCACCGAGGGTGGCTCCACCTGTATATATTTTCTTCATAACTATATCTCTTTGCATATCCTTTTGTATATCCATTGGCTTTCTATTTTAAGTTAGGTTCACAGTGACTGGCATTATATTTTAAGTTAGACCTTGCAGGGAGTGTGAGATGTGAGAATGCCATTCTGCTTTTCCTTATGGAATATTATGTCAGTTAATAAAGCTTCCCTCTGATACCCAACAGTCTGCCTGCCCTCCATTGATGGAGCTCCAAGGAACATTTCTGCTTGCTTGGTGGTTGCTACTGGCCAGATGACCACTAGCCGGCGAGACATATGCCCTGCCCCGCCGCAAAATCCTCGAAAACTCTTTAGAACTGAGTGTGAGCACAGAAGCTTCACTTCTAGATTATGTAAGAATGAGAGACCCAGGGTGTATGCTTTGAATTACCGTATTTTTCGCCCTATAGGACGCACTTTTTCCCCTCCAAAAATGAAGGGGAAATGTGTGTGCATCCTATGGGGCGAATGCAGGCTTTGCGCACCTCTCCGCAAGCAGTGGGAGCCCAGCGCTGGGCTCCCACTGCTTGCGGAGAGTTGCCTGCATGCTGAAGCCTATGCGCGCTGAGCTCAGCGCGTCTAGGCTTCGCGGACCTCTCCGCAAGCAGTGGAAGCGCTCCCGCTGCTTGCGGAGAGTTGCCCGCATGCTGAAGCCTGTGCGCGCGGAGCTCAGCACGTCTAGGCTTCGCGGACCTCTCCGCAAGCAGTGGAAGCGCTCCCGCTGCTTGCGGAGAGTTGCCTGCATGCTGAAGCCTGTGCGCACTGAGCTCAGCACGTCTAGGCTTCGCGGACCTCTCCGCAAGCAGTGGAAGCGCTCCCGCTCCTTGCGGAGAGTTGCCTGCATGCTGAAGCCTGCGCACGCTGAGCTCAGCGCGTCCAGGCTTCGCAGACCTCTCCGCAAGCAGTGGAAGCGCTCCCGCTGCTTGCGGAGAGTTGCCTGCATGCTGAAGCCTGCGCGCGCTGAGCTCAGCGCGTCTAGGCTTTGCGGACTTCTCCGCAAGCAGTGGAAGTGCTCCCGCTCCTTGCGGAGAGTTGCCTGCATGCTGAAGCCTGCGCGCGCTGAGCTCAGCGCGTCTAGGCTTCGCGGACCTCTCTGCAAGCAGTGGAAGCGCTCCCCCTCCTTGCGGAGAGTTGCCTGCATGCTGAAGCCTGCCCGCGCTGAGCTCAGCGCGTCCAGGCTTCGCGGACCTCTCAGCAAGCAGCGGGAGCCAGCGCTGGGCTCCCACGGCTTGCAGAGAGCTCCATGTTTGGGGGCTGGGGTCCGCCCCAGCCCCGTGCCTGGGGGGGAAATAATTTATTTCCCTTTATTTCCCCCCCAAAAAACTAGGTGCGCCTTATGGGACGGTGCGTCCTATAGGGCGAAAAATACGGTAGTTACGTTTCAAATACTGGTGGCATTTAGCGTTTAGAAATATAGCACGCATCGCTGAATAGTTTTTACATGCGGTTCCTGTGTGCCTATTATTTTATAACCCCTGGGCTATATCCAAGAAACCCTATCCAACCCTGAAAGGATGTTGTTCCAGTTAACATCGGAGTGCAAATCGAAACATATCCTCAAAGCTCCCGGGGAGATAGAAGCGAGGGAAGTGAGATAAAGGAAGGCAGATCAACATCCTGCCCAAGGCCTAGTTGCGAGGCGATAGAAATGTGGCATTTGAGACCATAATTGCAAGGGAGCAGAAGGCCGTAAGGAGCCATACACCGGTTTACCAACCCATGACCTGCAACCTCTTGGTGTATGAAGGATGTTTAAGAATGATGTTTTTATGATGTGCTACGCCTAGAAAAAAAGAAACCCTTGTTCTGATGCTCCTGGCGGCAGACCTTCTTTCTTAACTGGCTAGAACAAGCTCCTTAGGTCCCTCCTGGATGCTGGAATTTAATACATTTCCTTGGCTCCTTCCACGTAGTATATTCATCACCACCCCATTTCCTTTCTGACTAAAACAAATCTTACCTTTTTATCAAATTTAATAAATAAAAATAGGGGCTACTGGTTTGCTTCATTTACTGGTTTGCTTTCACTTGTTTTAGGACGTGGTGTGTGGGTTTTTTGCATTTCCGTGTTGCACTTTTACCCTTGTGAGCCGCCCTGTGGTACACACAAACCCCATATATATATATATATATATATATATATATATATATAAAGGTAAAGGACCCCTGACAGTTGTCCAGTCGCAGACAACTCTGGGGTTGCAGCGCTCATCTCGCTTTACAGGCTGAGGGAGCCGGCGTTTGTCCGCAGACAGTTTTTCCGGGTCATATATGTATAATATATAATTGTTGTTTAGTCGTGTCTGACTCTTCATGACCCCATGGACCAGAGCACACTAGGCACTCCTGTCTTCTACTGCCTCCTGCAGTTTGGTCAGACTCAAGTCGGTAGCTTCGAGAACACTGTCCCACCATCTCGTCCTCTGTTGTCCCCTTCTCCTTGTGCCCTCCATCTTTCCCAACATCAGGGTCTTTTCCAGGGAGTCTTCTCTTCTCGTGAGGTGGCCAAAGTCTTGGAGCCTCAGCTTCAGGATCTGTCCTTCCAGTGAGCACTCAGGGCTGATTTCCTTCAGAATGAATAGGTTTGATCTTCTTGCAGTCCATGGGACTCTCAAGAGTCTCCTCCAGCACCATAATTCAAAAGCATCAATTCTTCGGTGATCAGCCTTCTTTATGGTCCAGCTCTCACTTCCATACATCACTACTGGGGAAACCATGGCTTTCACTATACGGACCTTTGTCAGCAAGGTGATATCTCTACTTTTTAAGATGCTGTCTAGGTTTGTCATTTTCTCCCAAGGAGCAGGCGTCTTTTAATTTCGTGACTGCTGTCACCATCTGCAGTGATCATGGAGCCCAAGAAAGTAAAATCTCTCACTGCCTCCATTTCTTCCCCTTCCAGGAGGTGATGGGACCAGCGGCCATGATCTTCGTTTTTTTGATGTTGAGCTTCAGGCCATATTTTGCGCTCTCCTCTTTCCCCCTCATTAAGAGGTTCTTTAATTCCTCCTCACTTTCTGCCATCAAGGTTGTGTCATCTGATAATACTGTAATACAATTCGGTTGCTTGGCCTTCCAAGGCGTCTAAAGCACTAGCAGCTTCCTTTCGCGTAGTATATTCACACACACACACACACACACACACACCCTTAAAAAAAGAACAAAACATTTTAGCAACTAAAATGAATTTATTGTACTCTCGGTGCCTGAAGCACCCGCTTCCCGCCATTATCTCCGCGGGGCCTCTGAGGCGTTTCTGAGGCGATTCTCTCTCCCCCCCTCCCCCTCTTCGCTTTTCCTTTTCCCGCCGCGCCCTCCCCTTCGGGCGTTTCCGTGAGGGGCGGCTCGGCTCTTTCCGTGCGCCTGAGAGCGGGAGGGGGCGAGCGGGGGGAGACGGAGCGAGGAGAGCCGAGGCAGGCTCGGCGGCGGCGGCGCTTGCTCTGTCTCTTTCTCTCTCTCAGAGTTCCCCCCTCCCTCTCTCTCTCCCTCCCTCCCTCCCTCTCTCTCTCTCTCCCTCAGTCGGCCGCTGCCCGCCCGCCCGCCCGCCCGCCCGCCCGCCTGCCTGTCGCCGGGGCTGGGAGAGCCTGGGAGAGAGAGCGAGCGCGCGCGTGTGTGTGTGTTATGTGAGTGACGCGGCGGAGGTGTAGTTTGACGCGGTGTGTTACGTGGGGGAGAGAATAAAACTGCGGCGAGAGCCTAGGCGCGAACGAAAGCAGTGACGGAGCAGCCTGCAGCCGGTAAGAGGAGAAAAGCAAAGGAAAGCCAGGAAGGGACGAGAGAGAGAGAGAGAAAAAAAGAGAGAGAGCAGGAGAGGAAAGAACCAAGAGGAGGAGGAAAAAAAACACAACCAACCCCCGCGCGCGCACACACACAGGGAGGGGGGTCGGCCATGGGGCGGCTGAGGCGGGGTGGTTTGGCGGGCGGGAGTCGGTGGGACGGAGGGGAGCCCTCGGGTGGGAGAGAGAGAGAAGCGAGGCCTGGCCTCGCTCCGCGGGAGGGGCGCCCGCTTCTTCGCCGCCCTTCTTTCTTTTTTTCCGTTTTGTTTCTCTCTTTCTCTCCCCCCCCCTCACTTCTCCGGCCCCATAGAATTCGAAATGGAAGCGGGCCTTCTCTCGCCCTCTCCCCACAGATCGCCCCCCTCACGCGACCTGCTGTTCCCGCCTCGCCGAACCCGGCCGCAACCGCCACGAACAAAGAATAATGGCGGATGGAGGCGGCCGGGCAAGGCTGGCGGCGGCGGCGGGAAAGACGGCGCCGCTGCTGCGCTTCCACCTTGTGGGGGGGGGCAACATAAGACATCCCCCCCCGACCTCTACTGCCGTTGGGGGTGGGGAGAAAGGGCCTCAGGAGAGCTTCCCCCCTCCATATACTTTTCGTTTTAGTAGGTAGCCCTCCCCGTTGTGGTGGTTTCCCCCCCGCCCCCGTGAGGTGCCTTAAGTCGTTATTTGGCAAAGGCGCGCAAAAAAATTCAAACCGGATCGCCCCCCTACAAACAGGCATTCGTGAGGGATGGGGGGCGGCGGGGGGGGGGAGACACGCGGCGCGCGCTTATTTCACAGCCCTACGGAAAATAGGGAAGCTCCCGCCGCCTGCTGCCTCCCTCCTTCCCCAGGCGCCGCGTTGGGGCGCTTTTGCCCCTGGGGCGGGCGAGGTAGACCTGAAGGGTGCGAAACACACACACACACACACGTGTTTTATTTTCCCTTTGTGGAGAGCAGACGGTGGTGCCGATGCCTCCCTCTTCCCTGGTTCCTCTCCTCTCTCAGCCTCCAGCTAAATATCTCCTGGGTCCCGCAACAGACACATTTTGCTTTCCCGCCCCTCCGTGGGCAAGGCAAGTTCCAGATGTTTGAACCCGCAGCCCTTGGGGTCCAACCCGGGTTGCTCTCCGCAGCTAGATAGCTGATTTGGCAGGACCGCCCCTTGAAAAAGGAAAAAAGAACGTTGTTGTTCTATTACGGAAAGCACAGCTTTAAAAGTTGTGCTTGAGCAGTGCTCTTGAGGTTGCAAGGCCTTCCGAGTTCCTTTTTAATAAAAGTATTTTGGATCAAAACTGTATTCCTGAACACTTTGTTTTCCTCTCAGCTCTGTGCCTAGAATGATACAATGAAAGCCTGGGCCCACTGAAAACAAAGTTCCTATCGGCTTCGGGGACACCGGGTTTAATCCTGGCGCCCCAATTCCACTGTTTTGCAGTTCATTTGTTCAGTACTGTAATGCATGGCGACTGCTTATGAAGAGAGGTGTATAAATAAAGCTATTCTGGCATTAATAACTATAAGTAGAGTAATACATACATTTTATTACAGCATCTGGTTGCAGGGCACTTGGCAAACTGATGGAAGACCAAGGGGTTGGTCATTTAAAATGTGGATTTTGAGCTGGGGTTTGAAGTTTTGAGACATTTGGGTGATACTAGTATATGATGCATGACAGAGTAGGCCCAATTGGAATGTCTAAATTTTGCAGCAGTAATCTCCATCCTTGTTGGTTTTCAGGGAAATGGACTTGATACTGAAAATACCCTAAATGAGGCTGATATGACTTCATGAAAATGTAGGGAGGCTTGCATCACACTTATATACAGTTGTATATAACATTATTTCCCATACTGAAAAGTGAATTTCATCGCAGGTGTTGAGTAGCAAGTCTTAATCTAGGTCTCACTGTGATGTTTGCAAGCATTGTCCCTGTTTGCACTCCCTAACATACTTCATACCCAGGCAACCGTATTTCAGTGACCACCTCATGACTGGTTTTGTTTATTCTATTTCTTCCTTTTTTAAGTATAGAAATTCTCAATTTTCTTGCATGTACTTATTTAGGTTCTTTAGTTTGTATCCAAATGCAACTATTTTGTATCTTGCGGGGGGGGGATAATAATAACTTGCGTAATCAACAATAAGATCTTTTTTTTTTAATGCAACCTAGAGTCTTTGTGGTTCTAAAAAACCTAATAGTTATTACAACATACTATTTTTGGGCTAGAACCTACTTACATTATAGATGCCATGGACTGTTGCCAGTGATGGAGTGAAAAGTTCATGCAAGTCAGGGCACATGATTTTCAATGAGCCCTGGTAGTTTGGGTCCCTCTGGAACAGAAAAGGATATGATACGGTAGTATAGGAAGCTGCCTTATACAGAGTTAAACCACTGGTGTATCTAGCTCTGTTCTGTCCATGCTTCCTTACAGTGGCTATCAAAGGTTTCAGATGGGAGTTTCCCAATAATTTCAGGGGATTGCAGCTGGGATCTTCTGCATAGAAGGTAGATCCTGTACAACTGAGCTACAGCTACAGCTCAGTGGGAGGACGAAGAGAAAACCAAGTGTCCCAGTTTGTGCGCAGAAGCATTTCCACCATTGGATGCAACTCATGAAGTGTTACCCTCAATTGACAACTGGATACATACGGGGGAGGGGGGGACACCATATATAAACAGCCATGAAATGAAAGAGGTACAGTCACTGACTCTCTTAAGAAAAACAAACCTTATTTTCTCCTTTCCCTCCACAGTTTATGTCGGTCCCTTAGCGCTAAGGTAGAAATTTGTCAGGAAAATGCTGTGCCAGGTTTTTTGTTTTTTTTTTAAGAAATTAGGCACACAGTGTAACAGTAGGAAGAAACTACTTGTCTGTGTGTCACCAAGAAAGGGGAGTTGGCTGTGGACCCATACATCATACATTTAAAGCAAAGAATCCTGGGAACTGCAGTTTACCAGATCTACACTTCCCAGGATTTTTTGGGGGGGGGTGATTTAGCTGTATGGTGTGTACACAGCCTTAGCTTGTCTTAGCTTCAGACCATGTGGTTCTTCTCTAAAGTAGATCTGTAAAGTATGCATGTATTGGGGATTATCTTGCATCATTTATATCTAACCTGGCTTGCTTTGGTTCCGTTTGTAGGGATGGCTCATATACTAAGCACCATATACCCAGGATGCATTTAGTAACAGTATTCTTCACAATGCAAACCAATTCGTTTGTTTTACATTCTTCCCTGATGAGATCCATGGAGAACTGGATTATGTGCTATGTCTAACAAGTATTTGACCCCCTAAAATGCATCTTAAAACAATTTTGTTTGCCAGTATGGTAGTGATGGGAAGTCCTTCATATCACCTAGTTCTATACGTATCTCATCACAGAATGACCATTTCTTTGTGCAGTTGCTCATAGTGCTAGTTTTTCATTGGATTTCCCCTTTTGCAAGCCATGAGTTGTCTTAAGCTTGTTTTTACTGTAGGAAAACTAGCACTGAAAAGCCTTGGAAGGATAAGGTGGGTGGGGAATTATATTCTGGGATATGAGGAATTACTGCAGAAAATATGAACCGGTGTTATATTGCATCATTTCCCCTCGTGTTGCAGCAGGACTGTAATGGACCACTGGGTTTTCACATCTTACAAATGAATGGAGCTCTTTTCACATCTTACGTTTATTTTGTCACGTATTATGTTGCTGGTTAACACTTTTGCTTTCTGTGCAATATCAAGGTGAAGTAATTATTAAATGTAGCACTTTAGTCATGCACAGCAATAGTTGTTCAACCTCTTGCTGGAAAACCTGATTTACGCGCCCTTTGACTGCCTTATCTCCTAGTCTGGATTTCCAAGGTGTCTTAAAGGACTTCAGGGATCCCTTCTTTTGACTCATGCCACTTCCTACAAATCCCGCTTCATGTCTGACAAATCCAGAATCCTTCCAAGGCACCCTTTTCAGTTTGAAATCAATCCATATTTGATGCACAATCCTAGTATAGTTCCATCTTTCTCCTCTTAACCTAAGGTGAACAAAAAGGGGGTATTGCGCTACTGGTGTGATCCCCTTGTGGGTTGATGAAGAGAACTGCTATAGTTCAGTGGTTTTCTGCCTTCCAGAAAAAGTTTCCGTATTGATCTGTCTGCTGCCTTACAGAAGATTCTGGGACATTGGAGGGTGTATTGTCTGTTCCTGTGAGAATCCAAACACACCTGTTAAGCTTCATGGTTGCCCTGCATAAATGGAATGCACCCTAGATTTCGTGTTTTTCTCAAGCCCCCCCCCCGCATTTTTGCCTGTAAGACCACCCCTCCTTCTGTTCCACAGCTTGTCATGCAGATAATTTTGTTTATACAATAATGTATATGCAGCCTGCTGCTGTGAGCAAAAATCTGGATGGGAGCCTTTATCCAGCACTGAATTCTGATCTACATAACAGGACAACGCAGTAGCTTTTTCAGACCAGGTTCGAATGATGAAGGAAGTGAGGGAGCAGAGACCCAACCCACAAATCAGGGCTATTCAGCTCACCTTTATCTTGGATGGTGGTGGAAAGGAGGTTTCACATGCCTCAGGATCTTACTAGTTCCTGAAAATGTGAATATTCCTTCCAACTGTCCCATAATTTGAGCACCACTGCTCTGTTGCAGTATAACACAAAAGGAAGATTAGAAATGCAGATTAAGATATCTTTCAAGAAATATGCTTTGCTGAACTTGTTGAGAAATGCTTCGAGATTCCAAGAATTCTTTGGGTTCCCTGAAACATCAGTCAAAATCACTGCTCTTGTCAGTTCTTTTTAGTAAGGCTTACAGTTCTCCATACTGTAATCATGCTTATCTAATTGCATGTCTAAGCCTGTAATCTTATGATCACTTGGAAGTAAGCCTTATTAGATTCAGACTTGTTTCTCTGTAAAACGTACCTAGGACCATACATGTCAGAGTGAAAGTAGTCACACTCGTTTCTAAATAACTTCAGTTAGACTTACCTTCATTCGGGAGAAAAGGAAGAGCCATTATGTATTGCTGTTTATTCATCAATGGCCTTCTGGCATTCACTATATATTTTGAAGTATCTACAGATGAATTATTCCTTCAACCTTCAAATTACAGTGAATGTGAGCATCTTAATTTGTACAGTATATTTTGTGCCCTGGTTTTCAAGTTCCTGTAGACAACTGAGCTGGCATACTACAATAAAATGAATGCTGGAATTCTGAATGAATTAGCTTTCTGCATACCTGAAAAACAGCACATATTTTCCACTTAGCTTGCAGTTTCAGTATCCATAGGTTTTCATATGTGATGTCAAAGAAAGAAAGATACTTGCCCCATGACAAACTTTCTTTTTATGACTTCCCCACTATACCTGCATATTCATCTTCATGTGGTTTTCTCAGTCTATTTTCTTTTAGCCAGCAACTGGTGAAGAACTGAGTTTTAAGTTGCTCATGTTTTTATTGGCTATATTATATTCTATAGTGATCACCACTATAAAGGCAAGCCAGAAACAAATGGTTTAGCAACTTGTGCAACATCATTTTGCTTCATCTGCATAATCTCATGTTCTTGTACACACAAATGCAACATTGAGTGAGCTGCACGTTCGTGATAGTTGCTCCATAGCAAATACCATGATTCTGGGGGAGTTTCTTCATCCTCCTAAGAACAGTGTTGAGGAACCTTTCTCATCCCATGTGCCACATGCCCTCATGGACTGCCTTCCATGGGCAAAACTCAAAAGAGGTTTCTACACAAACACCACCACCCATGTTTTCACAGTTAATGGCACCTTCCAGCCAGGCAAAAGTACCGAAGGAGGGCTAGACTGAGCTGGTGACAGGTATGGCCTGGAGAGAATCTTGAGGGTATTCTAGAGAGGCCTGCATCTGCCCCCTTGGCCTAAAATTCTGCATCCCTGCTTTAAGAGCATGAAAATTGCTTCTTTCCCATGGCTGGGATTGCCTAGGTCCCACATTTGGGTATATGAGCACGTTTGCAGGAATGCCAACAAAATCTTGGAAGAAGCATAGTTCCTGTTCCAAGTCGTAGCCTATATCTGAGAATGCATGCTTCTTCAGAACCAACGGTTGTATTGCAAACATGAAATAAATTTGATCGCGTTGCTATTTTGCATGTTTTAATAATGTACAGTATTTATGTTTGGGGGAGTACCACTTAGATGGGTGTAGATGCCAAGCTACAGCTAGTAGGTGTTTAACCCTGCAATAATTCTACTGCTCTTGTTTATTCCAAGAGGAATACATCTGTTTCATAATGAAAATACTTTTCCTCAGAAATAGTGGAAACAGTTTTACCTGGTTTCTAATACTTATGTAGGATACATTAAATTCATATTTTCACCACCTTTACAGCTGCAAACTTTAAATAACATGAAAGCTGGAGTACTAATTGTCCCAACAGCCCTGAAATGCTATCAGGCACTGAATTTGGCTGGCGAAACATTTGATGCTCATCCAGGCCTGGTGTCTGAGGTCCTCTAAGGGTAGCCAATAGCAGATCCTTAGCTAAGTTGGAAGGAGTAGGCTCATGTGTTTTACTGAAAGGCAGAAGGCTTACGCATTCCTTGCTTCTAATCTGATGTACAGGGAGGCAGCTACCAAGTTTATTCCTAAGTAACTGAAAGCCTCCTCCTAAGCAGTGGCTAGAATTGAATAACCTCCCTCCAGTAAAACTTAGGGGAGCTAGAAATTAGCATTGAGCAAATGCCAAAAAGTATCATTTGTGTGCACAGTTAATCCTCTCTTTAGCATACATAAGGATAGTTTTGTCCTTTGGGTTTCCTTGAACAGTTGGATATTAAATATGCTATAGAGGGGGGAAACCTCCCCTGACAAAGTAAGTGTTTTGCACCCAACGTAATTTTGTTGTTGACAGCAGCAGCATCCTGTCTTGCAAATATTAGGTTGCAGAGGAGGAGCACCAAACTGTACAGTGGTTCCTCGCAAGACAAAAAACTCGCTAGACGAAAGGGGTTTTTGTTTTTTGAGCTGCTTCGCAAGACGGTTTTCCCTATGGGCTTGCTTCGCAAGACGGAAACGTCTTGCAAGTTTGTTTCCTTTTTCTTAACACCGTTAATACAGTTGCGACTTGACTTCGAGGAGCAACTCATAGAACGCGGTGTGGTAGCCTTTTTTGAGGTTTTTAAAGACTTTGGTGATTTTTGAAGCTTTTCCAAAACTTTCCCGACACCGTGCTTCGCAAGACGACAAAACTCGCGGAACGAATTAATTTCGTCTTGTGAGGCACCACTGTATTAATACCAATCATACCATTACAATTCTTTAAGAACTGATTAAATGGATTTTCATAGTCTTTGAAATTATTAGTATGTCTAAGTCTTGCTTGAATGTAGAACAAATAAAATGTAGAGGCAGCATTCAAATAGTTTTTAAGTATGCACGTGCTTTGTTGCTGAATATTTCAGAGTTTTCTGGGATTTTCCTACTTCTGTCCCATCCCAGTCCTACTAATTAGGCTTTCAGTTCCTTTTTTCATTTGACCACTTTAAGTCAGGCTCAGCATTTTACCCATGTCTGGGGCTCAAAGTTGCTTTGCCAGTCTTTTCCTAGTATCCCAAGTCCTGTTCAAACAATCCTTAACTCTCCTTCGGTGCATCACAGACACAGGTATCTACACACCTCTTTATTACAGATTCACACAAATTTACATTTATTAATGGAACCATAAAACTTGTAGCAAATAATACAGCCAGGTGTAAATCACTTTAAAATTCTTTTGATTTAAATTTGAGAGTTAAGCACATGGTGACAAATAATTGCATCTCTGAAGCATACCTTTTAATTACACCACACCCTGCATTGGCAATAGGAAGATAGTTGCATACACAGCAGATTTTTTTAGTAACAACAAAGTCACTCCACTGTGATGCTGAAGATTGTTAAGAGCGTGCATGCAAGCTACTGATTTGATTTCTCCACTGTGTACCACTTTGCTAACTGACCAGTTTGAAAAAGGGTGTGTGTGGTTTTTCAGTCATGTTCAAGGAATGCTTATCTCATTGGCCTTGCACATGGACCATGTTAACTACTCTTGTTAAATTTGGAAATTTGATACAGCAAAGAGCACACAGTTACATTTGTCCATGAATTTCACTTAGATAACTGCCAGTATTATGTAGGGTTGTCATATTTCAAAAGGACACCCGTAAGTTGTTGAGTTTTTTTAAAAGGAAATTAAGATCCAGCACGAAGTGCCGCCTTTCAGAAATTCCACGTATGGCACCCCTAGAATTACGGAACAGCTACCAACTATTAGGCAAGATTGGCAGTTTCAAAGTTTTTAGCTTTGTTAACTAAATGCAAGTAAAGCAAATTATATTAAATCGCTGTCTGGGGTGATCTTAGGTGCAGTAGTGCATCCAGAGCTCAGAAACTGCTCACGCTAATGAAATTCCCTGTTGCAAAATGCACCTAGAACAATGGGAGTTTCAAATACCGCCGTGATTCTTGGACAGACATCAGAGGAAGTGCATTCCCTGTTCACAATGAACTGCTGCATTCAAATCCCAAAGCGGAGGAATATTAATCAGTGACTCCACCCAAGATTGGGTGCAAAGTTGCCCTACGTGGCTTATGGAATAATGCTGCAAGTTTTTATTAAGGAACACTGCAAAGGTTTTTCCTGTTCTCCATGGTTTTTCCTGTTGCTTTAATTAGAAGTGTATTCTTCATAGAAGGGGCTACTGACAAAGTACAGTGGTGCCTCGCAAGACGAAATTAATTCGTTCTGCGAGTTTTGTCGTCTTGCGATTTTTTTCGTCTTGCGAAGAACAGTGTCGGGAAAGTTTTGGAAAAGCTCAAAAATCACCAAAGTCTTTAAAAACCTCAAAAAAGGCTACCACACTGCGTTCTATGAGTTGCTCCTCGAAGTCAAGTCGCAACTGTATTAACGGTGTTAAGAAAAAGGAAACAAACTTGCAAGACGTTTCCGTCTTGCGAAGCAAGCCCATAGGGAAAACCGTCTTGCGAAGCAGCTCAAAAAACAAAAAACCCTTTCGTCTAGCGAGTTTTTTGTCTTGCGAGGCATTCGTCTTGCGAGGTATCACTGTACATTTCCCTCACGTCCTGAAGTCAGGTACGAATAAAGGGTGCACTACTGGACATTTATGGATTTGAATTGCAGTAGTAAAATTACTGACAGAATGACTTTATGCTACCGTGGGTGACCTTGATAAAAACAGGAGAAAAGCATGTTTCACAAAGAGGGATTGCAGTCTTATCACTAATAATGTCTGCAAGCAAAACAGTAATAGATCACACACTGTTAAGAGCTTTGACATCTAGATAGCAGCTTCCCCTTGGCTGGCTTCCAGAGCAATCCTATGCTTGCTTACTTAGGAGTAAGTCCCATTGAGTTCATAGGGTCTTAGGTCCAAACAAGTGTGCTTGGGTTGCATCCTCAGTTGTGTTAGATTTAAACAGGACGTGGTTCATAAGAGAAGAGAGGCACACAAGTGAGCAACTTCAGCATCACAATCATACTGTGGATATTGTGGTCAGTATTCAGAATCTCCCAAGTGTGGATATTACTGGTCACAAAGGGTTACCAGCACAGTATTTGAGTAACAATGAAAGCAAATTCACAGTAAACTGAAATCTGGGATGAATGTAATTAGAACCCAAACCTGTTCCTAACTGGCTAATTCCCCCTCTCATTTCCTGTCAACTGACCAAAGTTCCCACTGCCACCCAATTATCATCTTATGCCCTTTTCAGCCTCCCCCTCCCCTTCTAACATTCTATACTCCCAGTGGATTTCCTTCCCCTACCCTCAAAGCTCAAACCCAAAATATGGTTCATTACACCAGTTTTGGACTATGCTGCCCTTGCTAGTCCCTGGCCTGCCTCCTGGACTGGCAGTGATCAGCACAGAAACTGATGCTGCCTGTGTGTGATTTATGGGTCTGTTTGTCATTCAGAGAAATCTCTGCCTGGAAACAAGATTAAACAGCATGTCAGAAGAGTAATAATGTGATGAACACTCCTTTAGCTTGTAGTGTATCACTGAAGGAGGATGTGAATGTTTCCACCTGTACTTTGAACCTTAGAGGTGGGGAAGTTTAAAGAGAAATTATTTATGTTTATTATTTTCTAATTCGTCCATTAACCAGAATGGCTAACTTCTCATCAGGCTTGTAATCCAGTCATCTCATGTGCTCTTGGCCGGATTGAGACAGCAATTCTAGGTCTTCATTTTGCTTTTAATAATCAACAGTATAAACTAGGACCATGGTGCACCATCAAGTACCTATCAAAATGATGGCAGTGTGCTGCTAATGAGTAACCACGCTAGGATTATAAAACTGATTTATGAAAGCCGGTTCCCAACATTCTGTTCCACTTAAGTGTCACCAAGGGATGAATCCAGGTTCAAGGTGTGCAGATAGGAACAAGCCTTAATAATAGTTGGGGATACCAGCCCCCTATCCTAATGTTCTTGAATGTACCCTGACCATCTTCCACATAATAGCTATTGTTCATTCTACAGGGACAGGTAAAGTTCTGCCATTGACATCCTGTAGCACTGCTTATTGCCCCTGATATTGGCTACAGCCAAGAAGATGATGGGGAGCAATGTTTCTCCTGAGGTTCTGAGGGTAGGATGGCTTTTCCAGTGCCTTCCCTCACAGGAGACAAGTGGGAGTGCGGGTGAAGCAAAGCTGAACATTGTTTCTTTCCCCACCCAAATCCAGAACACAACTCCTGGTTGGAGATGGGGTAGTTTTTCCTCCTTGGCTTGCTTTGATTGGTTAGTTTTCGTTTGGGGGAACGGCCAGGTTGGGAAAAGATGTGTCTAGGGCAGTTGCCTCGGTGATGAATGGGAGAGGAAGAGTGGGGCTGGAATTACTTATCCTTCCCTGATCCTCTTCCACTGGGTAGCCAAAGAGGAAAGTGGTGACTCTGTCATACTTTAGCACAGGAATGGGGAACCTGTGCCCCCCCCCCCCCAGTTTCCAACTCTTATCTTTATGTGCCCCCTTGCCCAGATTGTCCGGAGTTTGGGCTGGGTTGTCATCAATATGCTGATGACACTCAGCTTTATCTGTTGATGGGCAGCCGCCATGACTTGGCCCTGGACACACTGACCAGATGCTTGGAAGCTATGGCTGGATGGCTGCGTGGGAGCCGGTTGAAGTTAAATCCTTCGAAGACAGAGGTCCCCTGGCTGGGTTGGGGCGACATAGGGTTGGGGGGCCAACTCCCATCTCTTGCGGGGGCTCAATTAGTGCCAGCGCCTTCTGTCAAGAGGTTGGGTGTAACCTTCGACGCCTCCCTTTCCATAAAGGCGCAGGTTGCAGCCACAGCAAAGGTGGCATTTTTCCATCTCCGCCATATCAAGCAGTTGGTCCCTTACCTTTCTCGCCCTGATCTGGCCACATTGATCGATGTGACGGTCACCTCCAGGCTTGATTATTGTAACTCACTCTATACAGGGTTGCCCTTGAAGCTGACCCAGAAACTCCAGTGGGTGCAGAATGCTGCGGCGAGGCTCCTTATAGGGTCCTTGCCGCAGGATCACATTCATCCAATGCTTTACCAGCTGCACTGGCTCCTGGTGGAGTACAGGGTCAGGTTTAAGGTGCTGGTTTTGACCTTTGAAGCCTTATGCGGCCTAGGACCCTTGTACCTACGGGACCACCTCTCCTGGTATGCCCCACGGAGGACCTTAAGGGTCCACAAATAATAACACTTTGGAGGTCCCGAGCCGCAAGGTGGTTAGATTGTACTGGCCCCGACTTGATGGAACGCTCTGTCACAAGAGACCAGGGCCTTGCAGGATTTGACATCTTTCTGCAGGGCCTGCAAGACGGAGCTGTTTCGACTGGCCTTTGGTTTGGACTCAGTCTGACCCTTATGTTTCCCTCCCCTTTCTGGTTTTGATTTATGGGCTACTACTAAAATGAGGATGCATTTAAAATTTTATTTTAACCCGTATTTTAATTAACTGTTTTTTCTTTTTCTTTTACGTTTTATTGTAATTTTATTGGTGTTAGCTGCTCTGAGGCCGGTTCTGGCCAGGGAGGGCGGGGTATAAATAAAATATTATTATTATTATTATTATTATTATTATTATTATTATCAAACCCAGCCAGCATGACCAATTGTAGGGGTTATGGGAGGAATAGTCTGGCAATAACTGGAAAGCCACATTTTAAAAAAAAAAAAACCCTTTATTTTAATTTGATAATGCATATATTACATACATACAAATTACCAGGCACATTGGGTTTTAATTTCTTACCAGACTTTTAATAGTTTGTGCATAGAAGTTATTTTTCCAAAATGTTTGCCACATCAGTTCTAAGATGGCCACCTACATCAGATCCCTTCTTAAGTGCATAATCTCCCAGTTCTTCACTTGGCTGCTCTGTAACCAGCTCTTAATTTTGGTTTCAAATCCTAGCTAAGGAGTGAACCTTGTTTTAACCCAGATATAACACTGCATTATATTTAAGGGCAACCTTGGAAACAACACTGAGCTTTTGAATGTCAGGAGGAAGGCTTCGTCAATGCCTTCTTACCTTTTGCATTCCCTGCAGGCCAAATCTGACAGGTGAGCAGGGCTGCTCACCTGGCAGTCACCTGACATCACAGTTGTGTCATCTAACCCATTTTTCTTTGTTGGTGAGATTTTAAATCAAACTGGGCAAGGGCTTAGCACTTTGCAAGCACCAAGGATCAGCTGATGGTTTGTGCGTGCAAAGCTGTGTATCTTTGCAAGCACTGCCATGATAGCTGTTCTTGCAAAGGCAGAAAGCTTTGCAGGCTCCAGCAATCAGCCTGTCATTGGCATTTGCAAAATGCTATGCACTTGTGAGCACCACCGATTAGGAGCAAACTCTGCTTTCAGCAAGGAGCCACATTTCTACTTGACCCGTCCCTGATGTCAAATGTCGCCAGGAGGGCATGGCTTCCTGGAAACAGTCTTGTTAGTCCAATGGGGAGACCTGGCAGGTTCAATTAAACCTTCAGGGGCCCCACACCTTGTTTAGAGACACAGAAAGATCATATCTGCTGTGGGAAGTTGTCAACCACAGAATGGCAACCCAGCTTCGTGGGTTGACAATAGTTTTTCTTACTAATAATAATAATAAAAAAACATAGCATGGCTTACATAGCAACCAGGAAGTAGACAAACTGAAGATCAGAGAATCCAGAGACACAGTAGCTGGAGGGAAAGGGCAGGGCAGAGCACAAGTGTAATGGAAAAAGAGATAAGGAAAGAGGGATAGGAAAGAAGAAGGGTCTGATAAAGTGAGATCTGTGGGGAAAGCTAGCATGGCCTACAGAAATGAGGATTTTATATTGTTGGCAGGAAGAGGAGAGGGGAGAGTGGTGAGCAGACAGGGAAGGCGAAGCAAGTGAGAGCTGATAGAGGTAAGATACCGGAGAAAGTAGGGGCCTAAGGAAACAGTTGGTGATAAAACGATAGTCATCAGGGTGGGCAAGTAGGAGATGCATGTGAAGCAAACAACACATAAGGCCTAGGGAATTTTTACAGCCTTTGAGGCTCCAGTACCGTTTCCCTGCATGGGATGGAAAAGTATGCTTTTGCCCATCACAACAGAAAAACCACGTTGGTCTTATTCTTCTATGCAACTGTCAGAGGCACAGAGGCATTCTCAGCGCATGGATCTTAAAACCCCAAAGGGGCAGCCATCCTCTGACGCAGGGGAGACCAAGTGAGTGAGCAGAATTTCACAGATGTAGCTGAACTATTTATCATTAGGAAAGAGATTCAAAAATAAAAATCTGCACATATCCTATACAATTCTGGTTGCCACACCTCAAAAAGTGGAGCTGGAAAAGTTGCATCACCTCAAAATTTTGGAAGGGTCAAATCCTGTGCCTCTTGTATAATGCCAACCTAGAAGTATGAAATAATCTGAAATGAAGTGATGGCAACAAACAACTTCCCGGCAATATTTTTCCCTGCATTTTTTTTCTCCCTCATTATCAGAGAATTGGGGGGGAAATAGCAGTAACATATTCCAAAAATTTCAGAAGTAAAATGTTCTACTGTTAATGCACATCATGCAGTTAAAAGTGTGTTAAACATATTTCAGGGTTTCCTTTTCTCATTAACATTTTTAGAACTTGCCTTGCCCAAGAATGTGTGGTTTCGAAATTCAGTTCTTGCGTTACAAAGGTAAGAACCATGTATTTGACTCTGGTGATCTGTCCTTAGTCTCTTGATCCAAGTGCAAATCAAAATTTATTTTAATTTAATTTATGAATTCACAGCCCACTTTTCAACCAACATTCTTAAACAAAATATAAGAATTCGAAAATTAAAAAGTTAAAAAATAAACCATTAACAAAATTACTGTTGCAATTTCCTCTTCAGCACAAATCATAGTTTGCCATGACATCTAAATTAGAAAACTATTTAAACTATGGTTTCCATTTCTGGTTTGGAGGGATTAATGAATCTACTATCATTGCATGGACTTCCTAGTTTGCATTAAAAGTGAGGCAGTATGCAGGACAGGGGAGCATGGTTTGGAGGTTTTCTGAAAAAATCAGTGACAGCCTTTGCAAAAGATAACCAGACAAGGATTCAGAGTACATAGGCAGACTTAGTGAAAGGATACTCAGGGACTTAAATAGCTTTTTCTGTTCTAAGCACTTCATAGGGACGGAAGGTCAGGTTACACCAAGAGAAGGGTGGGCACAGGCAGGAATACATCCTTGTGGTGTTTTCATAATCCTTTGCAACCATGAGGGCTGAAAACATTTCTTATATGCTAGTTGAGTTTCTGAGATTTAAACAAGAGAATCAAATATTTCCTCAACCCAGTGGATCATGTTCCCATTCACAGCCAGGTGGACTGGAGGTGGCCATCTGTGTGAGAGCAAGTTGAAGGAGCAGACATCATTCAGGAAAGTAAATCAAATGCCTTAGTTTGTATATTAATACTTGTGCGGCAGTCATTTCACTTTTACATTTCAGGTGCAGTGCTAATACAAACACACAAAGTGAAATTTAAATTGTATAAAGAAAGCTTTACGATCTATACATTAGCCTAAGAGATAGATACATGGGGGGGGCATTCTCTTTCCCTTCATAAAAGTTGTTTTTATTTGAGGGACATGTGCTTCATTGTTCACATAGGTGGAGCTTACAATCAAATACTAAGGTAGTATCAAGAAACTATAATGCCGCCAGCAATATGCACTTTTTAATGTACTTTTCAACAAATTTCCTTGGTTAGCTGCTGATCACCTCAAATCTCAACACACTTTCAGCAAAAATGCTTCTTGCTAACTGGTAGAGATGTTTCTGACACCATTTCTCCCTCGCAAGTTTGGTTTCACTTTTATTTCAGGGGGAAACGCTCTTAACATCTGGTTACAAGACCCACTCATCTTTCCTACAATGGCTAATGTGCACAGTGAAATTCTGGTGTTTGTAGTGGACTAATGTACATTCCAGCTAGATCACAAACCTTTAGGTTTGCTAAATATTAAAAACTGTTCATCAAAACCACTTCCTATCTAATCCTGTGGTTCATAGATCATTCCATTTAATTTTGGGGTCCATCAGATATTGCATTAAGGTGGATGCTGTGAAAGGAGGCAAGCGCTTGTTAGGGATAGCCAACCAGTCATAGAGAATCATCGTTTCAATTGTAAAGTTCAGGCCAGAAAGTCTTGAGTTGGCATTAGCTGTAACTCAGACTTTCCAGATATATTTTTGCCATGTATGCTGTAAAGTATTTTGGTACTTAACATTACTTCAATCTTTATTATGACCAGCCATGTTAAGTGTTCTGCTTTTGGGGAAACAATCTTAAACACACTTACTAGGGAGTAAACGTTGCTGGGTGTATTTCTGAGTAAACGTGCAGAGTTGTGTTACAGCAGGAGCTGCCCATCTTTTTTTAGGTGGGGGGGGGGGCGTGCTGTGAACTCATCTGGTAACCTGATAAACTTGGGTTCACCAAACACACATACAACCTAACACATTCACTCCCCAACCATGACTCTGTAAATGCCTCTTCCTCACTACAGTTAGGCTTAAAAGAAGCCTTCTGGTGTGGCCAAGAGAAGACTGCTTTCAAGCCTAAATGTCTGTGTGTGATGTTTTCAGCGGCTAGGAGTTGCAGCTGAAGAGGTGAGAGTTAACCCTTCCCCAGCTGTGACCATCCCTGAAATAGCCCCCCCCTCCTGCGCCACAATTAGCTTTGAGAAAAGCCTTCTGTGGGCTATAACAGATGGCTCCCCTGCCAATATATATATATATATATATATATACACACATCTGCACTGCGGCAAAGGACAGAGTGAGGGAGAAAGGCCTTGGCAGGTGTATGTTCCCCCATTGGATGCTGGGCTGGCAGTCCCTGTGCTATTGTTTGTACTTCCCGATTAGTTTGCATTATTTGCGACAAGAACTGTAATCCTTATTACTTTATGTCGAAAGTAACCATTGTGTAAATGAGAGGGAACTTGCAGCATAGCATAAGATTTCTGGCAGATAATCGGGAATTTATTGTGCGGTACAAATTCTGTAATTGAAACTTAAGAGTGGAATATACAGAGATACGGCAAGAAGTACACCTGCCCTGTAATAGTAACGCAAATCATTACCATTGTAGGTAACTAAATGACCATGGAATCTGGCGCAGAGAACCAACAGAGTGGCGATGCAGCTGTTACAGAGGCAGAAAACCAACAAATGACAGTACAGACCCAGCCACAAATCGCAACGTTAGCGCAGGTACAGAGTTGTTCTTGACTGATCTGTTGTGTCCTTAGGCAAATGTTTATAAGAGTAACTTTAACATCTCTTATGGAATCTAAAAGGTTTAAAGGTTGTTATGATTTGTTGCAACTATTGCAACTAAGAAACACTGAAGTACCACAGCAGAGAATCATGTTGTTGTTTTTTTTACCTCTACATGCATCCCTGTCTCTCTTCCCTTCGTGGTAGACGGCAATTAAACCTGGAAGTCTCCTGCTTCATCCAAAAGAGAAAACTGTGTTTATTCGCTACAGAACAAGCTAAACACAGCTTGTTCCAAAGCTGGCAACTGTAAGTTTCTCAGTTTGGATAGAACAGGAAACCATTATTCATTGGCAGCTTCTGAATTTAATTGCTGCATGACACAAAGGGAGATGAGAAGGAGCTGCATGCTTGAGCAAAAAGCTTGATCTTAAGCAGCCTTTAATAAACGTATGTTTTGGTTGGAGAACAAAAAAGATCCTATTTAAAACCACCAGTATCAACTAAATCAGGTTTTTTAAACAAATCCAACACATTAATAGAGTTATGCATTTGTTATTACACAGAGGTCTGGTTAAGCCGTGGTTTGTTAGCTGTGAGTTGTCTCACAGACGCCCCAACAAACAGTGGTTTGTTTCATTAATGTTTGGTTTCTTTGCCATCAGTTCTTTCATTGTGCTTTTGTAGCTTAATAAGCATTAGATAGGTGGCCAAAAAAACCATGGTTAAGGAAGGTTCCTGGGTTTGCACCTAACAGCAAGCCAGAGTTAAAACAAGTCAAGGCTCATAAGTCGACAATAAGTCGTGCCTCCAGATAGTGGCTTCTTGTCAGTAAATAAATCATAGTTAAGCCACTGGACAGGGTTCAGACACTCAAACAAACCATGGTTTAATGAAAACTAATTTAGTGCACTATTTGTTAGTACATAAACTCCCATTATACATGGGAGTGCCTCTGAAGAAGGTTCAGAAATTTCAGCTGGTGCAGAATTCAGCAGCCAGGTTGCTCACTGAGCACATAACGCTGATCCTGTCCCAACTGCAGTGGCTGCCAATTAGTTTCCAGCCCCAAGTGCTGGCTTTGACCTATAAAACCTTCAGTGGTTCAAGGCCGCAATACTTCAGGGGCTGTCTTCTCCACATATGAATTGACCCAGACTCTGCGATCATCATCTAAGGCCCCTCTTTGTATTCGTCCGCAAGAGGTCCACAAGGGGACAACACAAGATTGGGCCTTTTCTATGGAGGCTCCCCATTTGTGGAATGCTCTCCCCAGGGAGGCTAACCTGGCGCCTTCATTACCTATCTTTAGGTGTCAGACAGGTATTGCTTTTGTTTGTTACTTTGTTATGTATTTTCATATTGTAAACTGCCCTGTGATCCTTGGAAGAAGGGTTGTATGGAAAATAAATAAATAAGTATTAATATGAAATCTGTAATCATGTAAGTTCATTATTTGTCATAAATACATAAGATGGAAAAAGTGAAAGAGGTTTATAAAGTAAGTGTAGTCATTTATTCTTCATTAGTACCTTCGAAGAAAAGAAAATATGATATGATTGTTATAAAAAAGTTGTCAACCCTTGTGACATCCTGATTCTTGTGTTGAAAAGGTTTGTTAACTCTATTAGTACATAAAAGGGAGGAATGAAGGATTTAAGACATTAGTTCTGTGGTTTTACCATAATGATTCCTACTTTCTTTCCTAGGTATCTATGCCAGCAGCTCACGCAACCTCTTCTGCTCCCACCGTTACCTTAGTACAGCTGCCTAATGGGCAAACAGTTCAAGTCCATGGTGTTATCCAGGCAGCCCAGCCCTCAGTTATTCAGTCCCCACAAGTCCAGACAGTTCAGGTACGTGAAAATGCCTTTCAAATAACCATGTTATTTCCTGAAAAATAGAAACATTGCATAAACTGTTGTATCCTGAGCTTTATTATCAGCATGCACCGTTTTAAGTTTCTGAAAAGTAATTCTAAACAATACCAATTTGCCTTTTTTTCCATTTCATAGTTATATTATAGGTAGTTCATGCTATGCAAGATGATAATATGACTTCAAAACTGCCATGTTCAGGACAGGACTAAAAAGTTCAAACAGGCTCTCTCTTCATTTCCATCTCTTCCGTTTAAAGTCGCTGCACTCTCGTTTTTGTTCTTTTCCACCTCCACTGATACAGCAACAAAAATTCGGTTTCTACTGGTCATAGGCATGGTCTGGCCTGAGCCACAACAGTATTTCTTGAGATAACTATTATAGCGAGAGAAGGCTGCTTGCTGAAGGATACCTGGAAGCTGTTTGGCTAGCCTTGTAAAGGAGATGTTGAAAATGTATGTATGGGGGAAAAGAGTGTTCAGGGTAGACTCCAGCTTAGTTCCAAGGAGCATCTAATCTGGCCCGTCCGAATGACCATGGAAAACCCTAGAGCCTAGCCAGTGAAGGCCGCAAGGCCTTGGTGGAGCGCCTGCAGCAACAGCACCGCAGGTTTAACAGAGATGGGAACTGCAGACCGATCTCTATGAGGATGTCTTCTGACTTGGCAAGACCCACATCCTTCATGGAAGGGAGTAGGGAGCATGTACAGCCAGCACAGGCAGCATTTCAGACCTGGGAGGCATCAGCTGAGAAGGATTCCCCTGTGGTTCAGTTATGGGGCCTGGCAATAATAATAATAATAATAATAATAATAATAATAATTTATTTGTACCCCGCCCATCTGGCTGGGTTTCCCCAGCCACTCTGGGCGGCTTCCAACAAAGATGAAAAATACACTAAAATGTCACATATTAAAAACTTCCCTGAACAGGGCTGCCTTCAGATGTCTTCTGAATGTCAGGTAGTTGTTTATTTCTTTGACATCTGATGGGAGGGCGTTCCACAGGGCGGGTGCCACTACTGAGAAGGCCCTCTGCCTGGTTCCCTGTAACTTGGCCTCTCGCAGTGAGGGAACCGCCAGAAGGCCCTCGGAGCTGGACCTCAGTGTCTGGGCAAAACGATGGGGGAAGATACGCTCCTTCAGATATACTGGACCGAGGCCGTTTAGGGCTTTAAAGGTCAGCACCAACACTTTGAATTGTGCTCAGAAACATACTGGGAGCCAATGTAGGTCTTTCAAGACCGGTGTTATATGGTCTTGGCGGCCGCTCCCAGTCACCAGTCTAGCTGCCGCATTCTGGATTAGTTGTAGTTTCCGGGTCACCTTCAAAGGTAGCCCCACATAGAGCGCATTGCAGTAGTCCAAGCGGGAGATAACCAGAGCATGCACCACTCTGGCGAGACAGTCTGCAGGCAGATAGGGTCTCAGCCTACGTACCAGATGGAGCTGGTAAACAGCTGCCCTGGATACAGATTTGACCTGTGCCTCCATGGACAGCTGTGAGTCCAAAATGACTCCCAGGCTGCGCACCTGGTCCTTCAGGGGCACAGTTACCCCATTCAGGACCAGGGAATCCTCCACACCTGCCCGCCTCCTGTCCCCCAAAAACAGTACTTCTGTCTTGTCAGGATTCAACCTCAATCTGTTAGCCGCCATCCATCCTCCAACCGCCTCCAGACACTCACACAGGACCTTCACCGCCTTCACTGGTTCTGATTTAAAAGAGAGGTAGAGCTGGGTATCATCTGCATACTGATGAACACCCAGCCCAAACCTCCTGATGATCTCTCCCAGTGGCTGCATGTAAATGTTGAAAAGCATGGGGAAGAGGACAGAACCCTGAGGCACCCCACAGAGTGAGAGCCCAGGGGTCTGAACACTCATCCCCACCACCACTTTCTGAACACGGCCCAGGAGGAAGGAGCGGAACCACTGTATGACAGTGCCCCCAGCTCCCAGCCCCTCAAGACGGTCCAGAAGGATGTTATGGTCGATGGTATCAAACGCCGCTGAGAGATCCAGCAGAACTAGGAAACAGCTCTCACCTTTGTCCCTAGCCCGCCGGAGATCATCAACCAGTGCGACCAAGGCAGTTTCAGTCCCATGATGAGGCCTGAATCCCGACTGGAAGGGATCCAAATGGTCCGCTTCTTCCAGGCGTGCCTGGAGTTGTTCAGCAACCACTCGCTCAATCACCTTGCCCAAGAATGGAAGATTTGAGACTGGGCGATAATTGGCCATCGTGGCCGCATCTAAAGATGGTTTTTTTAAGAAGTGGTTTAATAACCGCCTCTTTCAGCGGGTCTGGGAAGGCTCCCTCGCGGAGGGAAGCATTCACCACCCCACAAAGCCCATCGCCCAGTCCTTCCCGGCTAGCTTTTATAAGCCAGGATGGGCAAGGATCCAGGAGACAGGTGGTTGGTTTCACTCGTCCAAGCAGCCTGTCCACATCCTCGGAGGTAACAGATTGGAATTGATCCCACACAACTTGACTAGACAGGACTCTAGCACTCTCCCGCCCTGGCCCTGCTCCCATGGTGGAGTCTACTTCTTCCCGAATCTGAGCGATTTTATCTGCAAAAAAATTTATAACTCCTCCTTTTCATATCTGAAACCTTCCAAGGGGAAGGGGGCAGCTGGAAAATAAATGCTCTTAGGTTTTCATTCTGAAGCAGTCCACCATATGAGAAGAATAGCATTTTATTTAGTTTCTGCTGAAGAGGGATGTGTGTTTAGGTGATTGGAAGACCTGCACATACATAGGTGTTTTCTTGAAAGAGGTGTTCATATTCTGATGTGAATCAATAACCAATTTAGAACAGCTAGTGTATCCTCTACAGCAGAAAGCAGCTGCCCACCCTTGGTTTAGAATAAAAGACTTAATCAGTTCATTATGCTGCTTAATTAGGGGTATTTAATATGGTTCTTTCCCTAAGCAAGTTCCAAAGCACTCTCAAAATCATTTGCTATTAAGCATGACAATGGGAACAATTTAGATTGCCTTGGTGTGTTCTTCCTACAAGCGTGTAGCTGGCAATTCTTGGAAACAGAATGCTGAACTAGTTGGAACTTCGGTCTGATCCAGAAGGGCCCTTCTTATGTTCTTAAAAATGCGAGATAAATGTAGGATGCAGCCCTAAGGACACCAAGATGGCGTACCATAGGCCATAGGCTAGATGGGATCTACCTCTGTGACAGATCCTTCAAAGCCCTAGCCCAGCAAACATTGGAATTCTGAAGTCAGCTGGGCGAAAAAGGAGATAGCAGCTTTGATCTAGAGGCATCCTGGTCATGTGACTTACCCTCAAATGAGGGAGAAATTTACCGTATTTTTCGTCCTATAGGGCGCACCGGCCCATAGGACGCACCTCGTTTTTTGGGGGGGAAATGAATAAAAAAAAATTATTCCCCCCTTCCCCCGCCGCCGCGGCTGCCGCCCCAAGCCTTGCGCACACCTGCCCGAAGCACGGGGAGCCCTCCGGAGGGCTCCCCGTGCTTCGGGCGACAGGCTGCCACCCCAAGCCTCGCGCGCTCGGTGGGACCTCCTGCCGGGCGCGCAAGGCTTGCGGACACTCACTGGGGCTGCAGGCTGCTGCCTGCAAGCCTTGTGAGCCCGCGGGAACTCCCGCCGGAGAGCGAGAGGGGTAGGTGCGCACCGATGCCTCTCGCTCTCCAGGCTTCAGCGAAAGCCTGCATTCGCCCCATAGGATGCACACACATTTCCCCTTCATTTTTGGAGGGGGAAAAGTGCGTCCTATGAGGCGAAAAATACGGTAGTCACACTCCTAAGCAGAACTAAATCTTTCCTCCTATTGTTTCCAGTGGTATGGAAATATTTTTTTTTAAAAAAAAAAGTGGGAAACAGTCAAAGGGATACCAGGGTTTTCCTCCTGCCCTGCCATTGAGCCATTGTGCATCCACCCAGGATTGCAGTTTTAGAGATTTCTTATTAAGAATCAATAATAAGCAGATAGACTTCATAAGTCTGTTTATACAGTTGTGTAAGCAGTACTAGGTTTTTTAGATCATCTTGATAAGGATTCCTGTTTGCTGCTTTACAAGTTCTGTCATTTCTTCTGCCTATACTTCGAGTCACTAAAGCTAGGTTTATGCTGTTTGTCATGTAAAACCCTCCAGAGTTCAGATGACACACAGGAATTTCTAACCATAGTGAAACAAGATAAGAAACTGATAACAAAAGTGCTTGGAATTTAGGAGGAGAAGATTAAAGGCAAGAATGCAGTAGGAATGCTGAAATAATAAGAAGTGTTTCACAATCCTGAAATCCTGGTTATACTGAATGTTGACGACGTACCTATAGATCTTTGAGCAAGTTATGTTCCACAAGTGAAGGCACCTGATAGCCTTGCCAATATCTACACATGTTTGGTTTTTGCTTGTTTGGTTTTTAAATTTAAAAACATTATTTTCTTTTTTGGGGAAACAGACTTTTACTTGCTTTTTCTTTATTGTGTTTTCATATTCACCAGTAAACCAGGTTAGCAAGTGTTGGCCGGACACCACCTATGGATCCCATACCTGCCTTCTGCTACTAAGAGCGTCAATGACATCCCCTTTTTGCAGAGGCCAGGTTTTATAAAGTTCCATGTTCCTCTGAGCATGTTTGTTCAGAGTAGATAGGAGACCACAGTTTCTTACACTACTTGGGTCTTCAGATTTTCATGTATAGAAGAGGACCTCATGGTGTGGGTTTGCTGACCATATTCTCACCTTTACATCTGTTTTTACTTAAATATGTTTAAAACGGTAACATTACTGTGCTCTTATACCTAGATCTCCACTATTGCAGAAAGTGAAGATTCACAGGAATCCGTGGACAGTGTCACAGACTCCCAGAAACGCAGGGAGATTCTTTCCAGACGACCTTCTTACAGGTAGGAATTTAATTTCTCTTACACACATGCAGCAAATCAGCTTCTTATAATTACTGTCTAGTGACACGTCAGACAGAAGTCATTTAGCTTTCAATTTTCTCAACAACCGGTTTCTTTGTTGTTCTACAAACTCCGGTACAAGTTATGGTCATACTGTATAACTATAATGTGTTCCAGATGTTTGGCATGGGGCTTCTCCTGACCCGGTTTGAGGAGAGGAAGTGAAGTCTTGTTAGGCTAGCACAATGATTTGGTTCAATACGGCCCAGTGCACCTAAATCAGTTGGATTATCCCAAACTGTACCATAGGGGCAGAAATCCTTTTTGACTTCAGCATACAGTTTGTTGCTAAGAGATATTAATCTTGAAGTGGTGTGTTCAAATCCTGCTTGGGTATCCATAGGTCAAGTCCTGCTGAGAAAGTAAGAGCCATATTCAGAGGCATTTCACAGCTGCATACCTGTTGCTGTAGGAGCAAATGACAGATGAGGCTTCATGCTCCTAGCTAACCACCATAGGGAACAGGATACTGGAATGGATGGGTCCTCTGTCTGATCCAGCCAGGCTTTCCTTAGGTTCTTACCCTGCCAGTGTGACAGCCTGGGCATTCAGTCCCTGCCCTTCCAGTTATACCAATTCTCCCGCCCAAAAATACAGAAGCTACGAGAACCTGGTAAGATTTCTACAATATTCTTCCCTTTTCAGAAAAATCTTGAACGACTTGTCCTCAGATGCCCCAGGAGTGCCAAGGATTGAAGAAGAAAAGTCTGAAGAGGAAGCAACAGCACCTGCCATCACGACTGTCACGGTGCCAACTCCAATTTACCAGACAAGCAGTGGGCAATACAGTATGTTGCTTGTGTTTCTCATCTGATAAGTGGAGAGGAAGAATACGTCAGAGATTTGGTTTTTAAAAGATGGCAAGAATGCTTAGTATGTATATTATGAATTTTTCCTAAGTGCTCAAAACTTGAAGCCCCACGTTTGCCACTCCCAAGTTTTGAAATTGTGGTGTCAGAAATGCTGGAAGGAGAGAAACAGGAAATACGTGGGAAGAGGCCAAAAGGTAATACAGACAGGACACAGTGCTATTTTTCTAGAAAAAGAGAACTCGCCATGAGCACCTTCCTCGTTCTCTTAAAATGGCAATGGCGCCTACCTGAGAGGTGCTGGAACCCACCTGAGAGGTGCCGGGACTGAGTTCCTGTGAGTTCCCCCTGAAAAAGTGCCCTTTGGATGCAAAGGTTCCTACTTTCACCAAAGGCCAGCTTCCTGTTCTGGCAAAATGAACAACACTTCCTTTATGCAATGGATCGGTAGAACAGGGGGTTTCTTGAGCAGCACACGAAGAAGTGAGCACAGCCAACAAAGTCTGTTTATATACAATTCTGAAGGTCTTTTTTCAGCCCAAACACCCTTCACTTGTCCGAGCTGAAGGTATATTATTGGCGGGTAGGGGGGTTGCCCCTACATAGAACAGCTTTGTCCTACTTCCTCAGTGTGGGATACCGTGACAGCTTGTGCCATTATGACTACGAAGGACGAGCTGACTCAAGCAGTTGAGGTGGTAGTTTATCAAGTGATATGGTGATTGCATTCCAGTTTAACTCCTATTGATGCTGGTTCTGTGATCATTGCTTTGCAATAGCTATTGCATGCAAGCATGCTTCCATGTTGCAGTTGCAGTTTTCATGTGAGAAGCATTGCCATGTGGATTGTCCTTACTCAGTAAACTTTCAGGGCTGGAGTGGGGGGGGGGGCAGATGAAGAGCATGGTGCTTGCAACTGTTTTTTGCCCTGGTCCCCAGTGTGGTCCTGATTTTCTTTTAGGGACTGGTGTTGCTGATATCAACCATGAATATGGCAATGCTCTGCATGCAGGTATTGTCTGCATGAATGGACTGGTGTAAATGTGGAGGAGCTGAGGAGTCTTGTGCTAGAAGCGCTGAATGAGGGGACCGTGTGTGAACGGTATTTGTGCTGCCGTCTGGATGAGGTGGAACAGACCGAGGGACTTCATGAAAGAGAATAGACTCATGAAATAAAAACCAGAAGAGAAACTGTATGTGAAGAACGAAAAGGAACTGAGATTAAGAGACGGAGGAATGCTAGAATGGAGATCTGAGAAAAGGGTGTAGATTAAAGCATAACCGTGCAGGGTAGAGAAGAGGGGGAAACAAAATGAAAAAACAAAAAACCTTAATCATTAGAATGGGCAGAGCTTGATAGAGGCATGTCAGAAGTAGATTGATAACTTTGGTGAGCTTCATGTCATTCGTTATTTGTAACTTAATATTCTGTTGACCTACACATTTTTTCACATTACTGAAAATCTCACATAGTAAATACCTCATGATCACCAAAATCAATATTTAGAGGGTCTTATTGTTACTCTTGAAATGTAAGTTGTGAATATTTATTTTGCCCATAAAGTAGATATTTTCACTCTGCAGGAGGAAATTGTTATCTAAATTAGGTTGTTAAAAAAACAAACCATGGTTGCAAGGAATAGAAACATAACTGGCAAGTTGATGACAGTTTTTTAACATTGGCCTGTGTGGTGATTGCAGTCCCAGCTGCTAGGGTTTCAGTCTCAGGGCAGTATCTCCCTGGACTGACAACGGTAATGGATGGAATTTCTGTGGCGCCACATCCATAAAAAGTCTTGAAACGGACTTAATTTTCAAATTGTTGGTTTGACTAAAGGACTGAGGACAGTTGTATGTATGGCAATATTCTCATATGCTGACTCGCATCTGCCTGCTTTCAGTTGCCATCACCCAAGGAGGTGCAATCCAGCTGGCTAATAATGGCACCGATGGAGTCCAAGGCCTGCAGACGCTCACCATGACCAATGCCGCTGCAACCCAGCCTGGTACCACCATTTTACAGTACGCACAGACCACGGATGGACAGCAGATTCTCGTGCCCAGCAACCAAGTTGTTGTACAAGGTAAAGAAGAGCAGTTTTAAGCAATTTGCTCAAGTTTAGCACTAGACACGTGCCGTGTGTGAAAATTTTTTCCCCCATAGGGAATCACTGTGCACATGTAATATTTGTGAAGCACCATACTTTCAAGCAAATACCTGTTTCTAAGGAAGCTGCAATACACTCTGCTGTTCTAGCAATAGTGGGCAATAGACTAAAGTAGTTAGTAATGGGCCAGAATTCTGAATGCTAATGGCTAGACAATAGCATAGTTTTGTTTCTGGTTTTTTAAAAGTGTCCTTCCTTCAAGGTTTTGTTTCTGGTGCTGCCAAGTAATTTTTGGCAACAGTAACCTATCAAAGGTGGGGGCATTATTTACTTTTGGAGCAAAGAGCTATCCAAAAGCTAATTTGATAGGTGGGGGTGCCCAAACTAGAGTTTACTCTTCTTGCTCCTTGAAAGTCCCTAGGGTTACTTTTAAGTTTAATTGAACATGACTGTTCACTAACCCACACAAAAACAATTATGTGCCTGGCCAAGCCTGATGAAAAAAAGAGCAGTGGCTTTGAAGAATAATATGTGGAAAATAAGGAGTCAGGGAGAAACACAGAAGGAAACAGCTGTGTACAGCAGAAGCCTATAATTTGACAAAGGTTCTGGGTAGGAGGAGCAGTAGCAATGGCTGCAGATAGCAATACTGCAGGCTGCAGATAGGGATGGTGGAGACTGGGAAAGGGTTGATCCTGAAGAGTCAGGAGGGGCCCTGTGGAAGAAGCAGTGCCGGCAGCCTGGAAGTGGGCTGATGTATTGAATTGGAGAAGGGTCTGGGCTAGAGAAGTAGAAGAGAGAGCTAGGGTGCGAGGAGGCCATATGAAACAGGATCAGAAAGTAAGAACGGGCAGGGATGAGCAAAGCCACAGAGGCAAGTAAGATGGGGAGAAAGAGGCAAACGCATCATGGACAAGTTACGTAAATATGTACATTTAGCCCAGCCACACAGGCAGAAGCTTTACACATTTGCAGCACAGCATGGAAGCAACACAAAGGTGTCATCAACCGTGCAGCTTCAGGTAATGAGGGGAGAGGTTCTTCGTTTCAAATGACAGGTCCCCATTCCCCCCAGTGTAGGCTTCCAGAGCTGTCAGACCTAATACCCCTGCATTCCCTGGTGTGTGTTTTTTTCTCTTAGCTGCCTCAGGAGATGTCCAGACCTACCAAATTCGCACAGCACCTACAAGCACCATTGCACCTGGTGTCGTGATGGCATCCTCCCCAGCACTTCCCACCCAGCCAGCAGAGGAAGCAGCGCGGAAGAGAGAAGTCCGCCTAATGAAGAACAGGTTTGTGTGCTCTGGAGGACTGAGGTGGACCAGCAGACCCATCCCCCAACTCTACCCGCCCCGCCCCCCACAATCCTGCCGAAGGATTTGTTACCAGGTGGAACGGAAGGTGTGGCAGAAATTTGGCTGTGCCTGAAAAATAAAATAAGCAGAAATGTGGCTCCGAAAGGTAGCTTCAGTACACACCAGTCTTTATCCCTCAGCATGAAGGGCAAGAAAAGTTGTGGTGTGTAGTACCTTCCTCCTCTCACCACACCCCAAAATTACCTAGCTAAAAAATCAGTCCAAAAAGGAAAATAACACCAAATGCAAATATTCCTTACAATTTACCAACAATTTGAATTTAAGCCAGAGTCCATGCAAAAAGGGAAAATAATATCAAATGCAAATAATAATAATAATAATAATAATTTTTATTTATATCCCACCCTCCCCAACCGAAGCTGGGCTCAGAGCAGCTAACAACAGTAAATATACCATACAGTTGAATGGCATATGTGAAATTACCTCCCATTGCTTCAGAAGGTTCCTGATATGTTAGGCAAGCAATAGTGATTTGCTCACCTGTCAATAAAGAAGAATTGTGTTTATTCTACTCCCAAACAAATAAAAAATATTATACTATTCAGTTAGTTCTGCTTCAGTTTTATCAGTTTAAAATCAGTGAACATATTGACTTGAGCTTTTAATATTCTGTTTTCCCTCCAGGGAAGCAGCACGCGAGTGCCGCAGGAAGAAAAAGGAATATGTCAAATGTCTAGAAAACAGAGTGGCTGTGCTTGAAAACCAAAACAAGACATTGATTGAAGAGCTAAAAGCACTTAAGGACCTTTATTGCCACAAATCGGATTAATTTTAGATCCCCATTTTTGGTTTGTTAATGTCAGAGAAAGACTGCTTTGGTGACTGCCAGAAAGACAAAGTGGACTTTTTATTTTCTAAACATTTCTCTCTTTTTTTTTTCTACGCGCAAAACTGCCTGAAAGCAACTGCAGAATTTTATTCGTCTGTGCTTTGCATTAAACTGTGAATGTTGAAACACCTGCCTCCACTTCTCCCCCACCTTCCCTCTCCCTTCCCCCAAATTATTTTCACCACACTGCATCCTGGTTGAGAAGAAAGAGAAGAGACTTCCTCATCTCCCATCTTCCTCAAGGAATAATAACGTTCACTTCTGAAGCTGGGTTTTGTTTTTTGTGTGCGCGCGCAGAGGGGGTTATTTCATAATGCTTTCAAGAATTAAAACACAGAGCTCATCTGCATCCCTCAGAGATGGTTATCCCGAGGCTCTGCCCTGAAGTATTATGTGGGCTGGATGCGTACCCAAGGTATGCTCTAAGGAAGCTATGGTTGCCAAATTGTTGCCTGGTTTCAAACGTCCATTATCAAACATTACAGTTGCAGCTACGTGGTAGAATGATGCCAAAAGACATGTACTTCAGGTATGTAGGTATGTACACAGTAGGAATTAAATGAGCATATAGAGAAGGGTTGGGGAGAAGGTGGGATAGTCACCTGTAACCTCCATCTGTTTTTTAGATAGTTTTCTATATGATAAAAGATAATTCCATTGATTTCCTGGTTTTTTTATATAAAAAAAGGAGATTTCATGTGTTCAGTCTTTTGATTGCCCGTAAAGAAATCATCTAACGCTTATGATATCCTAAGGGGACATGGACTCCTAGCAAGCAGTAGAGCAGGAACGGTAACGTTCTGCTTTAGCTTAGAAGTCCATGAGATTATCATAAAGAATAATTCATTAAAACACCATTTTTGTTTTGCATTATCCAGAGGCGATGTTATACAAGGCAACCACTAGCAATGCATACTTTAGTGAAGAAAGGAGTGAATGTTAACTTTTTCGTGCCGGTAGAGAATTATTTTTTTTCTAAATCTCCCTATTGCGCACACAGATGGTGTGAAATTGAACTTTGCTGACTTGTTAAACCTAAGTCATCAGCCAGACCTGCATCCCAGTTAAGCTATCTGATTTCAGTAGGACTCTGTGTCATTTAGGGATCAAGCTGGATCTAAGTAAAAGTTTTTCATCTGCAGACATTCAAACCCTAAGGAGTAAAAAGAAAAAAACTTCCCCTAAAGTATGTTGCAGGAATCAGTAATGTGATTAATCAATCTAATATGATTTAAGGCAGCAAATAAGCCGTTCAACATTAGAAATTCCTTTGTTCAAGCTACTTTGGCTACTTAGAGGTGGAATCAGTTCTCCGGAGGCAAAATGGACTTATTTAAGAGAACATGAAGTTATTTTGAATCTCTAATCCCAGCAGTTATTTTGATCCTCATCTATAAAAGCCTGCACATAAAATAAGACTGCTCCTGAAAGAATATTAGTTCACAGATCTTCTTAAAGGTGATAAAACCAACATGGCCTATTGCAATGTTTTATCAGTTAAATCTAACACCTGTAGCAATAATTTAGCTAGTAATTTTACTTAATAGTGCATTTGTTTTTTATGAAAATAAGTGCAAATCTTTATAATTTACCCTTTTATCAGATGAAGACAAAATTTGTTTGTAAGGCATGTCACAAAATCTTTAGAATTAAAGAGTACAAAAAGCCTCATATTTTAAGCAGCTTATTTTTATTTGCAAGGCAAACTTTTCCTCCTCGATAAAATAATACAGACATTCTGAACAAAAATAAGTTCTGCCATTTTAGAAACCCTTCAATTCTCACATCATAATATATTTTTTTAAAAAACCAAAAGCAGATTCCTACAAAGAAACGGGATGATAGATTATGGAGAATTCAGATCCACAATTTTTACCTGCCTTGTGAGTTTTGTTCCCCTCACCCCCTGAAATTTTGGTAAAATCATGATCTCTGCTGATTTTCTCGAATTGCTAACCTCATTGAAAACCATTGTATGTGTTGATCTTGGTTTGAGAAAGCCTCTTTCAAAGCTGGCTGTTGATCTGTTTAAACATTATGTAATAATCTAAAATTCGTTCATCAGGAAAGCAACCACCATAACTCTCTGCTTGCTGTGTTCTTGGCATCTCCTGCAATTAGCTGAGAGAGCTGCATTTCAGCAAGAGAGATCAGCAGACAAATGGGTTGTGGTGGGGCTGACCCTACGCTTAATTTCAGCCTTTCCCAGGTTCCATTCGGTCAAAGGAGGCTCAACATGAACTGCTTGCAGAATCTAGTGTGGCTCGTCTATAGGTCAATTCAGGGTTTTCATTCTGGAATCTTTCACCAGCAATAAAATAACATCTGTCAGTTTTTACTTACCCAATACCAAGATATCTGGCATTTCTTATGAAATACAACAATTTCCTATTTCTTATGTTTTCGGTAACCCAAGTTCAGACTTTACTGGTATGTCCTTTGTAATTCTTGACAGCCAAAAGGAACTGAAGAGAATGCGAAAAACAAGCAAACCCTTATTTTGTATATTGCTAATTTATTGAACAAAAAGCAAGATTGTCTTACCTGGTTGTTTTGCATTTGGCCCCTTTGCTGCTCAACAGAAATTTTGCTAAAATACTAAGTTGGTTGCCAGGCTTAATTGGGAAAAAAAAGGTGTAGAAAGGGCTAGCTCCATTGTAGTCATCATACATAGGTCTGGTTTCAAGTACAGTTTCTATCTTTTACAAAATAAAAGGTACCATGTAGGCAATTAACATATTGCCCAGGGTGCTCTTCTAACAGATATGCTTGGAAAATGCGTATGTATAAAATATGTACATATATAAAATATATATACACAGTATATAATCTATAGCTCTGAGAGCTTTTAAGTCAGGAATGCTGAGTATTATAGTATATTGAGGTCAGAAAAAAGTTTTACTCTGTGTGTGTGAGAGAGAGAATGTGCATGCGTGTTAATATACACGCTTCAGCCTCTTGTTTGAGCTACATTCTTCTGGCGCTTATTGATATGTTGTATTGTTGTTCACTTACCCATATTTAGTGGTTTTATTTCACTGCAATTTGTATTTTTTTAGAAAGTGAATTATGGAATTATGTCAGCCGTTTTAAGCTCCTCTCTTCCCCCAGATTGTTCACTTTGTGCTTTGTCTCTTCGGCAGCTATACATTAAGGCAAAAAAATAAAATAAAAGGAAAAGATTTGCTTTATACAAAGGGAACTAATCACCCACTCACCCACCCCTTTTTTTTGGTGAGAAAAATATTTTTCCAGTTTTCTTGCTTTTGTGTGGTTTCTAGTATCTTATTCCAGCATTGCTTGAGTGTGAAAGCACACATCCATGTAAACAAGCCTGGTGGTTCTATAGTGTCTCTATTTCAGAAACAATTATCTGAAGCTAAATAATTCCCAGTAAGGTGAGAACTTTTGTGGTATGACCAAAATCAGTTTTGGTAATGAGCTCAAATACATGACCTGCAGCCTTGGGTGCTGTTGAAGGCTAGAATGTACAACTACATGCTGCAGGTGGAGACTGAATGTTTGATTGTGCTCCCACATGTATTTTTAAAAATCCTGCCCATAAAAAAACTAGTGTTATGGAGAAGGATCTACTATAGCCTTCCACTGACATCTTAGTTTTTAATGTTTGGGCAAACATTTCAATTGCCATCTGCAGTGTGAAGTGGCAGTACAGTTCAAATTTTGCCTTCGAGGGTATTGATCATGCAGCTTGGCTCTTAATCTGAAGAGCGTCTAGCATATTTATTGTGGTCCTGCTATTTGTATATATCTCATTACTTTTAGCTAATCCACTGACTCTCAGGATAAACTTTAAAAGAGGCAATTCTTGCAGGGGGATCTGCAGGGCAGGACCAAAAATCTACAGTCCAGTGGAAGTTAGGAAGATTACAGTCCTTTTAATGACATTAGAAATGTGGCAGAGGATTGTATTTAATTATTGGAACAATCATATGAGAAAAGGGGAAACTAAATTTTGGTGATACTAAATTCATTTTGTAGTTTGTGAATAGAACTGAACATTTCAAGGATAGAGTCCAGATGAAAAAAATGTAAGATGCATGGATTTGTTTTCCTTAAAGAGTGAAGCTACATAACACACCCAGATTTATCAGAAAGCACAACTCCTGAGTGTTTCCTGCTGGCAATTAAGATGAGTTGATGTAAAGTTAAAGACTCTTAAAATGGGTTTATTTTTATATACTATAAACCCATGGTTGCATACTTTATGCCTATGGATAGATTTTATCAAGTCTTCTAAATTTTCTAGATATAAAGTACACCAACCTCTGTTCTGAGCACATTGAGAAGCACAGCCAGCTTGGAACTGTTAAATATATGGTGCTGAAATTTTAGCAGTGCACTGTCTTGTGATACGTTCATCTTCCATGCTGACTATAGCTTAAGAATTATTGCATCGCTTCACTGCAAGATGAGAAATCGGTAGACGGCATATCAGAATGCAATCCCAAATATTTCATTCTGATATATTTGCATCCTGAAACATTGGAACTTCAAAATGTATGTAAACCATAGTCGTAGGTGAACGGACAGGCTTTTTTTTTTTTAATACCACAAATGTATTTTTGGTACTGCAAATGCAGGTCCCTGCTAGCTTGAAGTGAGCGGTCGTACATTTTAAAGTCATGTTTACAGAGTCAGAAATGATGAGGGTTTGTTCAGGATTGTTATTTTGAATCCCTCCCTTGCTTATACCTGCGAGGAATCTCACCGCATCTTACTGTACCCTTTCACTCACTTTCTCAGGGTTTGTGTGCACACGTACGTTTTCACCAATGCAGCATTTATTTCCGAGTTGCTTGGTGTCAAGAGGTCTGTAGCTTACCCCAGTGTAATGAGGCAACTGAGAACAACTACGCTGGGATTTAGCTCGTTAATTTATGGATACGTGGCTGCAAAAATTAAGCACCGAGGTCCTATGGTTGCCATTCTTTTGCAGTGCTTTCTGAATATGACCCAGTCGCCACTGCCTACCACAATAACTATGCTGAATTGTTTACATGTGGCCTCTTAGCCTCACATTGAACCCAAGGCACATCAAACCTCTCTTAATTATCTGGAGGTTCTCCTCACTTGAATTTCTCCTCCCGATTGACCTGTTGATAATGGAATCAAGTTAGAGATTGGTGCAGATTTAAAAACAACCATTGGCTGTATCATTCTAAGCAAGATACTACTGTATCAGTCAGTCACTTGAGCCGTGGCTGCAAATTGATTTGATGGACAATCTGAGGCAGGAAGAAAGAGGAGAGGAGACCTAAAACAGTTTGATGGTATTCAATAAGGTCATGATAAATAATTGGGAGATTGTTTTTAAAATGTTTTCTACCGGTTGCACTTGAGCCAGATACCACTCCACATCTGTGTCATAGAATTGTTTCTGTTTTGAAATAAGAAGAAACTAAATGCTAGGCCTTCAGTTCCATTTACAACCCTACTACTTTATGTATGACCATTCTGCTTGCAAGAACACACAGAGAGAAAGTTGTGCAAGTGAAGCACCTTCTCTAAAGCTCCTTCGTTACGTTTGGAAGGCAGTTTACACATGAAGAAATCACAATGCAAAATTTCAAGTTTCTGGAATGGGGATGGCTATGCTATTTTTATTTAAGAGAAACTAAAATTCACCCCCATTTCTGATTCTTCACCCAAAACAATCAGCACAAAACAGGGTATTGAACTTTGAAAAAAGTTTCCTCTTGAAATTAAATTGCTGAGCAAAGAAATATGAACTGGGGATGGGTTAATTTCATTTGAGAATCCTCTATTTCCTAGAAACACCCCTGTTTTAATTTTGTAATTATTGTTTTGTGCGTTTATTCCCCCCACCCCATGTACTGAGTTACACTGCTTTTTATTAACATTGTGTACATACTAACTGCTTTGTGTTTCAGAATGCTAGTAATTGCTTTGTATATTAAAGTGATCCTTGTGAATTTGTGAATTGTCATAAAAGTGCTTTTTCTTACTGTAAAGTTTGTGGTATAAACTGTCATAACACCCTTTTTACACATTTATGTGCAGACACATAAACATGCTTTTAAAATCATCTTGAAGTCTCTTTTCTTCAGAGAAGGAGGGTCATTTATCTTGATGCCGTTGACGTCAGCAATACTTGCCGCTTGACCACTTAAGAGCAAAACAATCAAATAGAAATGCTCTGTGAGCCCAATCATAGGTATACTTTCTGTCAAGCTGGCGAGGGACCCTAGGATGCGCCTAAGGGCTGCTTTGGGAGCAGAGACAGGTATGCTAGCACAAGAGTTTATGCCACCAGATGTATTTCAGAACACCTGCGGAAAGCTCCCCTAATCTAGATGTACCAGGGGCCCATGGGGAATGGGAATGAATTCCCATTCATGTCCCTGGCACACCCACAAAAATGATGTTACCTTTCATTATTAACAGGAAGGAAGAAATGGGGGGGGGAGCTGCTCCCTTGACTAGGAAATGGGGAGGCTGGGCTGAAGAAATTTGTAGAAACCATAGCAACGGCCCTCCTAACCTCCCAGCTCCACATTTTGCACCAGAATAATAGCACAGATCACTTCTGCCACTTTCCTCAGAATGGCTCTGATAATGCCAAGGTTGCAGGCTTTTCCCCGCATAAAGGGATGGCTGCATATTCCTGCGTTGCAGGCGCTTGGACTAGATGATCCTGGAGGTCCCTTCTAATTCTACGATTCTACACAAGCTTCCAGGGGTAGATGCCAATTGTCTCTGCCAGCATGGGGTGGGGCAGGTCATTGGGGTTTTTCAGCACGTGCTCTGCTCAACCTTAGATCCAGCTCAAACTGAGCATGTGCCCTAGAATGGATTGTCAAATCCTACAGCACAAAAATGCTCCACAGATTACAGGTTGCGATGGAATGGATTTACTTAGGCTGGAAAAGCTGAAGACTGAATTTGTGAACTGATTCAGTTCTAAATCCCAGAAAGAGCTCTTTCAAAAAAGCTTCAGTTACTTTAAACAGCTGCTTTTATTGCTGGTAAACGTAAAGGTAAAGGGACCCCTGACCATTAGGTCCAGTCATGGCCGACTCTGGGGTTGGGGCGCTCATCTTGCTTTCTTGGCCAAGGGAGCCGGTGTACAGCTTCCAGGTCATGTGGCCAGCATGACTAAGCCGCTTCTGGCGAACCAGAGCAGTGCACGGAAACGCCGTTTACCTTCCCGCCAGAGCGGTACCTATATCTACTTGCACTGCCTGCTTTCAAACTGCTAGGTTGGCAGGAGCTGGGACTGAGGAATGGGAGCTCACCCCATCACAGGGATTCGAACCGCCGATCTTCTTATCGGCAAGCCCAAGGCTCTGTGGTTTAACCCACAGCGCCACCCGCGTCCCCTGAACCAAAAAGGACGCGAGTGGCGCTGTGGTCTAAACCACAGAGCCTAGGGCTTGCAGATCATAAGGTCGGCGGTTCAAATTTCCGTGATGGGGTGAGCTCCCATTGCTCTGTCCCAGCTTCTGCCTACCCAGCAGTTTGAAAGCACATCAAAGTGCAAGTAGATAAATAGGTACTGCTCCAGCGGGAAGGTAAACAGCATTTCTGTGTGCTGTTCTGGTTTCACCAGAAGCAACTTAGTCATACTGGCCACATGACCCGGAAGCTGTCTGCGGACAAGCACCAGCTCCCTTGGCCAATAAAGCGAGATGAGCGCTGCAACCCCAGAGTCCGTGACTGGTGTCCCTTTACCTAGTGCCTGAACCATAGGAACCAAAGAATGGTGCAGCTTATGGTGTAGATCTTTAAAGATTTGTTCACCCTTGTTACGTTTGCACAGCTGATTTCAAGATTGTGCTTCCCACTTTTTAGGAAGTTTTGGGAGTCCCAAAGCATCTTGTTACATGCAGGACGGGAGTTGTTTTGTGTTCAACTAGGGACACTCTTGTGCCTCTTGGATGGTTTTGGTCCAAATGTTCTCTTCTTACTGCTGCACGTGGAAATACGAGGACTGCTGCAGAACCTCTCAGCTAGAGAACTGCTCTTCTGCTCCCACTGCACATGCAGCTCTTTTCAGTTTGCTCACAGTACTTGGGATCCACTCCAAGGGACCACAACGCAATTGTGAAAATTCTGCCTTTCTGGTTAGAAGTTGCACTCTGCTGATCGGGATGGAATTTGGCAACTCACTCTGGAGGCATGTTTAAGTGGAGGAGTTCAGATTCAGAAGTCACGTGAGATTACTTCTTGAGTACACCTGCCTGGTTGTATCCTTCTGTTGAAAAACTAACCAAACATGGGACATTTCTTTGCAAAACATCAAACATTTTTATTGACTTTCTACTTCTGTGGAACGATTTACAACTATCAAGTATTACTATCTCTATCAGGCAGTAACAACTTATTTGTAAGAACTTCTTCCACATGAGAGTAAGAATACTGGAACTTTGCACCAGAATTTTACAAGTCACTAAGCAGATAGTGCACTTTATTGATCAGATCACTTTCCAATTGCAATGATAGACAATGGATGGCACACTCACTTTCCGCTCTCTTCATCACATGATGTTTGGGTAAGAAATGGATTCATCTTTTTCTTTTGATAATTTCAGGAGTAAATCTAATCTCATGGAAAGCTTTTGAGGGAAGGGTCTATTTTTGAAATGCAACAGAAAGCATCGCGACTTTAAATTACACCTTAACTAATTCCAAATTCCAAGACAAACTTTAATATAAGACAAACTTACATGTTATATATATGTGTGTGAATCTAATTGTGGACACAGATAGGTTTACTGGGAACAGAACTCTATTTGGATATAGACACCCATAGACTTTCTGGACATTAAAAAAACTATTCAAAGAAGATCTTACTGTATACGTACTTGATGACCTTGAAATTACATTTGAAAAAGACTTCAGTTATTAGTTGACTTCTGGCTTATTTATGATATCACGGTTTTTACTGTATTTGGACTTGCATACTGATAACTGATGCCGGATTGGGGGTGGTTCTGATTCTACATTGGCAGATTTGAATTAGCAGAGGGGAAACTTTATTAAATGTAGATTAGTGATTTACTTAACTAATGTATTACAATTTTACTTTTTGATAAAATAGTAGGGATCCACTTAAGAGAATAAACATAGATTTGTATCATCTTTAGACTTGATAAATGAAATTACTGGACAGCTTGAATGTGCACTGATGAATTATAAATTACAAACTTGATTATTGAAAAACAACTAATGAAGCATATTTGTGAACATATTACAGAGTGAATTTCTAAGGAACTAGGCAACTCTAAATAATAATGAATGAATGATGTTAGACTAATTAGTTTCATGCGAAATATCTAGAAGAATTTAAACATTCTATTAGGAATGCAAATCAATAACTCCCCTTATGTTTTGGTATATTATTTCTCTATTGCATGATTGATCATTGTTCCAGTTAGCCTGATAGAAAATTGCTAACTGAGCCACTCTCTCTAAGGACACAAACAGTAAAACTGGTTTGTTTTTACATAATATAGCCAAATATTTCCCTGTGTATATCACATCCCCACCCCCCAATGCACTGCATAATTAATATTTGCTGTTCCATTGGGGGAAGTGCCCTGAGATGTAGTTCTGAGCAGCATAGCTTAACACAGTGGGAAACAGAGGTAAACTGTCACTATTATTAATCTAATTGGATTTTTCCATTTACTTGAAGCCAGCAGGTCCTACGTTTCCTCAATGGCAGGCTTGGCCCTTGCACACTAATAATTCATTGGTCCATTTATAATTTGGTTGGATTACCTGAGTTACCATGATCGGGATGGGAAAAAACAGGAGGGATGGCTGGATGAAAGGCCTAAGGTTGTTTGGTCCAGGTATGATTGCAAGTGGCAGGAATAAGCATACAATAGTTCACAAACTAATCACAGATCTGCTTTCTGGGCTTTCCTCTGTGCTCTGAATATATGCACATCATTACCAGGGTCATAGTGCACCTCGTATACTGAAAACCGCTCCTCCAACATCTTCAGGAACTTGTGGTCTCGCTCGTAACGGAGGCGGCATGATAGTAGGATCACTGTCTGTTCAGAGCAGAGATGGTCCAGCGTTTCAAGAAGATCGGCAAACGTTTCTTCCAGGTAAACAATGTCTGCTCCCAAGATAAAGTCATATCCTCCTGAAGAGAAGCTCCCCAAGTCTCGGCCCCAAGTCAGTTCTTTTACTGCTGTCCTTGGCCGGATGTCAGCAGGTAAATTAGCTTGGACGTTTGACTCCAGTAGAGCCAAGGCGGCCTTCCTGTCTGTGATTGTCACTTGAGCACCTAACGTGCCAAAAAGGAGGAGGAGGAGAAGGAGAAGAAGGAGAAATCAAATGTGTGAAGACAAATTGCTGGTATCCGGCACAACTTTCAAAACACAAGTTTATTTCCCCAAACAACAAAACCATTTCTCGGGTTGATTCCTATGTAAACTCATGTTCGGAAATACTATTATTAATGTTCAGTACGGCCCAGTCATGTCATTCAGCCAAGCTATCCAGACCAAGAGAGTGTTCTAATGCTCAATAAAAGAATATTGTGCTACCATCTTTCTATCCCTGCATTGCTATGCTAATCCATTATCCGCAAGCCCCTGTTAATAACCTTGCAGCCCCATTTTGGGTCAGCTGAAGTTTCTAGATCATTTTCAAGGCAGCCCCACAAAGGCCATGCAGCCGTAATTCAAGTGGTTGCAATTCAAGAGTTGAAAGATTATCTTGGTTTAGAGTCATAAATGGTATGTAACTGAAGATGAGTTGGACTGGACTTGCACCCAGATATGTGTATATAGGATTGCAGTCTGTAAAGGCAAAATCTTGGGATGGCTGCAAAATAGACATGTCTGGTATAATCCCCTAACACCCCCCAAAAAAAACACACAATAAAAAGGGATTTGTGCTCTGCAGTGAACAGCACCCAAGGAAAACAATGTAACTCAGAATTACTGTCAGATGAACTTAATAGGCCACATCAGTCCCAGTTTCTGCAAAGAGAAACTTACCAAGCAGTGCAGCTACAATTCCCAGCAAGCCTGTTCCGGCTCCTAACTCAATCACCAAGCGTCCTTGTAGATCAATGCCTCCCATCTCCAAGAAAGTACACAAAACCACAGCCTGGGCACCCGAAAGGGGAAAAAAATCTAATTAAAAAGAATGCTTATTTAGGTTAATGCCTAATCACAGCATTGCTCATGTGGGTCACATGACAAGCTTGCAGAAAAGTTGAGGGCAACAAACCGCTGTGAAGTGCAGGCAGACCAGAATATTATTATTCTTCGGACCTAAATACTCAGGGGGACTGGGGAGGTTAAAACTGGAAGTCTGGGTGTCCCTGCCTAAAATGAGGATTTAACTGCAAATTATTAATTTCTAGTGACGTTACTCTGCTCAGCGGATTGTGAGCTATTTAAAACTGTACTTTTTGACAAATATACACTAAAGAGAAGAATTCAGTCTCCTTGAGGGCTGTACTAATGATCTATTTTTTTGGCTACTCATAAATTTTTCTTCTTCAGGCAGGAGGTGAAAACTGATTTTTTTGAAAGAAGGTGAGATTTCCAGTGAGATTTCACATCTCTGAACAGATCACACCTTGTTAAGAGATGATGAAAGAACTAATCTTTCTATTGTGTACAATAAAATGAGGACAGCTTACAACAAGAACATTTTTCCAGCACTCAACAGAAAAACAAGAAATATCAGGGTTTTATTTTTATTTTTTTAATGGGGCATCACCAATGGTTCATTCCGTAAAAAGACTGTACCATCAGCACCCAAACAGATGGCAGTGTGATCCTATACATGTCTATTTAGAAACAGGTTCTGTTGAGTTCAACATGACTTACTCTCAGGTAAGAGTGTCTATGACTACAGTGAAGTATACTGTCATCTGAAACTATGCCAAAACATTAAGAACACAGTATACAGTGCATGAGAAATGTGTAAAGTGTTTCTTTAAACATTTACAGTATGACTTTCATCCTCCATGGTCTCTTTTGAAATGTGTGGCTTTGAAGATCAACAGCTCAGTGTGCAGAGAACATCCATATCAGGTTTTATCAGTTTCTCTGCTACCCAAATAATAGCTTAAGCAACGCCACAACTACAGATAAGATTATTAGGACAACTAGATTAGACCATCGTTACTATGGCAGGACTACTATAATTTGGAGGTAAACCCTACTAAATCCATTGCTAGTAAGCACGCACAAGATCAGGCTACAAAAGCACTGAAGAGCCAGCGTGGTGTAGTGGTTAAGAGCGGTGGCCTTGTAATCTGGTGAACTGGGTTCGATTCCCCGCTCCTCCACATGCAGCTACTGGGTGACCTTGGGCCAGTCACACTTCTTTGAAGTCTCTCAGCCTCACTCACCTCACAGAGTGTTTGTTGTGAGGGAGGAAGGGAAAGGAGAATGTTAGCCTCTTTGAGACTCCTTCAGGTAGTGATAAGGCGGGATATCAAATCCAAACTCTTCTTCTACTGATTTAGGAATTGGGGTGGGGTGGGGGCTGGACAAGTGACTATTAATGCCCACCTTTAAACAGCAAAGGATCATCTTTAAACAGTAACGTGTCAGAAAATGAATAAGTGCAAAATTATACGGACCGCATCCCACACAACAGCTGCAACACCCAGCTGCTTCCAGTTCTGCTGGATCTCGATGGTGTGGTTGGCAAAACAATATGTAGAGGAAGACTTGTGTAACTTCTGCATCCCCCAAGCAGCCGTGTCATCGTAAGGAACCAAGGCCATCTTTTCGTCTATCAAACCAAATGGAAGTATAGCATTAGGGGAAAAGTTTGTACAAAAGGCTCTTCGTACTCCTTCAAATTCCATTAGCAAAGGATGACTCAAGTTTTGCCCCACTCCACAATTCACTTATTCTGATTTTACACTCACTCCATGCCAAACGTTGGTAACTGAAATGTAAAATATTCACACTAGGAATTTATCTCTGAGTTTTACTTCAATTGTGGAAAGCAGACTACCGGTGCTTCCGGAAGATGCCAAGAATTCTTCTCTATAGGCGACCTCCTTACACTTGCTTGATGCTTAGCTAGCAGTCAGGACTATTTTCATTTTATCTTCATCTTCCCGTGCATGTAAAAACAGAACCAAATTAAATCAAAGAAAAATAAAATGTATTTCATGACTTTGATCTTATGAATTTCTATCAAGGGATTATTATTGACAATACTGGGCATACATGGATACAGTATTCCTGTCCCAAAACGTTAAGTATTAGAAGTCTGCTTTAACAAGTGAATTTTTAAAGCCTGTCTGAACAACACATGAAGAGAGGGAGCCTGATGGATCTCACCAGAGAAGGCATGTCAAAGCACCGTGCCACCACTAAAAAGGGGCCATGAAACCACGCTTTGAATGTCTACTAATAATGGCACATAGAAAAGGCTCTGAGGCTGAGCTCATGGCTTGATCAGTTTCATATGGGAGAAAGCTGGGCCAACTAAGGCTCTAAACAGCTTAACAGCAACATTTTGAAATTCAGCCTTTTTTAAAAAGGAAACTGGTAGAGATGAAGTAAGATCAGAGGTATACGTTCTGACGTTCCAGCCAGTTGAATTTTGGACCAATTGCAATTGAATGAGCCGTGATTAAAGGCAGAGCCTCATGGAAAGAGGTCATACAACCTGGAAGATTGCATGAGTGATTATGCTTAGGTCCAAATTCCCTAAGAAAGGTTACAGCTAGCAAACTAACCTGTAAAAATGACTCTCGTCCATCACTTCTACTGGATATCCAGGATCGCTACCCTAAGCTGCATATCTGATCTTGCAGAAGGAGTACAACTCCATCCAGAACACGGTTGTATACCTAATTCCTGGTTGGCAGAATTCCTGACTGAAAGGACATCAGCTTCAGGCGAGTATTTGCCACCAACCATTCCTGAACTGACACTGGGCACTGGTTTAGAGTTTCCATCACCTCAAAGGGATGAGAAGGTGAGAAAGAAAGGGAGAGCAGTATGTCCTCAGCACACTCATGATCTCAGACAGCAGTTTCATGTATCTTGTGAGCTCCTGTGCTGAAGAGCGGTATATAACTCTTAATAAATAATTGCATGTGCATGTTTAAAAGGACAAGAGACAGGCTAGTATCCTTTGGCACCCCACAAACCAAATCCTAATTGGCAGGACAACAGTCCCCCAATTATTATTGTGCGATTCCACTTATGCACATGGGGGCCCGGAACGTAGCTCCTCCCTATAAGTGAGGAGTCGTCTATATTTGCACACAACAACCCTGTGAGGTGGGTTGTCAAAAGTTCAGTTTTCACAGATGCGGGGGCCCTGGAGGCAGGCAGTGTGCCACCTTACCTGGTTCTTTTACACATTGATGGGATGGAGATGGGCACATACCTCATGTTTTCCTTTCCCACTGGAGGTTGGATAGATAGATAGATAGATAGATGATAGATAGATATAGATATAGATATAGATATAGATATAGATATAGATATGGATATGGATATGGATATGGATATAGATATAGATATAGATATAGATATAGATATAGATATAGATATATAGATATAGATATAGATAGATAGAATTGTAGAGTTCGAAGGGACCCATAGGATCATTTAGTCCAACCCCCTGCAATGCAGGAATATGCATCTGTCCCTTGGCATTATTGGCACCACACTCTAACCAACTGAGCTGTGTGTTGTGTGCGATCCAATGAAAAAGGCTTTTTGTGTATTTCTCTTATTAACTGTATTCCTGAGAAACCTTAGCCAATTTAATGAAAGGGCCGATGCTGTGCTGTTTGCATTGCAATTATTTGTACGGTTTTAAGAGATCTTACATATAAGAGAGAGAGAGAGAGAGATTTTTAATTCTATCCATGTTTCATTGTTTCTTGGTTGTTCCTGCTCACACACACACACCGTTTTTATCTGTTCTTATTTTTATCTGTAAGCTGCCCTGCCAAGGAAACGGGCAAGTTTAATAAAAATAAAGATAACAGATTCTCTGTAGCTCATGTATCTTTTTTTGGCTTGGTGATTTAACTTTGCCATTAGACGAAGTGTGTCTGTGCTTTGCTAACAGCATGTCTGTTATTCTGAATAAAAATTATATTATTTGGAATTGGAAGAACAAAAACGTCTAGCTCGTTTTCCCGCAGACGTTCATTTTCTATGCTCGCCCTCCCCTTGGTTTATTATTAATTATAACTAATAATAATAATAATAATAATAATAATATTGGTTAACCTTCAGGAGAGGAGTACCTGGCCTCCCTCCCTCCTTGTTGCTAGGGAACCCAACACTCCTCCCCCCACTGACCCTCCTCTGCTCACGTGACGCGGGGTCTACGGAGACCTTCCACTTGTCCCGGGAACCAACTTTCGGCGGCGCGGGAGCACCGGGCATGCGCACAGCAGCCAGCACGGCCGGACTACAGGCATAGAAGGAAAAACGTGTAGAGGTATGCACTCGGCTTTAACTTCCGGTTACGATTTCTTTTCTTTCTTTTTTCCAATTGAGCCATCATTCCGTCCCTTCCTGCTCTACACTTCGTTTCCAATATTCTGATTCTGCATGGAGTAAAACCGGAAGAGTTACACAGAGAGCTTTAACTGCCGGTTACAATGTCTTCTCTCCTTTTTTTAAAAAGCAAAGGCGCCAATTATTCTCATTTACTGTACTTACTGGTTGCCTCTTTGCAGCAGGAGCAATGGCGGCCTGGTTTTTTTTTCTTTTTAAGAATCAGTTTTGCAATTATGCAATTAAAGAAGAACTGCACTGGCTGCGAAGTAGAAGCATGGGAGGTTCCCCAAAGCACCCTCTTTGCAAAGATCGCGCAACTTTTTGAGCTCTGCAGTCTCTCTGCGCACAAGTAGCATAGGATGCCAGGCGCGTTCCTGCAGGTCCAACGTGGGGAAAGGGTGCCTAGGGCGTGTCACACACGGCACAGGGATGCCTGCCTCTAATTACAGCATCGCTTGAATGTTCTTGGAGGTCAGATCCACGCACGTGCCTCCCGCCTGCCCCCCAGTGTTTCCTCTAAAAATGCCTCTTGCTGAATTGGAGGTAGAGTGGTACCTCGGGTTACATACGCTTCAGGTTACAGACTCCGCTAACCCAGAAATGGCGCTTCATGTCAAGAACTTTGATTCAGGATGAGAACAGAAATCGTGCTCCGGCGGCGCGGCAGCAGCAGGAGGCCCCATTAGCTAAAGTGGTGCTTCAGCTTAAGAACAGTTTCAGGTTAAGTACGGACCTCCGGAACAAATTAAGTACTTAACCCGAGGTACCACTGTACTGTTGGTCTCCTCCCTTCCCAGTGCTCAGGGGAGACATCATTTTGTGGTACTCTCTCTGCACTAAACATTCTCCACCTTTCTCCTCAAAGCTGCAGTTCCTCCCTCCACACAACTTCAAATCTTCAAATATCCCAAGGGCTGCCTCATGGAGGATGGTGCAAGATTGGGTTTTTTCCTCCCGCTCCAGAGGGCAGGACTCGAACCCATGGCCTCAAGTTACCAGAAGGGAAATTCTGACTAGACATCAATAAGAACTTTAGGATGGTAAGAACCGTTCGATAGTGGAGAGGTGGTGGACGATCTCCTTCCTTGGAGGTTTCGAAGCAGAAGTTGGATAACCATCTGTCATTGATGCTGCAGCTGAGATTCTTTCATTGTAGGGGGTTGGATTAGATGACCCTTGGGGACCTTTCTAACTCTACAGTATGAATCATTGATGCCTTAGATAGCATCTTAAAAAGCAGAGACATCACCTTGCCAACAAAGGTCCGTATAGTTAAAGCTATGGTTTTCCCAGTAGTGATGTATGGAAGTGAGAGCTGGACCATAAAGAAGGCTGATCGCCGAAGAATTGATGCTTTTGAATTCTGGTGCTGGAGGAGACTCTGGAGAGTCCCATGGACTGCAAGAAGATCAAACCTCTCCATTCTTAAGGAAATCAGCCCTGAGTGCTCACTGGAAGGACAGATCCTGAAGCTGAGGCTCCAATACTTTGGCCACCTCATGAGAAGAGAAGACTCCCTGGAAAAGACCCTGATGTTGGGAAAGATGGAGGGGCACAAGGAGAAGGGGACGACAGAGGACGAGATGGTTGGACGGTGTTCTCGAAGCTACCAGCATGAGTTTGACCAAACTGTGGGAGGCAGTGGAAGACAGGAGTGCCTGGCATGCTCTGGTCCATGGGGTCACGAAGAGTCGGACACAACTAAACGACTAAACAACAACATAATTCATGCCCATCAGGGGCTCACTTTCTCAAAGCTCACTGGGATTTCTCCCCTCCTCCATTTAGTGAGTTCTGGTTGGTGCTGATGATTATGAAGGACCTGCGATCTTCGCCTGGGAAATTTCGCATTCCACAGGCGAATATTAAAGAGCCAAATAGTCCTGAGCCAGACAACACAGGCTGCCACCACGAGCCCTACCCGCCTCCTCCGCCAACGGGCAAGGACTGAAGCCAAAGTCGCAAGCGAAGGAATGTCAGGGCTGGGAGGGCAGGGCTTAGGCTATGCAAATGGAGGCGGGTTTCTTTAAAAATAAACCAAAAAAGGGAGATCACAGAGATAGAAACGTTTAGAGCAGTGTAAGCATCAGCTGAATTCTGAGTCTAAATAGTTTAGACTAGCTTTCCCGCTTGATACGAAACTGGAGGAGGGTTCTCAGCACAGGGAGCTGTAGGTAAGTGGTTGGAGTCGTGTGTGTGTGTGTGTGTGTGTGTGTGTGTATTATTTATATATATATGTGTGTGTGTGTGTGTGTGTGTGTGTGTATATATATTTGTGTGTGTGCGTAAATATATCTATATATATATTTGTGTGTGTATTATTTATATACATATTTTGTGTGTGTATATAAATATACATATATATATGGTTTTGTGTGTGTGTGTGTGTGTGTGTGTGTGTGTGTATATATATATAGTCATTGTTTAGTCATTAAGTCGTGTCCGACTCTTCGTGACCCCATGGACCAGAGCACGCCAGGCACTCCTGTCTTCCACTGCCTCCTGCAGTTTGGTCAAACTCATGCTGGTTGCTTTGAGAACGCTGTCCAACCATCTCGTCCTCCGTCGTCCCCTTCTCTTTGTGCCTTCCATCTTTCCCAACATCAGGGTCTTTTCCAGTGAGTCTTCTCTTCTCATGAGGTGGCCAAAGTATTGGAGCCTCAGCTTCAGGATCTGTCCTTCCAGTGGGCGCTCAGGGCTGATTTCCTTAAGAATGGAGAGGTTTGATCTTCTTGCAGTCCATGGGACTCTCCAGAGTCTCCTCCAGCACCATAATTCAAAAGCATCAGTTCTTCGGCGATCAGCCTTCTTTATGGTCCAACTCTCACTTCCACACTTCACTACTGGGAAAACCATGGCTTTAACTATACGGACCTTTGTTGGCAAGGTGATGTCTCTGCTTTTTAAGATGCTGTCTAGGTTTGCTTTTCTCCCAAGAAGCAATACGTGTGTGTGTGTGTGTGTGTGTACGCGTGTGCCTATATATGTATGTGCATAAATATGTGTGCGTGCCTATATATTTGTATGTATGTGCATCTAGATGTGTGTTCATATAGGTGCCTATGCCTGTGCATATATTTCTGTGCGCCCGCGCATATCCGCTTCTCGACCCCGCCCCCATCACGTGGCCCGGTTCCTGCCGCCCGGCCCCTCGCCCCCGCCCCCCCCTTTAGCCTTCAGATGCTGCGTCGCTGGCGCGCGGGCGGGTGGGGTTTGTCACGTGGGGGCGTGGAGCGCGGCCGGCGGTTGGCTGGCGCGTGCGCAAGGGCGCCGCCGCCGCCGCCGCTCCCTCCTCCTCCTCCTCCGCCGCGGGGACCGTTGGGAAAGCGGCTTCTTCCCGGGTCTTCCGGCTGCGGCTGCTGAGGGGGCGGCTTGTTGGCGAGCGGGGCCGGGCGAGGGCGGCGGCGGCGTGACAATGAGGCGACGCTGCTGCTGCTGCTGCTGGCGTCGCCGAGGCCTTCTATAGCCGGGCTCGGGCCCAGCCCAGGCGGCGGCGGCGGCGGCGGCGGCTGCTCTCCCGCTCGGCCATGGGGAACACCGTCACCTGCTGCGTCTCTCCCGGCGCCAGCCCCAAGCTCGGCCGGGTCCGCGGCTCGGCGCTGAGGGCGGCGTCCGCCGGAGGGGGCGGCGGGGGCGCCGGGAGCGGGGCGGCGGCGGCGGCGGCCGTGGGGCTCGAGCGGAGGGCGGGCAACTACCGGGAGGTCACTGAGGCCGAGTCGGGGGACTCGGATCCCGGCGGGGGCGGACCCCACCTGCAGCACATCAGCGACCGCGAGTTCCCGGATGGTGAGTGAGGGAGAGGGGCGGGGGAGGGCGAGGAACCCCCAGGGGGGGCTGAGGAAGTTTGGGGGGGGGCGTGGAAGTGAAGCCTCTTTCGTTCCGTGGCTTCTCCGTGTTGCCCCTGGAGCCTTCGGAATGACCCTTACTCGGAAGTAGGTCCAGCTTTGATCAGCAAGGCTGTTACAGGGGTACCTCAGGTTACATACGCTTCAGGTTACATACGCTTCAGGTTACAGACTCCGCTAACCCAGAAGTAGTGCTTCAGGTTAAGAACTTTGCTTCAGGATGAGAACAGAAATTGTGCAGCGGCGGTACAGCGGCAGCAGCGGGAGGCCCCATTAGCTAAAGTGGTGCTTCAGGTTAAGAACAGGACCTCCGGAACGCATTAAGTACTTAACCCGAGGTACGACTGTATTTCCAAATCCCCGCTGGGTGAGATCCCTACAGCCTTTCTCAAACTCCGGTCCCCAGATGTGTTGGGACTACAACTCCCATCAGCCCTAAGGATGGCTCGCAAAATTTAAGTTGGAAGGGACCTCAGGGTCAATCTAATCACCAGCCTTCTGGTTAGTAGCCAGATTAACCCATCCTGCAAGGAAGAGGGCACAGAGTGTTTCACGTGCCTGTGATAGCATAGTTCTTGCGCCCCGTGTTTGAAATTAGCGAAGCACATTTTGCACCTGACTACAGTGGTACCTCGGGTTACATACGCTTCAGGCTACAGACTCCAGTATCACAGAAATAGTGCTTCAGGTTAAGAACAGTTTCAGGTTAAGTACGGACCTCCGGAACGAATTAAGTACTTAACCCGAGGTACCACTGTATTGGTCACTTGCAACCAAGTGAAGGTGCCAGGATGGCGCCTGACATGCCAGGGGATCATTGGATCTGGACTGTTTTCACACATTAAAATCACATCCTGTAGAATACTAACCACTATATTTTATCTGCACAGTCAGAATGAATTTCAGGAAGCAAAATGCTTTTTATGTGCACCCTGAGTAGGAGCAGTGACCAGTGTTGTAGTTAATTGTTGTAGCTCGTCTTCAGTTACCCCACCCTGCTCACAGTTGTGAAGAATATTCCTACATTATGAATGGTCTGTGTCACCATTAAGAAAAAGAGGTAGGAATAGACCAATATATGTGTGGACTGTTCCTGGATCAAGTGACTTTTCTTCTTTAAGTTCTCAAAGTTCTTAACCTAGCTCAAGGTTGTAATCACAGAGTGTTTGTTGTGGGGGAGGAAGGGAAAGGAGAATGTTACCCGCTTTGAGACTCCTTCGGGTAGTGATAAAGTGGGATATCAAATCCAAAAATCTGAACTAGCGAGATGTTTAACTGATAATCAATCACAGCCTGTCCATCCTTTGAAAAATAAGGCAATAATAATAATAATAATAATAATAATAAATTTTATTTATACCCCGCCCTCCCCAGCCGAAGCTGGGCTCAGGGCGGCTAACAACAATTTAGACCCATCTTGCTCCAAAATGGCAACAAGACATTTTGTTTTGGCAACTGCAACCTTGGATTAAGGAGCCATTTGGCACCTAGTTTATACAACTGAGTTTCTGACACTGGTCACAAAGGGTTAACAGCACAATGTTTATTTGAGTAACAATGAAAGCAGATTCACAGTAAACTGAAATCTGGGGTGAATGTAATTAGAACTAGTAATCTCCCAAACCTATTCCTAACTGGCTAATTCCCTCTCTCATTTCCTGTCAACTGACCAAAGTTCCCACTACCACCCAATTATCATCCTATGCCCTTTTCAGCCTCCCCCTCCCCTTCTAACATTCTATACTCCCAGTGGATTTCCTTCCCCTACCCTCAAAGCTCAAACCCAAAATATGGTTCATTACACCAGTTTTGGACTATCCTGCCCTTGCTAATCCCTGGCCTGCCTCCTGGACTGGCAGTGATCAGCACAGAAACTGATGCTGTCTGTGTGTGATTTATGGGTCTGTTTGTCATTCAGAGAAATCTCTGTCTGGAAACAAGATTAAACAGTATGTCAGAAGAGTAATAATGTGATGAACACTCCTTTAGCTTGTAGTGTATCACTGAAGGAGGATGTGAATGTTTCCGCCTGTACTCTGAACCTTAGAGGTGGGGAAGATTAAAGAGAAATTATTTATGTTTATTACTTTCCAATTCGTCCATTAACCAGAATGGCTAACTTCTCATCAGGCTTGTAATCCAGTCATCTCATGTGCTCTTGGCTGGATTGAGACAGCAGTTCTAGGTCTTCATTTTGCTTTTGCACCATCAAGTTCCCAATATTCTGTTCCACTTAAGTGTCACCAAGGGATGAATCCAGGTTCAAGGTGTACAGATAGGAGCACTGTTTGTGCCTACAGTGGTGCCTCGCAAGACGAAATTAATTCGTTCCGCGAGTTTTTTCGTCTTGCGAGTTTTTTCGTCTTGCGAAGCACGGTTTCATTTTTTTCAAAAAAATCTTCAAAAACCTCAAAAAAGGCTACCACACCGCGTGCTATGAGTTGCTCCCGAAGTCAAGTCGCAACTGCACCTCTTCAAGCAATGCACCCTGTATTACTGTAACGGTTTTAAGAAAAGGAAACAAACTTGCAAGACGTTTCCGTCTTGCGAAGCAAGCCCATAGGGAAATTCGTCTCGCGAAGCAACTCAAAAAACGAAAAACTCTTTCGTCTTGCGAGTTTTTCGTCTTGAGAGGCATTCGTCTTGCGAGGTACCACTGTACTTGAAGACTTGGAGTCTAAATGCAAAGCTGAGAAGGAGTAGCTTAATTCCAAGTGAGAAGTGGGAATGCAGAATAGCTCAGAAGTGGAGTACTTCACTGCTGAATTTAATGGGAAAGTAGTCATTGCTACTTGGGGGGAAATGGGTGTGGATAACCCTTCTGTTTCCCTCAGAAGATAGGCAGTAGTTGCTGAAGAGGAACAATGGAAAAGATTGATAATAAAAGTGCCTGTAAAAGAAGAGATGACCTGGTGGGTTGGTCTTGTAGTCCTTGTTCCTGTTGTGTTTCCTTCTGGTAGCAGTTCCCAATTACAGGAGTGCCACCCCCATTTATTTTTCAAATATATGATGTTTGTTTACTTCATTAAAACCATTGTGGGTTTATTATGTAGGGTCTCTGGCCTACTCCCCTATAATTCCAGAACTGGTAGTAGATAGCTGTGTTTTGAAAACTTTTCTTGCTGTTTTTCTTAGTATCAGCCATGTTTTTTGTTGTCTTCATGGAGATTTTTTGCTGTGTCTGATAGGTTGAAACAGTACCTTTTCCAATACTGGGGCTGTTTAGAAAAGCTAAATGGCAGCAGCTCTCATTGCACACAGGCTGCATAGTGTTGCTGCTTGTCTTTCAAACGTCCAGTTTATGGTCATCTGTTCATCTTTCTTCCAAAAGCTATCTTATAGAGAGAGCTGCAATCCAGCCTCAAAGTTAGTGTTCACTCTTCTCTCATGATCTTCTAGTAAGTGATGCATTGAGAGCAGTTGGATAATTTTTATACAGTATACAACCATATAGTATAACTTGGCCCCAGATGAGCAACAGCACAAGCACAACACTTTTCCAGAGTGATCTGGCCATTTTGTGGAGTTATATACTGTATACACTTCCACTTCTTGGCATATAATCTTGGGGGGTAGACTTTAACATTTGTGTATATTTTACTAATCTGGCAAAGCATCTTTGGACTAGATTGAAGTAGTTTGTACTCCAGTATGAAAGAAGGGATTCAGATCTCAACTAGAGGATCTGGGCAACTCTTGGAGAAATCTAACCCTTCTCCCCTACTTCCCTGGCAATTCCTTTGAACGTGACCTGTTTACTTTAACAAGAAACTGCCTTTGTATTAAGGATTGGAACTGCAGTTGTGATGGCATCTTCCTATAATGATGTTTGGAAGCAAAATATGCAATGTAAGCAAATACATTCCATCTTAAATTTGTATAATGCATACCAATCCCAGAACTTATTTCTTGATGGGGACACTTGATACCTTTTTAAAACCAAGACATGCTGCTTGTAATAACTAATATGTAGTTATGAATTGTGATACAAAAGTTATGTTCAGAGTGCAAGTGGCAAGACACGTTTGAGTGTCTTAACCGCTGAATTTTCTATGTGTTTATTGGAAGGAAGGAAAAGGGTGGTGGAACAATGGAATTCTGGAGGCTAACTTAAAAATGACATAATATAGCTGGACAATGGCAAGCTATATCCAGACCAACAGGAAGTTAAGTTACAGCAGTAAAGTCAGACATTGGCAGCCCACCCCCACCCAGCTCTTGTTCCATGCGGGTTTCCTGGAAAAAAAACTTAAGTTATGTTTGCTTCCTGAACCAAAGGAATAATACTAAAATTAGTTGTACCTATCAAAGAGTACTTTAACATGGGAAAATATTTAGCTGTCTTACTCAGTTATAGCAGCTTTCTGATTTGTGAACAATCTTATTGGTTAATCTTCTTGATTGATTGGTTGGAAATCTAGTAAGTGAAGAATGATAAATGTGGCCCAATTCTTCAAATGATGGTTATCCATCTGTGTGGTTGCCTTGCTGTATGAGTTTTTTTGACTGTCATAATGGCACAAACAATAATTTCTTCGTTCTGTTTCAGAAAAAGTGCAGTGGGGGCTTCAGTAAATTTTTATTGTTAATATTTTAGTTTTACCTCTGTTTTCCAAGGTGCTTAAGGCAATGAACAACACTTAGGTCAATTTAGTTTCATACTAAATAATAACATTAAAAACCAATAATCAGGAGAATCGTAATATACAGTTAGCAACATAAAATTCCATAAATACCTGGATAAAAATTACAGTCTCAGAAACTTCTAAATGCAGTAATAATAGCAGCAGAGAAAAGCAGGAGCAATAAAAAGGAGCAATAAAAACAGATAAAATTAAACTACAATATTGTTAGAAAAGGGAAAGCACTCCTTGTTAAAATTTGCAAGTGTACAACTCTGCAAAACAGTATGGGTGAAGAAAGGGGAAGCAAACCTAACACTTCACAGTTACCTTCAAAGTATTCAGAAGGGTTAATGCTTAGTGCTGAGCAGCTTTTTCTTCTGGAGTAGCTGTGACAAGTCTAGGAGTGAAACAGGCTACAGCTTGCTCTTGCAACAGAGCAGACGTGAACAAACACCAGGCCTTTCTCACAAGGCACCTCTCAGAGGAAAGGATCTGCAATACTATCAGTTCCAGCTCGAAAATATAAAATTACATGTGGGCTTTAGGCCCAGTTTTAGAAGGGTTGTCCTGTGGGATGAAATATGTGGTAGTAGTAAGGAGCAAGAGGAATATAACTGTGTTGATTCCTTTGGACCTCTAGGCAGCTTTAAACATTGGCATCCTTCTGGTTAGACTATTTTGAGTTGGAAGAATTGCATTGCGGTGGCTCCACTCTTGCTTGGATGGTTGAGGCCCTGGTGGCATTGAGGGGGTTATTGCTCTGCTCCTTGGCAAGTATGTTATGGGGTCCCACAGGGTTCTTAAATTATCTCCCATACTGTTTACCATACTGGGACTCTAGGTACGCCTCTGGCCCTCCTCAGAAAGACTTGCCTGCGCAAGTGCTCAAGTCATCCTTTTGATGCCAGGGTTTATATTTTCCTTTATATTTTTATACAAAATTCATTAGATCTTTTATTGTGTTTTAATGCTAGTGTTATGACTTGCTGCCGGTGGTTTATCACTTCTTTTACTGTGATTATTTGTCTTTGTCTTGTTGCTTGTTTTTAATTAATATTTGGGCAGAGGCTATTATTTAAAGAAGCTGATCTTCCTACAATCCTACACACATTAAAGTAAATCCTACTGAAGCCAGTGAGACTTGCTGATGAAATATGCATAAAATCCAACTGTAAGAGACCTAAGAAAAGACAGACAAAATGGAAATGGCAGGGAATACAATACACTTTCCTTGTTCATGAGAATGATGGGCAACTAAACTTACAATATACAGTGGTACCTAAGGTTACATACGCTTCAGGTTACATATGCTTCAGGTTACAGACTCCACTAATCCAGAAATATTACCTCGGGTTAAGAACTTTGCTTCAGGATGAGAACAGAAATCGTGCAGTGGCAGCGCAGCGGCAGCAGGAGGCCCCATTAGCTAAAGTGGTACTTCAGGTTAAGAACAGTTTCAGGTTAAGAACAGACCTCCAGAACGAATTAAGTTCTTAACCCGAGGTACCCCTGTACAGGCATAGCTCACTTCATTGCGCGTTGCAGATATTGTTACCTTATGAGGACACGGGTGCAGCTGCAGGCAGCCTTACCATTCCCAGGGGAAGGAAGCCCCCTACCACCACTGCCCCCCTTCTGGTTATGAGAGTGGAGCCGGCTTGGGCTGAGCCGGGGTTTGGCCCCCCACCCATGTAGCCAAGGTGGCCTGGCTTAATAGACTACTACAGTATAGTGTAAACATAACTTTTATATGTACTGAGAAACAAAAAAATATGGTATGACTCACTTTATTGCAATACTTGCTTTATTATGGTGTTCTGCTACCAAACCCCCAATATCTCTGATGTACAGTATGCCTGTATAAGCATTTAATCTCGGTTGGGTTGCCATTTCACTTTGCTATCTTCCTGTAAGTCATGGGGCTCAAGCTAGTCCAAAGCAAAGGACAGCTAGTTTTGCATATTCTGTAAAAGTTAGTCTACAATATCTAATAGGAAAAGCAGCTGGTCTTTTGAGTTATATCCGAGTCATTTAAGACGGCTTTTAAAGTCTACAACCAATTCTGAAAAATAGTTCAGACAGTTTTAGCCATCTAAATCAGGGATCAGCAACCTTTTTCAGCCGTGGGCCAGTCCACCGTCCCTCAGACCATGTGGTGGGCTGGGCTATATTTTGAAAAGAAAAGAAAAAAAAGAACAAATAACCCACAAATAACCCAGTGATTCATTTTAAATAAAAGCACACATTCTATTCATGTAAAAACACGCTGATTCCCGGACCATCCACGGGCCGGATTGAGAAGGCGATTGGACCCCCAGTCCTTAGGTTGCCTACCCCTGATCTAAATGTTTTTGGAAAGCGCAGCTGGGTTTTTAATTCAGGGGACCTTTTTTTCATTTGGTTTTGCTTTCTTCCTTAGGGCTAGAAAATATGTGGCTGAAGTTCTATAATGTCTTTAGAATTTGGGAGCTATTACTCCAGAGGATGGATAAAAATCATTGGCTTGTCTTAAATTTGGTTACAAAACAGTGGGAAAAGACATGCATGTTTGGGTTAAGCATTATAAATGTCATAATAGGCCATGTGTTGTTTTATAGCAAATCATGAATACTTATGACTCTATGAACCAAACATTTTGGATGCTTCTTCAGTGAGATCGAAAGTAAATGCCTTTTGTTGTGTAACTTCTACCCCAGTTTCCAGAAAGTTAGGGTGCTTAGGACAGGATTATAAAATGGGCTTGAACACATCCAGTGGCTTGATTTAAATCTGTGGTTTTAACTTGCTTAAGTAAAGATTAATTTAAATCAATTTCCCCATTGTCTAAAACATACTTCCTGAACAGCCATACCCACTACTTGGTTGCTATGGCAGTTAAAACACTTCAATTAAATAAAGCCTTTATACTACCTAGAAGCATAATCCGAAACCTTTGGTCATGCAGCATGCATTCTTTGTACACTCCACAATTGTATCTCTTTTAAAAACAAGGGAAGTGATTGTGAAGCTACTGGATTTTTGTCTGGCTGTGTTCACATGGCAGCATCACTCACCTGAAGACAAGAGCCACAATCCAGTACAGAATTAAATACATTAGATTGTGGCCTAGGTCTTCAGAATTTTCCAGAAGAAACTGGACCAGTGTTCTTGCACATTAGATAGAAAGTGGATGTCTTTCTTTTTAGTTGATAGTTACAAATGTCAATCATTTCTTCAACAATAAATGTGTTCCATTGTATCATAATTATAAGGTGTCAGATTTTTTCCAGGCAATATTTATTTTCACACTGATTCTGTAAGTGTTTGTGAGTGTGCATCATAATTGGGCTTTAAGAACTGTAGAATTTAACATGCTTTATTACATTACACATTTTATTTCAAATCAAGCTATCTTCAGAAGTGAAACAACATTATTTAAAATTACAAATCCATCTTAAAACAAAAATGCAGTGAAATAAATGGGTTTGGCACCCTATGGCAAGCCTTTTAGAAGCTTTTTATTATAAAATGTGATAAGATTTGGCAGCAGCTTACGACAGCAGAAGCTGCATTGGAACTAAGAAAAGTAATTCAGGGAAGTTGTTAAAAACCGACCAACTTTAAAATATTAGTATTTGTTATGTAGAACCTTTATAATCTGAGCTGGTTCACATGGTATGCTAAGCTACGAAGTACAGGCAATACCTGATTCAGTCATGACAGCCAGATAGGTGGCTGTGCAACAAACTTTAGCTGTAGCTCATGGTTAGTGAGGACCCGCTTACCTGAAAGAAACCCCATTAAATTCAGTAGGACTTCTGAGTCGATATCATTACGTTGTTAGTGTCCTTGCATGTCTGCATGGAGCGAAATGGAAATTAACTTCTACATATGTGCAGTCCACCTTCTGAGCTTACATGTACTACGAACTGATCTTCCTTTAAGTTTCATAATAATAATTCTGTGTGTTTTCATATGCAAATCTGTGTTTCTCTGTACAGTACTTTTAAAAAATCAAGTTCCTGTAAATCGTGAATTGCATGAGGTATGCAGGCTGTATCAGTAGAGGTTTGGGATTTAGCTTCTACTTCATTGTAAATCAAAATTACTCTGATGTAATTGTATACTAACCAAATGAGTGAATGGAAAGCTTGACTTAAACCAATAACTGTTTCCTCTCTTTTGGTGTCTTAAATTAATTTCCTAACCCTCGCCCCCATTCTGATGGGAGGTTTGATGTAGAACTTTCAATATTTTAATGACTGTTTCTACACATGACCTCTTTTTAATTCAGGTGTAAGGCAGCAGTGCCATTTCATCTGTTCCCTGAAGGACTATGTAGATTAGCAAACTGTCTGAAAGTATTTCACCGTTACTGGTACTTATAAGTGCTTTTGCCCTTACTTTGCATGGACAATGGAGTCATCCATCAGTGTCCTGCTGAATGGCCAGGGAGGAAATCTAAGTCAATCCAAAGCAGATGATTATATGAACTAATAGCTTGCTTTTGTGCTGCATGAGATTGTTAGTCAGGATGGAGAAGGCAATACTTTAGTTCCCTATTGTAATAGGACTTTGCTTGTTATTCAGGAACCTGATGTTCAAGGACCTACCATTTGTAGTCAGTTCAGAGACAGAAGAATTAAAGAGATGGAGCTTTTCCTGAAACATACCACTTCAGGTGGTGCAGTTGCATATTTCAGTGGCCCCTTTCTCTACCATTCACTGAGGCCCAACTTAAACAGGATGCAGGACATAGGTTTAGCACTTGCGTGTCTCCAATCACGCCAGTCATTTTCAGAGTGTTGGCTTCTTCACGTGTTACATTAGCAGGTCAATGATTAGCGGCCAAGGCAGACACACAGTTTATGTTCCAACACTATATGCAAATAGGCAAACAAACATGCTGCGTGTGTGGAAACATGACAGGGTATATGGGGAATGTTCCAACTCCACAATGCTAGGACAGAAATGTAACAATGTCATTCATGCATTTGCTATCCAACCTCAGCTCAGAATTATGCAAGGATATCCTGTATTGCAGGGGGTGATTCCTGCGTTGCAAGGGGTTGGCCTAGTGGACCCTCAGGGTCCCTTCCAACTCTATGATTTATGATTATAGCCATGTTAGTATGTCTAAGAGAGAACCTGCAGTGCCTTAGAGAGGAAATTGTCTCACTGCAGCATAAACTTTCACTGTCAGCCGTCCAAAGGCATACCAGTATGTCTACAATTTAAATCCCTTGGAGCAGCTGTTCCTCCTTGGCAGAGACTTGGGCCATGCTGCTGAAGATTCCCCTCTGGTAAACTGCAGTGTATTCTGTTAATCTGCAGCACATGTGGTTCCTTTGTATTTAAGTCCGTCCGTAAAATTACTGCTGAAGTATAAGTGAATCCTGTGTCTATATAGCATAGGTCATTTTGTGGCCAACTATCTTTGCAAGCGTGCCAGAAATCAAGACCCAAGTGCGAGAGTCACTCTGGCACACACTGTAACACATAAAACAGCTGCTACACATTTGTGGTATGTTTTTGCCTCTAGAGAACTGGGCTGGGGGAAAGGCAGCTAGGTAGGGTAGGGAAGGTACTTATATATATTAAAAAGCTACAATAGTGTATTCATTATTTTCTAAAGTTAAGACTTAAAAAGTAATCCTGACCTGAGATGACCTCATAGTATCCGAAATGCCTTGTGGTGGGTTCCCCCCACCCCAGTATCCTTTATATGAATTTCTTAACAGTTTCAGTATTTACATGCTTTCTGGTGACTCATGTCTCTTAGAAGTAAATCCAACGTCAATGATCTAAGTGTAAAATAATGTGTTTTAATGTATGTTTCCCATTCATACTTGGAAAGTGTTCTTAACCAACTTCTTGAAATTCTTGGGGACTGCCTGTAGATTTTTAAAGGTTTGGCATAATTAAAGCTACTTTCTTTGTTTACTCAGAGAGGAAAACTAAACTACTGATGAACAGCTGGGTGCTTTTAGGAAGCCATCTAGCATTAGTCTAGCTTGTCCACACTATGTACTTGAAACAGCCAATCTAGCATGGCAATATTAGAAATTCAAATACATAATCTAATCGCCAAATGGCACTTTAAACCTAGGTTGCACTCGCCACAACAGAATGTCTAGGTGCTCTTTTTTTCAGCAATGGGATTTATTATTAACACATTCAGTCTCCAAGGAAGATATATCAGAAGTGACATTTTGCTTTAACCAGCCACCAACTTAGTATCCAGAGATCTCCACATGGTGGCTATTGGACCCGCACCAGTCACAAAATGCACCTGGCTAATTTCTAACACTGGGCAATATTATATATGGGCAGTGTTATATATGTAATGAGGGCTGCTCATGCAGAAGATCTGATGGTCTAGCACATGGTGTCACTATGGTATCGCATGATTGACTAGTGGGTTGCCCCATCCACATGTCGAAATCCCTTGCACTTGTGCAAGTGATTTCACAATGCTCTTTGCAGTAGTCTCTTCCCATCTCTTTTAAAGATTGCTACAGCAATCTTCAAAGGCGCAGGGGAGACTACTGCAAAGAATGCTCAGCACATGCTTTCCAACAGTCTCTTGCCCCCCACTTTAAAGATTGCTCTGGTGCTCTTTAAAGGGGGGGGAGCGCTTTCAAAGAGTGCTGCAAAGCAAGTGCCTGTTTCTTCATCGTTGTGTGACAGAACAGTTTCTGTCAGAGCCTGTATCTAAAGCAGACATTGGTTCTAGCAATGAAAACTGCATGCTGGGTTTTTTTAAAATACCCCTCCCCAAAATATGTTGATCTTCTTCAAAGGTTGAAACAGTCGGCATGGAGCAGACTTTCCAAGAACATCCTGTCCGTTAGTTGATGTCACCAGTGACATCAGCTGATGGGCAGGTGGTTTAGAAAAATGGCAGACACAGATTGGCCCATTGGCCAGAGTTCCCCACCCCTGATCTATTCAGAGCAGACTGATGACTCGGACTTTAAATCCAACTGAATGGGGTAAATACCAGTTCAGTGTGCTCAACATTAGTGTGGTAGCACTTTGTTGATTATTATGAACTACTGTATGAATCTTTTTTTTATTATTATTATTATTCAAAGATACGGTTCTTCTAGTGTTTGAATGTATGAAAATGTACTATATAGATACTAATTATGTAACTGTTGGGAAGTATGGGATAGGTAGGATGTCTAGGAGTAAGTTCACTTTTCTTGGAATGTAGATGTGTTTCCCAAAATAATTTCAAACCTAGGAGTAGCATCCCTTCTGTTTCTTTGTTTCAGATTTAGCATTGGAGTCAAATCCATCTGACCATCCTAGAGCAAGCACAATTTTCTTGAGCAAATCCCAAACAGATGGTAAGCTATCTTTTGCTCTCTTAAAACGAAGGAGGGGAGGGACATGATAGAGTGGATGGATTTTGATTGAGAAATGCCTCTGTCTCTGTCTCCTTCCACTTCCGTCAAAATACTGACTCTACATCAACATTTTTAGCTGCTCTTCATAGCCATTTTCCAAGGCATTTAAAAATAAGCTTTTAATTCATCCATTCTTTTGAAACACTTGCTACTCATTAGAATGAATAGGAATGATTGCATTTCTTATTTAGGAATGGTTTAGGATGGTTGTCCTATGACCAGTGCTTGGGAAAAAAATCTACTTAGGTTTATCCTGGCAGAGTGTGTGCCTTATAGCTTGAAGCTCAGTAGCTTTAGATAACACAACTCGTAACAGCATTTATTTTTGTAATCACATGTTCTTCGTGGTATAAAATTTCAGTGCAGTTGGATTAGCTCAAACTTAGCAAGTAAATGCTTAAAGCAGTGCTCTCTAGTGATGAAATACCAAGAGTCTTGAATGCATTTTCCCTCATAGGATGAACTGCTGCAATAACTCCCTAGCCTTTGCAGAGCAGAAGGTTCTGTTGCTTTGAGTGGCACTAACTCTGTGTAAACCTTTCTTGTATTGGGAGTAAATGTTAGGTTTCCCAAAAAAGCAGCATAAAGTTAAGTTGACACACCCTGGAAGTGATAAACTGTGCTCAGCTGAAAACTGAATTATTGTCGGATAAACCTTGGGTGGTATTTGTTGGGTTTGAATGTATACTCCTAGCAATTAAACAGATTGCATTCTAAAATACAGAATGTATTTAGAAGTTGAAGCATTCATTAATAAAACTGTTCACTCCCTTTTCAGTGAGAGAGAAGAGGAAAAGCAACCACATCAACCATGTAAGTACATCTAGTAAAAGAAAGGTGTAAGCAAAAGCCCAGCTAGTTACATGCAGGAAATGGCAGCAGTGAGCTTAAGAGTTTCACTCCTTACTATTCCAACAGCTTACTTCAAACGTTTAAACCATTCACTGCATATTTAAGTTCCTGCATTGCAGGGGGTTGGACTAGATGACCCTTGGGGGCATTTCCAACTCTGCAATTCTATGATTCTTAAGTTTCCTTTTTCCATAGCACAGTAGAACACAATCCTAGCTGGTGTTGTTGACTGCACAATGTCTCAGTCTAAGCACTCATGTGATATAATTGTTTCAAGTGCAAAAGCATATTTAATAAGTGAGCATGAAATTTGTCTCCCACATGGCTAATGCTATAATGAAGAAGGAGCATTAATGTGTGCTTCAGTGGGAGCTACAGAAGAGGGTCACCTGTGACTAATGGGATTAGTGGTGATTAATCCATTCAGCATGTCACTTCCATATTTTTTTGCCTGCTCTGTGTTTCCGTTTCCCTTCTGTTTCAGAAACACTTTGCAGCCAAAGTAGAATGGGAGTAAACTCTTAAGCAGAAGGTAGTTCATGTTTAATTTCCGTTGAACAGCCTGTTTAACAGCCAGTTGCTGGAATTCCTGCAGAGTACAGGACTGGGTGGGCCTCAGTCTGAACATTGCATCTTCAGGAACAGTGGATTTTTTCTGAATTACTTAAGACAGATTAGTTATATTTTAAATGTTAAGATCCTGAGGATGTGCTTTGTTTGTTTAAACAACCCACAGGGATTCTAGTACAGTAACAACAAAATATTCTGCAAAACAGAGTTCACCCCTGCCTTAAGATATCTGCTACCAACTTTCACACACTTTCCTAGAATTGTTTGGTGGGATGAGTAGCTTTTTGATGTTCATAGCTTATAACTGTCAAAGTATAATATTGATGGCACACGGTTGTGTAATGTAATGTGCTCATGCTCACTCTCCTAGGGTTGCCATATTCCCAAAAGTGAAAATCCAGACAGAGTTGTTGAGCTTTAGTTGCTGTTTTTTCCCTGATTCTGCAAAAAAAAATTCCTGAAAATGCCTGGATGTATCCAGGAAAATCTGGTTGTATGGCAGCCCTAGGCTCTTTTCCCAAAAACTAAACACAATTAATCATTGGCTTTAAATGGGGGAACATCTGTAGCCTAAGTAACCCAGAATACCTTCCTTGAGCTTCAGCAGAGTCGTTTAGCTTCTCTATGACACACTGCTGGCACATGTTCTTCTCCTCAACTTTAAACATGTCATTTCTTGTGTATTCTCCCCTGCTATTTACAATAATAGCCACAAGGGAGTCCAGACCTGGAGAAGGACTTGCGATGGGCGGCTGGTGTGTGTGTGTGTGAGAGAGAGAGAGAGAGATTCTCTTCTGTGCCATTTAAGTATTTTTCTCTAATGTATCTTTGCTTTCTTTAATAGCATTTTAATGCATAATTCTTAAATATGCAGGTTTGGATGTGGGTGCTTACTGTAAACCCATAAATAGTTGTATTGGAAACCATTTTTAAGAACACTGCTGCTTTCCCCTCCTTCTTACAGGTTTCTCCAGGGCAGCTTACAAAAAAGTATAGTTCATGTTCAACAATATTTATTGATGACAGCACAGTAAGCCAGCCTAATCTTAGGAGCACAATAAAATGGTAAGTACCACTGAGTCTTTAGGGAGAAGAACCATGTTGAACCATGATGAACCATGTTCACCTCCTCTGGAGAGATCAGAGGAGTCAGTATTCTGTCGAACGAGATCTAGTGAAAGTGATTGATTCTGATTTTTATAAGTTGAGCAGGAAAGTTTTCTTTGCCCCCAAAGTACACAAAGTAAAATGCAGCAGTTTTATGAAACCTTTGCTCTGGTAACATTCTGTATAAAACACAGAGTAAATTGTAGCCTCTTGGGTTGGCCTGCCATCTAGTGGCATGAAATTATTCCTTAATTCCTTCAGGGAAAAGTTACCTAATAATTAAACTTTTTTTGTATCTTCATCTTTCTTGTTTCTCTTATGTAGACTCCAGAGCTCTCATACTCCAGCTTCTGTTTTTGCCCTCTCAGAGAATTGGGTATAAAATTAGCTTGTAACTTTAAAATGTTTAGCTGATAAAATATTGGAGTGCTTGAGACAATACAGTAATTAGGAATTAGGAACACAAAGCCCAGATTTGCCATAGATTGACTCATGTAAGTCACACAGTGTTTTTAGGCCATAGAGAGCTGCAGGAGGAAGTTGGATTCGCAGCTGAAGCTGAGAAGTAGTGGAGATTTTAAGTACAACATCATGCATCATTTCAGATTGACTCAGGGTTGCCAGAATAGCAGCAATGAGGGAAGAGTGTTGGAAGTACCCTTCATTTTCCCCCTTGAAAATTTATTTCCCCTTACAATTAATTTCCTATACTGTTGTTTGGCTCATTGACTTATTTTTATCCCTGTCGTATAATGAAATTATACTATGGCTTAAAAGTAGAATGGGGGGGGCACGCTATAAATGGAAAAGAGGTTTATTAAAGAGGACTGTATACTGTTGAAACTCACCAGCATTGTAGGGTGAGCTGCTTAAAATACAGGGCAAGCTGCTTAAGGGATGATTCCATGCAAATGGATTTAGCCCATTTATAGGTGTGGCCTCTTAAAAGTGGAGCCACCACCACCCCGACACAGTTTCCTCCACCTCGGTAATAGAATCTGTGCACCATGAGCATAAATATTCTCAGGGCTTTCAGACTGGAGCGAGCGAAGAGTTGATCTTGCACAGTGGATGTAGGAGGTCGGAGCTTCCCCCTCGGATTCCTCAGCTGGGCTGTGTGGTGTGGTATGCCTAAGGAGCCATGGGCAATGGTGTTCTGTAGCTGTCAGAGCATCAGCCTCTTTTGTCTAATGAACCTTCCGCTACCTCCCACCAGCTGAATGCAGCGAGGACAACATCTCAATCTCTGCACTGGCAGCATCAAGATGTGCCCACAGGTCTGCCTAGAGAGAGCAGCGTCCAGTTGCATGGAAAAGGAGGAGGCACAGTCACTAACCCACCTATCTTGTCTTACAGCAAAAAAAGATAAATGGCCAGAAGATTTTAGCCTACATCATCAGTGTGTTGATACCCTGTATCCCTCCTAATATTCAGTGTTATTCAGTAGTCCCCCCTCTAGTGATATTTGTGTACCGCTTGGGGTCTCTTGGCCAAGTCATCTACACAAGCTAATTCTGTTGGTCATTTTCTTGCTAAATAGATTACAGGTTTAATCCAGATGCTCCATTATACAATCCAGTTCCTGGCATTATAAAGATTTTTTTTAGTCTTAGTTCAGGCAACCTTGTATTAGAGCATGTTGAATTTCAACACGTATATCTTTAAATGAGTTCAGTTGAAAAAGGGAAAAAGGAAGAAGCAAAAGTTTCTAATGTGGTTTTTGTCATAAAATCTGTTTTTATCTCTAACAGCAATCTTGTATCAAAATTAAACTCGTAGAACCACTAACAGTGAAATGACTTTTCTCTCTCCTCACAGTGTTACATTAGCAATATACTATCACATAAAGAACAGGTGAGCACCATTTAAAACTCTTGTTTTGCAAGTCATTGCATTGATGATGACTACAGCTAGCCATTGGTTACTGAAGTAGCTGTAGCTTGTGTGTTTTATTAATTGGGGCTCTCATGTTGGAGAGGCAGTGCTGTTAAGAATCAAAAATTTGTTGCGTGAATATGAAATAGCAAGACTTTAAAACGGGCAGGTATTAGCTACATTTTTCATACCTAAGAAATTGCTGGTGGCTGTAAAGAGCCCTGGGGAATTGAGAGAGAGAAACAGATGCACGCACAAACTTACCAAATTAAGGTCTTGGAAACAAAAATCAAAGTGCAACAGATGCGAGTTTTGCATTCAGTAACTTAATTTTTATGCCACCTTCTGTGCATAATGACTTCATAGATAGGGCTGGGTTGCAAATGCGTGCTCCTTGTCTCCCCACTTTCTATGGCTGATGATGAGCTACTTCACTGCAGGAGATTAATGTTAAATATAGCTCTCTGGGGATGAAGGGAGTCTCTTTGAAGACAGGAGCCACAGTAACAGTCATAACACAAGCTTTGTATGGGCTTCTTTGAGGTTTTGCATCCCTTGCAATATATGCATATTGTAATTTACGGCTATCGGCTCAAAATGTGTTTGCAGGAGGAATGTGTCTTTGCTCCATATGGTTTCTTTAGCACCCCAGGTTGTAACTAGAGTTGTCAAATGGAAGTCTGCTTATGCAAGGTGTCCGTTGCCCAATTTCCACTTAGTCCTCCTTTGCACTCCAACCCTTGGTACCACAGCCCACCCCATTCAGGAGAGTCCTCCGATTTTTCTGGGGGCACAGGGGGCTATAGCGAGGAAGAGATAGGAAAGCTGTGTTCTACTCACACTACTCAAGATCCGGCCACTGGATCCACACACAAACACACACCCTTCTGGCCATATGCTTACTATGACTCATTTGCTCAGACATCTTGTCTCGCCTTAATGCAAGTGCTTGCTAAAAACTTCAAATTTGGCTCATGCTGAGTATCTTGGCATTGAAAACAAGTCTACAAAAGTTATTGATTTAGGGGTGTTTGTTTGTTTGTTTGTTTGTTTGTTTGTTGGGTGTGGATGTTTTGCTTGTTTTGTTTGATGACACTGCCAGTTTTGTTCCGTGAAACTTGGTTCCCAGGACAGTTTCTTAGACTTCCAACAACTGCAAAGCATACTGTAATGCTGCTGTTAAAAGTTTATTACAGTCATGCCAAATGCCTTGGAACTCATACATATTGGCTCCCGGACAAACGAAAGCCGTGTCTTGATTTTCGAACAGTTCCGGAAGTCGAATGGACTCCCAGAACGCATTCTGTTCGAGAACCAAGGTACGACTGTATATAGTTTTATAGCATTTTTGAGTTAGCATTTAGTGCACAACATGGAGGGGAGAGAGTGGGCAAAGGAGCAGAATGCCACTGTATTCTGCTCTGGTCAGACCTCACCTGGAGTACTGTGTCCAGTTCTGGGCACCACAGTTCAAGAAGGACACTGACAAACTGGAACGTGTCCAGAGGAGGGCAACCAAAATGGTCAAAGGCCTGGAAACAATGCCTTATGAGGAACGGCTAAGGGAGCTGGGCATGTTTAGCCTGGAGAAGAGGAGGTTAAGGGGTGATATGATAGCCATATTCAAATATATAAAAGGATGTCATATAGAGGAGGGAGAAAGGTTGTTTTCTGCTGCTCCAGAGAAGCGGACACAGAGCAATGGATCCAAACTACAAGAAAGAAGATTCCACCTAAACATTAGGAAGAACTTCCTGACAGTAAGAGCTGTTTGACAGTGGAATTTGCTGCCAAGGAGTGTGGTGGAGTCTCCTTCTTTGGAGGTCTTTAAGCAGAGGCTTGACAACCATATGTCAGGAGTGATCTGATGGAGTTTCCTGCTTGGCAGGGGGTTGGACTCGATGGCCCTTGTGGTCTATTCCAACTCTGTGATTCTATGAGATAAAGAACAGGGCATTGCCATATTACCAATTACATGGGTAGTCCTCCGCATCCTATGATGTATTAAAATGCTTCTTAAAGAAATGCAAATGCTTATCTTTCAAAAAGCTTTACTAACAGCAGTAACATACATTCTCCTGTGTTGCAGGGATTCTGATAGATCACTGGATATTTTTGATGAGAAATCACATCCACTCACGGTAAATTTGATTACCTTAGTTTGACTTGATTGCTTGAGTGCATCCCATATGAACAGGAATAAACCCTGATACCTAGGAAACTGGTGTCTATTTCAGCTTGCTTATAAGGAAAGCCAGATGTTCAGGAAAATAAGAGAGATTTCTTGTCTCTTAGCTTCTGTGCAAAGAAACATTTCAGTCTATACAAAACTAGAGTGCTATTTGGCTTCTTATACTTTAAAAAGTGATACTGCAGAGTGTAATCCCTGGCCAATTGGTCCCGTTCTACATTCTGGCTGTGGTGAAAGACAGCTGATACAGGTTTTGTTTTGTTGGAAAAGCAGTGTTAGACTTCTATAGCTTTGAGCTGGAATCCAAAGAGGGGTATTTATGAAAAATATTTACCCATGCTCATGAATCAGTTTCTCCCGTCTGGTGGTAGCTTCTTGAGTCCCCATAGAATATAGTTCTAGATTGTGTCCCCTATTTTTTAGAGCAGCTAGGGGGCTCCAGTAGGAAGAGGCCTTTAAGGAACTCCTGTGAGCATTCAGCCATTTGGATTCCAGCCTTTGTATATAACCCACTGACCTATTCATGCAGGATATTTTCACGGTACTAACAGCATGATCCTGTGCATGTTTGCTCAGAAACAAGTCCCGCTGTGTTCAGCTTAACTTTTAAATTACTTCTGAACTGTGTCCTGTTTCAGCGTGAAGAGGTTCCAGATGACTACTTTAAACATGACCCTGATCACAAGCACATCTATCGCTTTGTACGTACCCTGTTTAGTGCAGCGCAGCTGACGGCCGAATGTGCAATAGTGACACTGGTAAGCCTTGGTGGTAAGCCCAGTTACCACCATCTTGCATTTAAATTTTGTTTAAAATCAGGTTTTGTGAGTTAGATTCATAAGAGTCATAGGACTGTAGAGTAGGAAGGGACCCAAAGGGCATTCGAACCCAACTCCCTGCAATGCAGGAATCAGAGATGGAATTAAGTATGTCTCACGTAATGACTCCTTGTCATTTTTACCTTGCAGCAGTCAGAACTTGATACAAGAAATGCACTAGGCTGATTGCAGCAGTGTCAATAAGCTTGCACCTAGGCTGCCTGTTTGATAACTGTTAGACAAATCCATTGCAGAGGTGGGGGGGCCTGTTGCCTTCCAGGTGTTGTTGGACTTTGACTGTCCATTCGGCATGCCAGTGGGAACTGGAGTCCACTCACATGTGAGGCTACTTGATTCCCCCATCCCTTCAGTTCTCTTGTGCTGCAGAAATAGAGGGTAAACGCATTGGGCTACATCTTCTGAATTTGGAATACTTGTGCAGGTAAGTAGCTGTCTTGTAGCCAGTAAGTCTGTCATGACTCAGAACTGAGGCCCTGTTTCAGTGTAAGATTTGCCTCCTCTGCTGTGTTTTTGGAATGGTTCCTGTGAAGTCCTGCAGGTGAAAAATTCCACACTGCCTTCAGGAATCTTTCAGTAAACTAGAACTGCCAGAAATGGAATATTTTGCTTCCAGTGCTTTTCTGTATTGAAACAATTCCTGACAGCACTATGCGTGTGTAAGACTCTAGGAATTCTTCTGAAAGCATTCTGTCGTGCAAGAAAGCAACCGTTAAAAAAATTGGTCACTTAAACATTAAAAAGTTCATCTGCCACTAGTTGGCACTGTTTCACCATGGAAAGGAGCAAAAGTTTTCAGTCAGTTGGGAGTTACCTTTCCCGCCTTCTGTACATGATCTTGAAGCTGAAAATATGGCAGTGCTGTGTGGTTGCTTGATTCTAATGTGTTTTAGCTAATGGAGTTCATTTTAAATTGGTGAATAAAACGTATATGTAGATGTGTATCATGAATGTACAGTGAGTGTAAACTCTCAAACACTCGTGAATAGGGAGCATATCAGTAATGAAGTTAGCAGTGATGTTGAGTACCGTATTTTTCGCCCTGTAGGACGCACCGTCCCATAAGGCGCACCTAGTTTTTTGGGGGGGAAATAAAGGGGGGGAAATTATTTCCCCCCCAGGCGCGGGGCTGGGGCGGGGGAAGCTTCCCCCGACCCCAGCCCACAAACAGGCAGCTCTCTGCAAGCCGTGGGAGCCCAGCGCTGGCTCCCGCTGCTTGCTGAGAGGTCCGCGAAGCCTGGACGCGCTGAGCTCAGCGCGCGCAGGCTTCAGCATGCAGGCAACTCTCCGCAAGCAGCGGGAGCCCAGCGCTGGGCTCCCGCTGCTTGCGGAGAGGTGCGCGAAGCCTGCATTCGCCCCATAGGACGCACACACATTTCCCCTTCATTTTTGGAGGGGAAAAAGTGCATCCTGTAGGGCGAAAAATACGGTAGTTTTGATTAGTCTTGGTTAAGAAAAATGCGAATTCTTAAAATGTGCAATCCTTTTTTTATTCATCTTCACTTTACAATACCACCCTTCATAGTGAGTGCAATATGTTTGGTCTGCTTGAAAACAAAAACATTTCTGGTGATGTAGATGGGAGAAGTTGCAGGAAATCAGACTAAAACTACTCCTTCAGGTGTTTGACTACATCATAGATTTTACTTGATTGAAACATTTACTGTGCATGCCTTATTAGCCCTATTCTGGTGTCCTTTGCTCCTGTGTTGAACAACATGGAAGCAAGGATCAGGATCACGCCAAGTAGCCCTGCCCTGGGTTTTGTGTGTTTCTGCTTTGACGGCTTTCTGCTCAGTGCAAACATCAGTAGCAAGGGGAACCTCACACATATAACCCTGAACTGTTACAAATTCTGGGGATTCAAGCATAGTTGTGAAACCTCTTTGCTACAGATGTGAATGCTGTGTGCATGGACATCAGAGGAGACATGCACAATGTTGAGGGCAAAGGGCTAATCTAAGCAGCCCTGCTTCTCATTTCCATGTTGCTCAGTATGGAAGCAAAGAACACCCAAAGAGGACTCTTGGGTCATTACAATCTTAAGAACAGTTTTCTTCATCTGCAGGTTTACTTGGAAAGACTCTTAACCTATGCAGAGATTGACATTTGCCCAAGTAACTGGAAGAGAATAGTTCTAGGTGCTATTCTGCTAGCTTCTAAGGTGTGGGATGATCAGGCCGTGTGGAATGTGGATTACTGCCAAATACTGAAGGATATTACAGTTGAAGACATGTAAGTTGCAAGCTTTAGTTAAATTTGCTCATCTGTGTCTTAGTCCAGATAGTTTGAAAATACACCTTTACTCCATGATATATTTAGTATGTAATATGCCTTCAACTAATTCAAATCAGGTTTTGAATGGTGTGCATGTGACTTCTTGTGGTTTTCTTTGTGTAACAGTAGTTCGTGAGCACAATTTTTATCAGACCCTGTAAGTTGCAATGAGCAGTTTGACCCGGGCCTAGTAATATGGTGCTTGTTCTTTAATACTTTTTTTTGGGGGGGGAGACACAAATCCAAACTTGTTTGGTTTTCACTTTAATAGAGCTCTGGTCTTGGAAAAAATGTGAGGACTTCTGCTTCCTATTCACTAACTTAGGCTGAACAGTGTGGAATTTCATTGGTCTTGTTTATCCGAATGAGCCACTGGTACATAGTGCTGGGGAGGATTCGGTGTTCATGGTGCATGTTGGCACCAATGACATGGGCAAATGACATCCTGGAAGCTAAATTTAAGTTGCTAGGTTGGATGCTGATAGTCTGGACCTCCTTTGGCATCCAAGGGTCCAACCATCTCTCTAGACTGTTTCCTGCTACTGATACATTTAAAGAATTTCTTCTTGTTGGTCTTAATGTTTTCAGCCATGTGTTCCTCAAATAATTTTTTGAAAATTCCTTACTATCTGCTTGCATTTGGGGGAGGGGGGGGTTCGTGTTCCTTTTTGTTTCCATCATTTGGACATGGCTTGAAGGAAGCCGCCTTGCCTCCAATAGCTTCTTGGACCCTTGCTTGTTAAACAGAACTGGCCATGATGGACCAGGAATGAGACCTTCACAATAGATGGCTCGATGAAGATGTTGCAGCAGCCATGAAAAAGGCAAATTCCCTGCTAGGGATCATTAGGAAAGGAATTGAAAATAAAGCTGCGGATATCATAATGCCACTATAGAAATCTATGGTGCGACTGCATTTAGAATACTTTGTACAGTTCTTGTCACCTCATATCAAAAAGGATATTGTGTTGAAATGAGGGCCTCCAAAATGATCAAGGGGATGGAGCGACTCCCCTGTGAAGAAAGGTTGCCGTGAATTAAAGTTGCAGGCATCTGTGAGAACAGAATGTTAGACTAGATGGGCTATTGGCTTGATCCAGAAGACTCCTCTTAGGGTCTTAAAGAGCCTCATGCCCAAGACTGTCACCCAGCTCCTCCAGTGCAGCAGCTGAATTTTGCTTCCATTATAGATTAAGCACAGCTTGTTGTGTTGTCCAAACCTTGGCAAATTATGTCAACCTTAACTATGGCTTCTTAAAACAATCAGGTTCAAACTTTGGTTGATCTGAAATGGAAGTAGAAACTTCTGCATCCTTTGTGACTACAGCACCATATTCACTTAGCTATGGTTTAGCGTTATTGTGTTGTGTCTGAAATTAATTCTCAAACTTGTAAAAACAGAACACAAAATATTCAGAGGTGACCCCCAAAGCGAAATGTATTTTTGCTTTTTAAAAAACTATTTTCCCCTCTTGTATTTGTAAATGTTAACTCTGAATCTTGAGACAAGCATCTAGGAAGGAGTTGTCCAGCTGCAGCAAGTTGCCCTTTTTCTAGAGTGTGCATTGAGAAGCATGACTTTTAATTTGTGATAAGATGCTTAATGAAAAAGAGAAGTGTTCTAGGCAGATGAGGGAGTTAATTGGGTTTCTTAAAAGATCTGCCTCTTAGTTTAGAGAGGGGGGAAAGATGTATAAAGCTGGCCAACAGAATAATGCATCAGAATTTTCCTCGCACTGCACTTCTGATTCTGTAACAAGAAATCTGAAATGAGGAAAAAGGAAAATGTTGTTTGTTGAAACCCTTTGCCATATAAATAGCTGCTTTAATGGAGTGTCTTAATAAGAGTGGGAAAAACCTCTAGCCACGCAGCTGCTAATCCTGTAGATTACAGTGTGCATAAAAGAGGGGACATGCTGTTCATTCTTGGGCTACATGTGATAGTAAATAAAGCAACACAAACACATGGGGCCTTTTTGCCTTTCCTAGCTTCTAAACCCTTATTAATAGACTTGTTAATCCGGCAAAGTATTGTAATTTTTACACAATTAAAATGTATTAGCGAGCTCTGTACAAAAGGGGCAAATGAAGCCCTGATCAGCTGATCATCCAAACATTATCTGATTTACATTTCTATAAGCTTTATGACCATATGAGCAGGAAATTAATTCTGGCAGGGGGCTTAATGGTCCTCCTGTCCATCCTGCTCGAAGCAGAGCACACAAAGCTCCTATTCTCATTGAGACTTGCCATCTAGATGATACATTCCTCTTTGTTTTCTGTCTCTTCAACTAAAATGCCAATATAAAAAAGAACGATACTTCTCCTCATCTCCCCCCACCCTGCAAATCTTTGTGAGTGAGGAAGAGTTAACAAGAAACTGAAAATTTGACATGCAATTGTGAGTTATGCAGCTCCCATTTTTTATGGGGAAAGCTCTGTTGTCTGGGGTCGATAGGCAGCTTTTGATTTGCTCTGAGTTAATGGGGGTGGGGTGGGTTTTTTGTTTTTGTTTTAACCAGATTTGCTTGAAACTGGTTTAGATATGGTGATAAATCTGGGCTGTCTGGGCTGGCATAAGGCCGCAACTGTTGTCACTGGGATGTGCCTCTGGGCCTGAAGTTTCGCCTCTCCTCTCCTTTCTACACCTTTGCCTTGCGCTTCCCATCATCTCTTGGACCTCTGTGGGGAGTACCAGCATATTTCATTCTACTCTGCATGCTCAGAAGTACTAGAAAGCCCAGTGCTTTGTTCTGGTTTCTTACACAGCAGCAAACACTTTGGGCATAGCTTTTTAAAACATTTTGTCGGTCACATGAAAATCAGCCCTTGTTAATGTTGACATTTCATGTGTTCGGGTTTGAAGACATTTCTTCCCGTCCTTGTGGCAATGCTAATTTGGGCTAGGGGATTATTCTATATTTCATTAGGAGATGAGCAAATGAGTTTAGTGTGCTAATAGGGTCTTAACACTCTACTGTATTTTAAATGTAAATGCATAATAGTGGAAAACGCACACAATTCTACTGCTTTTGAATTGGCAAAAAAAATAGGCACATTCAAATAAATGCAACGTACCGCACATTGTAAATCTGTATTCGACCGAAAGTAGAACCATGCCTTTTGACGTTTGGACCGATGGAGATGTTGCTATGTATCAGCTCATAGTAAGATTCTGTTTGGGATATGAAGCAAGTATTACTTTTGAGACCCATTACCGGTTCTGATTTTTTGCAAGTACTCTTCTAACCATTCTGAAGAGGTGCTGCCCCGCACCTGAATCCATAGGATAGATTTCAGTAAAATAGCATGTAAGGCAGCCTTTAAAGAATTCCTCCTCCTGTCTTGTGCTGATATATATCCTCCCGGGAGTCTCGGGGCGAAGAACTCCTTCGCCTACCTAATGCTGCTTGCTTGCTTATTTATTTATTGCTGGAGATGAATCCATGTTGCCTCAAGAGGCTTTTTACTCCCAGATAATAGCAGCAGCAGCTCTTCAGAGATCCATTTGTTGCCGTGGTGATATGCCTACTTCTTTTGTTGGTCCGCCTCTACTTCAACAAACCCCCTTCCTGTTATCAACCTGGTGAAAATGTCTGCAAGTTCTTCAGAGCTAATCAACAGCACACATCATTCTTTTCATCTGATAACTATAGCGCAGGGTCTTGTAAGAATGAGAATGGAGTATGAATTGTGTACAGCTGTGCTAATGGAACTCTAAAGGACAGCGCTTCTAAGTCAGCAAAGTGAGTGCATGACAGAACATAACCTTTTCTCCCGAGCTGGAGGTTCCAGAATTCAAATTGCATCTAACATGAGCACATTCACTTTGTCCCATTAAAAAAATTTAAAATGTTTCAGATGCAATCAACATTCATTTTCGGGGGGGGGGGGATGTTGCTTGCAACACTGAATAATATTAAGATGCTTATTTTGTCTGCTTCTGTCAACCCCTTTTACCCTAGGAATGAAATGGAAAGACACTTCTTGGAGCTACTGCAGTTCAATATCAATGTTCCTGCCAGTGTTTACGCCAAATACTACTTTGACCTTCGCTCCTTAGCAGATGACAACAACCTGAACTTTCTGCTGGAGCCCCTTAGTAAAGAGCGAGCACAGAAACTAGAGGTAATGGTCCGAGACTTGGTGTGCTGGGTGCTTGGTTTGCGTAACAACAGCTTCTGTCCCTTCTTAATCACATTAGTGTGGCTTGCTAAGCTTTTTTGGTTTTGTTTCGTTGGAGGGTTTAACCTCTTAGTTGCAAGAATCCTTCTTTTTAAAGGTAATCCTTTCTTAGGAGAAGAGTAAGAAAGAATGGAAATGTCAAGAAACCAGACAGAGTTGATTAAGACAATTAGGACTCTGTGTGCTGACTGACACATTCTGTTCATAATCGTATATTACTACATACAGTCTTTTAAAAAAAGGTAAAGGGACCCGTGACCATTAGGTCCAGTCGTGGCCGACTTTGGGGTTGGGGCATTCATCTCGTTTATTGGCCGAGGGAGCCGGCGTACAGCTTCCGGGTCATGTGGCCAGCATGACTAAGCCGCTTCTGGCGAACCAGAGCAGTGCATGGAAACGCCGTTTACCTTCCCTCCGGAGCGGTACCTGCTTATCTACTTGCACTTTGACGTGCTTTCAAACTGCTAGGTTGGCAGGAGCAGGGACCGAGCAACGGGAGCTCACCCCGTCCTGGGGATTCGAACCGCCAACCTTCTGATCGACAAGCCCTAGGCTCAGTGGTTTAACCCACAGCGCCACCCGCATCCCGTTTACATACAGTCTTTAAGGTGTCACTAATGATACCTGAAGAAAGCATGGCAGAGCCTCTTCTTGATCCCTTCACTTTGTTAACTTAGGGAAGAAAAGGACACGTGAATTACGTTAACTCACACCCACCTGCAGGTTCCATATGTCGCAGTCCATATGATGAGCTTGTGTGTGTGTGTGTGTGTGTGTGTGTGTGTGCGCGTGCGTACGTGCAGGCGCCCAGTCCAGTCCTATGCATGTCTGAAGTAAGTCCCACTGGGTTCTGTTGGGCTTATTTCCCAGTAAGTGGATATAGGATTGCAGTCTCAGTGAACTTTGGTTATCTGCTTCCAAAAGGTGACTTGGCTTTGAGCCTCGAAGAAGAAAGGGTCAACCTGTTGGAATAATTTCTGTGTTCCCTTATACTTGTTCCTGATGCTATACCCCTCTCTCTCTCTCTCTCTCTCTCTCTCAGCTGTTTCACTTATTGTGAGAAAAAATATATAATTCTATCCTAGAAAGACATGCATGAATTGTAAGGACTGAAGTGTGTAGTGCAATTGTTTTTTCTCAACTGCAATTATACAAATTGAATGTGGTTATGCTAAGGCTCAGGACACCTTGGTTATGTGGGGCATATCTGACTCCTCCTACCTGGAGGGCTCTCTGTGCAAACAGTGTGCAGAATAATCTTCAGTTGGAGGGAAAGAGAAGATCCCTTCGCATATCCAGGACAATGTGAGCCAGTTTGGAAGTCAAGTAGAAGTTCTGATGGAGTGGTGTGGCTTCTCATATCAGGATATATGTTATCAAAACAAGAACCTGAAAGGTGTTGAACATAGTCCCTGCCCACATAGCTGAATGCCCATTGCTTCTCCTGAAGTTGTGAAAAAGATATGTAATGAACTTGGCAAGACAGACTGAACTACAGTTCTGCTTTGGGTGCTAAAAATCACCTATACAGATTAAGCAAATGTTTCAAAGGGAGTCTGGGTATTGGTTCAAATATACTAAGCAAATGAAGCTTTACTTGGAAGTGTATTGAATGTGCAGCTCTCTAAAGGGACAGTGAAGTTATTTGCTGAAAAGGAGTGTCTGAAATCTTCACCAAATGCAATTAAAGTGTCCATTTTCAGGCAGGTGTGGGACGCCTTTAGATATTTATGGATGCTGCTGCTTAAAGAATGTTTCCGTTTGAGAATTGAAAAACCTAGTTAGTAAATTGGCCTGGAGCCTGCAGAAGAAGCATTCAGATCAATATGAGCCTAGGTTTGTGGTGGTTGTTTTTTGTCTGCTTCTTCTGAATCAGTAAAGTGAGAGGTAATACAATTAAACAGATGCTGAGAGAGGGTGCCTGAGATTCCTGATTCTCATCCTACTGAGCTCATATTTCTGGCTTGAACATGTTTTCTAGGCTATCTCCAGGCTGTGCGAGGACAAATACAAAGATTTGTCAAAAGCTGCTATGAGACGATCATTCAGTGCTGATAACTTAGTTGGGATCCGCCGTACTAACGCCATCCTCTCTTGAGCAAGATGGAAAGCTGCGATCTTGTGGCGCCAGGATTCCTATCGGCCGGGGATACCACCTCCACTCCAAGCTCACAAGTCAACAGTGATGGCGTCTTCCAGCCAGCGGACAGGGTGAGCACAGCAAGCCAAGGGAGCCCAGAGCCAGAGGAGCATGATTCCAAGTGGAGGGGGGGGGAGAGATGGAACCTCTTTCCAATGGTCACACTCCATTAAAAATCAAGAGGTTAAAAAACTTTTGAGTCTTCCCCCCTTTTCTCCTCACTGTCCCTCACCCCCCCCAAACCCCCCCCACAGATGTTTGCTTACTGTGTAGGCCTATAGCTGTGAACTATGTGAGTTTTTAATAATGACTAGTTTTACATTTTAGAATTTGAACATTAACACGACAGTAGTCGCGACGTTCTTCCCCCTCTCAGTCATCCAGGACCAGACTGCAGTTGCCTTTCAGTGCAGTGTTAAATGCTAACACAGTATAAAACCAGTCTGGGACTAATGCTACGGCATTGACCAGTGAAGGGTTCTTCCCTCCCTCCCCTCACCACACATTTACTAGCAAGACTCTCGATTCCTACACTGGAGTTCAGTCAAAAGACCAAGGAGCTGCGGAGCAGCAAGCTGCGCTAACTGTTTAAATGCAAAACCCGACACTTGAGATGGTCAAGGGACTGGAAACCTTTGGGGGCAGGAGCAGAGAAATGGTCTTCTGTGTTCACTGATTTGAAAGCCAGTTGGTCAGGGTCCATTTCTTGTCAACTATGGTGCTTCTCACGTTCTTATACTTCTAGTTGATCCCTGGGAGAGACGCAGTCTGCCTAATACACTTTCTTTTGCCTGAAGCGCTGAATAGAGCTTCATTGAAAGCTTTGCCTGAACAAATGTACTGACTTGGCTATGAACAGACAATAAGGCTGCTCTGCTAAACTCTTCCACTACAAACAATGGATATGGAGCAAGGTTTTCTTTTGTCCCGTGCTGCCAAAAAGCTTTAAATTCACAATGGAGAACTATTTTGAAGGTGCTGGACGTGTTGATGAGGGAGGTATGATGATCTTCAGTTCATATCATTACTCTTTTGGAAACACTTTTTTCCCTTTTAAAACCCAGTATATAATGTTCCTTGCTCTGGAAGTGAACTTCTAAACATTGGCTTTTTGTGTAAATTAATTTTGCTTGTCCAGAATGGGAATTTGGGGTGAATCAAGTTTTCTGCTCCTAAAAGTAGGAAGCAACCTGGATTACAAACCTTCACCACTCCAAGTCAAATGATCTAAACAGTTTATACATTGAAAGCAGTCCCTATTGCAATCTGGTACCTTTTGCTATTACTTAATATCCAGCCCAACTTGCTTCTTGAATTGTCAGTGGCACTTGGACTGTTAGGCCCCATCTGCATTTAAAGCAGTATCATACCACTTTAAACTGCCATCATTTCCCCCAAAGAATTCTGGGAAGTGTGGTTTGTTAAGGGTGCTGAGATTCATTAGTAGACCCCTTTTCTCCCTACAGAGCTACACTTCTCAGAGTGGTTTAGCAGGCAATCCCTCTTTCCAGGGACCTCTGGGAATTGTAGCTCCTTGAAGAAAATAAGGGTCTTCTAACAACATTCAGCACCTTAAGAAACTACAGTTCTCAGCATTCTTCGGGGGATGCCATGACTGTTTAAAGGGGTAGGAAACCGTTTTAAATGCAAAGTGCAGATGGAGCCAAAGTCTCATGCTGTATTTTAACCTACCAGCTCTAGGCAGGCATTCTACAGAGTCTGTGATTTCAGGTATTAATCACAATTCAGTTTTGAAACAAACGCTACATCTTCAGGTGGCTTTCCTTTCTCATGTTTGTATTAAAAGAGAAGCTAATAATAAACTCTATTTTAATTAAGATCAGGTGGAGTTAGTGTGCTTTGTATGTCTCTGTCCCAAGTTTCTTGGATAAAAATGTTCCTTGGGAGGAAATGTAGAAGAGCCCTGAACCAAGGTGAACTGAAATAGCCTTTAGTGGTGCCTGCTAGATTGCATCCAATGTCTCAATGTTACCACAAAAGTTTTCTGCCTGATTTTTCAGTCCAGAAGACTCAATCCAGAGCAGTCTATGCTAATCAAACAATGAAATCAGTAGTACCAAATCAACGACACACAACAGCCTCTGCATAAAGCAATAAAAACAGCTGGATATAAACATTCACAAGATCTAGAAGGCTAGATCAGGATGTGGAATCTGGCTCTTCACAATGATAATGGGCTTCAGCTCCAGCCAGCATTCCCAGTTAGCAGCAATAATGGGAGTTATAATCCAGCTATATCTAGAGGGCCATAAGTTCCCCATTCATGGTCCGGACAAATAAAGCCATATTTTCTGGCATCAAAAACACTTCTCAACCTCAGAGGTGTCCTGCAGAGAGCATGCCATACATGGGGGCAGCACCACTGAAATGATGCAATAGCCATCTACCACTCTCCTCTCCTCTGAAGGTAAGGGGGACTTGGAGAAGGGCCTCTGAGCATTGTGACTTTTTAATGATGTCTCCCACCTTGCTACTAGGCACGAGGAAGATAAGAGAAAAAATCTTTTCGTCAAAAGCATATTCTCAGCGGAGAGTCTACTAGTTTTGCCACTGTGTGTGTACTTACTTGGGAGTAACTTCCCAAATTCATTCCTGGAATGTGAAGCAAGCTGGAAATGCCATTCCAAGGTGTCTAATGTTGTCCAGCTAGCCTTTAAGTAAAAAACTACAGAGTAAATTATTAAACTAATTTCTGTCCACCAGAACACAATCAAGCTTTCCATGAACTCTTCAAGCTGATCATAGTGCAGCTTCAAGTAATATAACTGCAAAATGTTCTTTCCATTGGGAGCACACGAGGTATTCACGTCCAGTAGGCATCCAGCAAGGCGCCAGACTTGAATTGCACTTTATTCAAAAAGTGCTTATTCAACAGGTGGGTGTGAGTAGGGACAAGCTTAGTGAGAAAGTAGGGCTTGAAGGAAAAGGGTAGACTCCATTAGCATCTATCATAACATTTTGCAACAGCACCCTGTATGCAGCTGCAAGGGGGAGCGTGTGCATTTTCACTTACCAAATAGACGGTTGCCACTGTTTGGAGAGGAGGGCGAGATGTCGCACAGTTTACAATGAAAAGGTATATTCAGAAAGTAGAAACCGTACAGTAAACGGAACATCTCACACCCTGCCAAATTCATCTGTGTTCTCAAAGTGCTGTAGTGAAATTCCATTTGAGTTGCTGATTCAGTGATAACGTCCTTCTGATACAGGAAAGAGCTCTTGACAGCGAATGGCGAACCAGCAATGTACGTGCTAGTTTCAGCGCAAAGTGTTTCTCGTATGCTCACTTTGCCACGTGAAGATACGTTTTTGAAGAGGAGCCCAACCTTGCCCATTCATTCATAGGTGCTTAATAGGAAGTTCAGGGACTGGTCAGTGTTCAGCTCACTTGATTGCTGCTGCCATATTGCCTCTTGTGTATAACCGTTTGTTTTTGTCTCCAAGGCAATTACATATTGAAACCTCTTCAAATAGGTTTGCCAGGTAAAAGGACCTGCACTTGAACAGCAGAATAAATGTTAAGGGCTGCTGCTTGTTGCTGAGTAAGCAGGTAGGTGTCAAGGAAGGGAAAGGAGAGAGAGGAGTGTTCCAGTAAAGGTGAACAAGTACCTGCTAAAAGGCTTTGTTCTTAAGTGAGGAAACTGTTGCTCCTTGTACTGGTGTGGTTGCTTCTTGGGAGAGGGGTGCCCAGTGACCAAAAGTGGCAAAAGCTTGGATCTAATTGTGAGTGGTGCTTTTTCCTGACATAGCAGGACACCTGGGTGCTGTAGACAAGCTATAGGAAAAATGGTAAATCTCTTCTGGATGTGCTGGACTCAGCCTCCACCTGACACTTGAGTAACAACAGGAATCTGTTTGATGGTTAATGGGTCTGTATTTCTGTGATCTAAAGTCATTTGGGCATACGTGTGTTTGAATTACATTTCTCAAGGAAGCTAGGAGCCGCTTAACGCGGGTATTGTGGTGGTGTATATGGGACTGATTCAAGGTCATCTGGAAAGATGCAGGGCTTGAGCACAGATCTTGACCTCTCATTCTTGACCTTTTCCACTTGCCCTGCTTCCTTCTGATTCGTTGCTTCCTGTGTCTGAAATGGGGGGGAGCAGCAGCGATGCTGGTGAGAAGATTGTTTTGCCACCAAGATAATGGAAGATGGTACACTAGAACATAGATGTATTTTAGATCTTAATCACTAATCCTGCCCCCCCCAAGAAATCAAAAGCAGTGACTTCAGTTCGTATCAGGTGTTTCTGGGCATTTGCCGGACTTGAGAGTTTGGTGCCCCTGTTCATAGAATCTTCATGTAATGTTAGTTTCTGAAAGCTCTGCTTGTTTTCTGGAGCGAACAAGCAGCAGAATTCAGTGTGGGCTTAAACTGGTGAATGGAGCAGGTCTCCGTATATATGTGCATAAAGGCATAATGAGCAAGCTGGATGGACCGCCATCTATGACAGCTAAAAAATGAGATGCTTGAAGCATTCACAAGGTTGCTTCTGGTAGGGCGCCAGGTTCCTGGGTTAGTACATAACTGCCTTTTTTACTTTTTCTCCCTAGGAACGAAAAGCCCAGCTCCAGATTCTTCTCCACTTCTTAACATAGATACGGGGATAGCTTCAAGCTTTGCAGCTTGAAACACACTTAGGGGAGAGGAGTATTCTGTGTTTGCCTAGCTCTCTTGAGAGCCGGTGTGGTGTAGTGGTTAAGAGTAACCAGTCTCGTAATCTGGGGAACCGGGTTCGCGTCTCCGCTCCTCCACATGCAGCTGCTGGGTGACCTTGGGCTAGTCACACTTCTTTGAAGTCTCTCAGCCCCACTCACCTCACAGAGTGTGTGTTGTGGGGGAGGAAGGGAAAGGAGAATGTTAGCGCTTTGAGACTCCTGAAGGGGAGTGAAAGGCGGGATATCAAATCCAAACTCTTCTTCTTCTTCTTCTTCTTCTTCTAGGCAATGCTGCAGCAGTAACAGCAGCAATCTTCCTTCCAAAAAACTGTAAGACATGTCTGTATCTCTCTCACACACAGTTATCTCTGTGTGCGCAAGTGCTGAGCATTATCATAAGTGAGCATACTAACCCCTTCCTTCCTTGTATTTTAAGTCTCTTCCTGAGCTCTTCCAAAGATTTAAGACCGAAAGAGGGATTTCCTTCAAAGGAAGGAAACTTCCAGTTTGCCTCATGTGCTGTGTTGTAGTGGAGAGACCTTTGCTTACAGCACCGTTTGTGTCTCACAGCAGCCCTGGGTGATAAACTAGGTTCGTGAGTAATAACTAATCAGTGCTCCTTGAGCCTTACCTAGTCAGCTTTGTAATGGAGCTGACGTTTGAGCCTTGGTTTCCCCCACACATACAATGTAAGACCCTTTAACCGCCACAACCCATTGGCACAATCCTGAAAATACATGCCCAAAATCTGAGTGACAGCAAAGCTACCTCCTTTTTTAAGATCTGTGCTTTTTATCCTGCCTCATGCAGGGTTTCTTATCTTCCCTTGACCTGTGTTATGGCGAGAGGGAACTGTCTTCCCCTGTGTGTGTTAAAAGACGTCTGATAATGCAGAACAAGGGGCCACTGCAAATGAAACAAATATTTCTGTGCCTCTTCACTGGACTTGAGGGCAGTGTGGACGAATGAAAGATGTACGTTGTGGTGACATATTAAAGACAATGTGTCGTAGGCGAGGGGGGAGATGGGCATTATTCCTTGGATGGGAAGTGCAAATGGTTAGCTGCGATGCAGCCATCTCAAGGCATTGCCTTCCTACTCGTAACAGTCTTCTGAGCTGGTTCCAGTACTTTTAGGAGCTGCATAAACGGTAAGGACATGGGCAACAGTTCTCGTTTCTCCCTTTGTGAGACGTGAGCAAGCAACGCACATGGTTGGCATATTAGGTTTTTTTGCTTTTGTCCTTTTTCTAGTGGCCTTTGGTTCCTTGAAATGGAACATCACACCCCAGGATACAACTGGTTGGGGAAAGGCTTGCCTTTGGAATTTTGAATTCTCATGCAATTTCAAACTCCCTACTGCCACTGGCCCCTTGGTAAAGACGTAAAGGATGCTTACAACCTTCTAAAAAGCAGGATACAAAACAATTTGGGGAGTTGCTCCTTTAGAATTTCAGAGAGAATACTTTTTATTCTTAAAGAAATGGCAGACCTGGAAGTTACTGAACTAGGATTCCACAAGTTGAATCCCACTGTGAATTTACTAAGTGGCTCCAGGCAACTCAAAACCTTTAAGCCCCATCTGCAATATGGGGGTGGTAAGACCAACATTAATCATCTTTACAAGCCTGAATACAATGGTATATTCGAAACCATTTGAATGCATATATATGGTGACAGTAGCAGTACTTGTACGCAGCAGCAGAGACTGCCTTGCATCTACCTAGAATAGAGGTTAGTCACACTTCATGTTTCGGAAATATAATCACGGTTGTCTCTGAAAAGAACTTGGGAGTGCCTTGTTAATTTTCACACTGCATTTGGAGTGGTTTGTCTGGCATGAGCCATTTTTAGTTGTGCTGCTGTTCAGTAAAGACTGCCTGCTACAGTACGTGAATTCAATATGCAAGCCTAGTTGGTTGCATAAACCAGTCATTGTGTGATGACAAATTAAAGGACTGTGGGCTCAGTGGCAGTCCATCACTCAGCTGCTGGGGGCTCTGGTATTCAGTCTCTCCACTGTCTTGGTAGCTTTTCTTCTGCTCATGTATATATAGCAGTTTCAGACTCAAACTGCTGCTGAAATCTTGATTTGAGAAAATCATATAAACAAGGGGGTATCTTGGATCAGTTTTAGCTAGCAGGAGCTGGGATGAGCTTTTTAAAAAAAGTGTCAAGTCTATAAAGTGGTCATTTGTTAATTAAGCTGTGTTTGGCTTAAAACTCTTTTGGGTTAACTCTTTGGCACTGCAAGCATTAACCTCCTAGAAATGATGCGCTGAGGAAGGAATTCCAGCCATGTTCTGTGGAAAAGGTTCTAGGCTTTTCTCCACTTCCAAGCCAAAAGCCTGTTACCGCTTAGCAGAACTTCCTTGATGGTTTTATATAATGGTTCTTTTACCAGACAGAGAATACATTCCTGTAATTTTTGTTTTGTTTTTTCAGTTCACCATAATCACAAACTGGAAAATAAAGCTATGGTTTGTCTTTGTTTTCTTGCAACTCTGTTTTCTTGGGTTTCTTTTTTTATTTGCATAAAATGTATGCCGCAGTTTGTTATACTTTAAAAAGATCCTTAAAACGTTGGCCCTGGAATGAACAGGATGGAGAACTTTTCGAAAGCCACTTCTTATCGAGTTGCTGTGGCTTGGGATTCTGTTACACTATCTGTCCCTGTATAATTTCTATGCAAAAGCTGGAAGTTTGGTACAGAGCTTTTGAAAAACCAAGCCCATCATTAGCATTTTCTTTAAAACAGCCCTGTATATCAGAGTACAACAGCTAGTGGCCTGTGAAAGGTAAAGTTGCATGCTACAGACACACACACACACACACAGAGAGAGAGAGAGAGAGACTGTTCACTTTTCATATAGAATTATTCCCTAACCATGCTTGCAATAATCATGTTTAGGCATTTATTAAGGTGGCAGTTTGAAGTTGGTTTATTTCCTCTTAAAGCTTTTTACAGAATCAACGATGTCTTTTCCTTTCATTTTTTTTTTAACATCATTTGGCATGGTATTTTCATAATCATATTGCAAGTAGTATGTAAAAGCTTCATCCCTCCACAAGGCACAACTGAAAAAAAGCAGCCTGACCCAAGCATGAATCCAGTATCAAGTACAGCCATTTAATGCCCCGGACTTCCATCCTGTTTATCTGTATCCAAAGCTGCCTCTTTGTCAGTGAGAATTTACAACCTGCTTCCAACCCGTATCAAAAGTTCACTAGAGATTCAGAATATATACAAACTTAATTCTTTTAATACAAATATTTACATACTATAACTACACGGTGCAATTCTGTCTTGGAACATGCCGGTGTACACAATGTCTCAATGAAAAAGAACCCTGTAAGTGTCAAAACGAATGACAACTTGTACACTGATGTTTTCTGCATTTCAAAAGGCAATGTTATGCAATATATTATGTCCTCCTTCTTACTTTTCACTCTCTTCCTTTTATCATCTGGCAACCGTTTTAGTTTCCTTACCATAAGCAGTCATGTTCCTAAACTACTGCAAGCACAACTTTTTGATTCATCAAGTTATTGCATTAGACTACAAACGTCGTATTAAACCAGTAAGGTTGGGTGACTTTAGAAACCACCTAAGTTAAAATTGGGCCTCTCAACAGCCCATGTTCCATCCAGCTCCTTTCCCCAGCTATTGATTGCAGCCTACCAGGACTTTTGATAAACCTACTTTAGCTGCCTGCCTGCAATGACAAACAGGCTGATTGTCAAGGCCATGTTTTGGCTGGGTGTTTCGCAAATTGTGCAAGGTGAGCTATTTCAAACTTTAACCAGAAGGTGCCTGTACCTTCTAGCAAAGTTGCAACGAGCAGATTTATTTTCCCTGTACTGTATCGCCTTTCCACTAGGTACAGAATTGGGTGGAAATAAGAATAGTAGACACATTAGGCGAGATCAGGATTTTCAAAGCAGTCACCCATACATACAGAAATGATGTGCATCTGCTACAGAGAAATATCTTGTATGTTTGCATGGTTTGGTGAGGAAAGTAAAAAATATACAGCTGGTCTCTTTCTCCCTGCAAGACAGTTTACGTAGCCACTGCCGATCTACTTAGTGAATCAGTACAGTGGTCCAGGAAACTGCAGGTAATGAATGGAAACATGCACAGCAAAGTCTGGAAGAATGCCCTTTTCATTTTTGCACTGAGTTTGGTATAGAGGAAGCTGCAGTGAGGACCAAATCCTGGGGACAATGCTAAAATAAGTATTGGCAATTGAAACCTGCTTACTGCACAGATTATAGTGGGAGGGAGAAATCATGAATCTTGTTAGCATATGACAAATGTAAATGAAATTCAGTATTTTCTACTTCAGTCATAGCTTGGCTAGGTAGTGAAACCAGTTTGGGGCAGAGGAGACAAAACGAGCAATAAATTTGCTCATATGCATTGCTCAGTTGGCTTGGTGTCTCTGATGAAGGTAGAGGAGCTAAGGGCAGTTTAAGCTAATATTTCAAAGAACATCTTTTCCATTGTGCCATTAGCAAGAAATATTACACGATATACTTCTCCTTTGTGGGGGAGGCAACTCCGGTTAACCAAAATATTTATTGTTCTACAAATTGAGGAAAGTAACTCCAACACAGTTTCCACTTAAGGCCATTAATTTCAATGGATTTAAGTGTGCCCTAATGCCACATTAGATTGTGAGCTAAATGTTTAATGCTGTCAAGGTGAACAAGTCATTTCAAGTGGTCTGCACTGTTACAGCATTTAAGCTCCATAAAGCAGCTGGGCAAGGGGGGGGGGACGACAAACCTCACTGCAGCACAACTTTAATAATTTCCTCATAAAGGAAACCGGAAGAAAAATTGCTCAGTAATAATGAATATGAACATGGTTGTTTTGAAGGAGTGATACTGTGCTGGAGCATTTTCCACCAAAGTCCTTTGGAAAGGAAGAATGCAGCCTAGAAAAGCAAACCAAGGATGGACATTGGCATTAAATTGAGTGAGGCTGCCATCCAAAATGACCAATGCCAAGCACAGAGGTATAGCAGTAGAGTGAGCCCTCTGCATCACCATTGTGGCCAGTTGGCAGCTTCCAATTCAGAATCAGAAGTTCAGGCCAAGCACCCCTCTAGCCTTTTCCTCCTGCAGTACACTAGGAGTGGCAGGTCCATAGATTCTGGAAGGAGGTCATTCAACCACCGCCTTCAAGGTAGGTCATTCAACCACCGCCTTCACTTAACTCCATGACACCCAGCCAACTCTGTGCTAAATAAGACTGACAGACACCACAACCGGAAGGAAGGAAGGTGCATATGCCGCAGAAACAGCCAGAGGGGCAGTGGTTAGATCCTGATCGCTGCTCTCTTCTCACTGCATCCACCACAATGAGGCTCACTAGGAGGCTGTGGCGAAGTCACTCAACCGACCTCACAGGGTTGCTTTGAAGGTAAAATGCTATTTGCTCCAAGTTATGGACTTCAAGGAAGGATAGGATGCAAACCATTTTAAAGAGAGTTACTAAACTTGTCAAGGAAAAAAAGCCCCTCCTCTTCCCCCCACCTCCAGAGGAAGTTAGGGTCTATGTCAACCTGCTTCCTGGCTATTTTAAGATGCCAGATCCTTGTCAGTTCTCTGACAAGAGAAGCCGAGTTAAGTGAACCCTGTAATATTTTGGGTAGTGTTAATTTTTAAAAACAAGAGCAACTCTTTAACTCAATGGATGATGTCTGCAAGCTGGAGCTACTCTGTCCAATACTTAAAAACTGCCTGTAGAAGTACAGCCAAATTCCTTCAAACAGTTCTGCCCCTGCACTTTTCCTCTGCCTTCCATGGGCTCCAGAGGAAAAGGGGAGCGTTGCTAGTTCCTGTCCAGGCCAAAGCCTCTCTGGCCAAGTTTCCACCAGCCCCTCCTCTCTTGCCTCCGCCTGCTGCATCCATGTGTATGCTTAACATTTGACACCGCACAGCCATCCGGTCCAGGAACTGGATGTGTCCTTTCCCAGGTTGCACACTCCCTCCGGCTAACGCCCAGCAGTAGCAGCAGATGTGGGAGCTGAGCATCCAAGAGAGAAGGAAGCTCTGGCATCGTCTTGCAACCCTCCTCCCAACATTATCTTGGCAGCAGGCGGGGAGAATCAGAGTTGGAAGAGACCACAAGGGCCATCGAGTCCAAGCCCCTGCCAAGCAGGAAACACCATCAGAGCACTCCTGACATATGGTTGTCAAGCCTCTGCTTAAAGACCTCCAAAGAAGGAGACTCCACCACACTCCCTGGCAGCAAATTCCACTGTCGAACAGCTCTTACTGTCAGGAAGTTCTTCCTAATGTTTAGGTGGAATCTTCTTTCTTGTAGTTTGGATCCATTGCTCCGTGTCCGCTTCTCTGGAGCAGCAGAAGGGAGGGAGCTCCACCAGCATAGCTGTTTCCTGTGCCGCTGGGCTAATGTAAGAGTCTGATCCTGTTCACACTTTTCCCCATCCAGTAAATGAGATGAGAAGAAACCTTCCTAAGGGAAGGCACTGGGGAAATGTTCCAATTGCAGCCACTGCTGGGCAGGTGCGCGTGAAGAAACACAGACTGGAACAAGTGATCCTGGAAAGAGTTGCTTTTGTTCAAAGTGACCTCATGGCGGCCAGTGGATACCTTAGTAAAATAAATGCATTGGCAACTGGACAGAAAAGATGCTGTTTTATTTTGAGAGGTGTGGGCCAGCCCCGCTTAAATTCTTTAAACCATGTTACGTCTACTCAAGACATAAAAGCTCAGTGAGTTCAAACAGTTACTCCACGGTAAGTGTGCGCATATATATATATAGGATTGTAGCCTGACGTCCTGTTGCTTTTGAACAGAGAGTGAGTTAAGCACATACTTAACTTCCCCACTGAAATTGGAAAGCCAAAACCATTGGGCGGGGGGGAATGGTTTGGGAAGTGATGTGGAAAACTTTACCACTTTAAGCAGTAATGGATATCCTTCACAGGCCCAGGTCACACATAATCCTGCAGTTATCCAGTGATAGTTGTGCACATGGAAACCAGCACTTAGAAAAAGGCTTTTTTTCTGGGTTAGGGTTTTAGCATGGGCAGGATCAGTGCCAAAGCCCTAGCTAAATGGGTGGGCGGTGGATTGGCCTCCCCACAAACCTAGGTGGTCATATCCACACCACACTTTAAAAGCACACGGCTGCCTCCAATGAATCCGGAGAACTGTAGTTTGCTAAGGGTGCTGAAAATGGTGGCTCTCTGGGGTGTAAGCTACAGTTCCCAGGGTTGCTGGGGAAAGCCATCCGCTTTAAATGTGTGGTATGAATGCCACCCTTGTATGGAGGCCAAAGAGGTTTGGATTCGTTGCCCGTTCACAAACTGAGCAGTCGAGTAAATCAGAGTTCAGGAGAAACTCACCAACCTCTTTGTAAAGCAGATCCAAATGCAATATCCTGCCCCCCACAAAAAAAAAAAAACTTATTAACAGAATGAAGTTTTTTCCATATAGAACTGAAGTGCTAACACTTTTCACTGAAAGAGGTCTGGCTCCCTCGACAGAAACAAACACACACATAGAGCGCTAGGGATCTACTGCCATATCTAATATTGTTTCGGGTTAATACAGAAGTATCAGCATTTAAGCTGAACAGCTTTCCTTAGAAGGTGACTTTTGCCACTGCTTCAAAGGCTAGAAATGGAGGTGGCCCCTTCTGCAAAGAGGGAGGGGTGTTGATTGTCGTTCCCTACAGTTGCAGCTGTTGTTGTTGGGGGGGACACACACAACACATTCAATCTTATGGGGATTGCGCTAGGGGCACAGCTCTACTTTCTAAAGGGGGGCAGAGGGGGATTAGCATTAACAATACCTTACAAATACATACCCAGCCTCACTCAGGGCAGCCATATGTTAAAAACCTGTTATCCAAGAACCACTGTTTCAGTAGATGGGGGGGGGGGGAGAGAGAGAGAGAGAGAGAGTAGGGAACCAAAACACGCCCAGTACCTTTTCAGGTAAGTCCCCTTACACTCAAGAAGACATACTGCTGAACAAACTTGCAGAGGATCAGACTGCTAGTGTGCCAAGCCATAAATCGATTCTTTGTGGTTCTTTATAGCTTTACCTCTTGAGTAATTCTTCATACCTTGTGTCAACTGATTTTTCAGTCCCCCGAGTCAAAAGAGAATTTGCGGTGAAATGAATCTTAAGAAAACTTGTTGCTGTTATCTATCACCCCACCAGGGCAGGTGGAACTGGAATAGGAGAGACAGAGAGACTGACATCTTTGAAAATGACTATGGGGCTGAAACCCTCTATCTACTTTCCTGGGAGTAAGCCCCACTGAGTTCAATGGGACTTAGTTCTGAGTAAACATGCACAGGTTTGCAGCCCCCAAGCACTTAGAGTGAAAACACACTAAGAAAATCACAGTCCTCATTTGCAAAATGTTGTGAAATCATGTACAGCGCTTAACAAGGACTTCTGGTCTGCATCTGAATTCATGCAGCTCTTCCTACTTTCATTTTGAATGCTGAAGAGAAACTAATACACCAATGGCTTTATGAGACCGCCTGGCAAAGGCATGCGTAAAAACTGATGATGGTGGACTTACGCCATCCAAAAATAAACCTGAAACCAGACTCTGCTCAATCTCAGCTCCACAACTCACCCATTTTGAGCCTCCCTCCAAATTGATACTCCTTTATATCTGAAAACTTCAGTAGCACGTTTTGTTGAAACAGACAGCATAGCGAGAGAAAGTTCTGCTACCAGAAAACTTAACATTTGCCTGACTGCAGCTGCCCACCCCAACCTAGTGGAAAGGACTCTAAAGTTATCATTTCACCAGTTAAATAGTAAGTGTCCTAAGGACCAAACTAGATTGTGTGGGAGACACAGAATACAGGAGACACTTGGACCGAGAGTAAGCTGCCCTCAAAGGATGTCTCTGAAAACTAGTTGCTGGGAATCGCACGGGGCTGGGGCTCTTCTGGCTGCACTCGGGTTCTGCTTGCTGGGCGTCTCCTTGACCACTGTGAGAGCTGGTGCTGGACTGCAGGTGCCTTTGGCTGATTCAACAGTGCTGCTCTTATGCTCTTAAGCACACACACCCCGACCTCAATGGGACTTGCTTCCAAGTAAACATGTATAGGATTTCACTATCCTGAATATCTTTGCAGAAGCCAAAGAACAGTGGATGTTCCTTTTCCTGCCATTTGCTCCTCCTCAGCTGCTTTCCCAATGGTGCGAGGAAATTGATTGGGATGGGGGGGAGGCGGGACTCATACTGAGCGGAAAAACAGCAGGAAGAGAAAGGCTAAAGCAGCCCCTGCCCTTCAGAACTGCATCCTCCAAGACTGCTTTTTTCATTATACCTGGAAACTAATTCACACATACCCCACGTAAAGAGTTAGATCTTAGCTTGCTCCTTCCACACTTCCCCAGGAAGGACAAAATGCATTCCCAAGGCTGTAGCGTGCTCTTAGTAAACCCTGCAATCTTGCAATATGGGCAAAGCAATGTGTCCATTCCCCCAAACAAGCCCCTCTTTTGTGTCTCCATCAGGAGATGGAGCAAAGCGTTTCACAACAGACAGACCAAATGACAGGTTAAAAACAAAGCTCCAGGAGTTATTTCAAAACCTTTTTGCAGTTGGGAGCTCAAGTCACACTGTGCTTACCTGCTCCCAACTACGACCAAGTAAGGTGCTTTGGGGTTTTTTTTGCTCCCCCTCCCTTTTTTTCAGACGTGGGACAGTGGGACTTGTTTGTGGTAAGGAGCAGCGTTGGGGAGGCCACTTCTGGCCGTCAGAGCTGCGCTCGCTTCACTGTACATGCCTGTGCTCCCAGGCTTCCCGCTCCGGCAGCACCTGCTTGTGAAGCGCCTCCAAGACTCGAGGGTCTTCCCCGACCAAATCCAGACCCCTGAGGTGATGCCCACCACCAGGCACATGAAGTACTTCAGCATAAAGACAGCATAGTCTGGCTTGACCTTGGGCTTCTCCCCAGGGCAAGAGCAGTTTTGCGCCGTCTCCCACCTTTCCCGGTAGTGCTGCTCATAAATGTAGCAGGCCACCACTATGGTGGCCGGGACCGTGTAGAGCACCGTGAAGATGCCAATCCGGATCATCAGCTTCTCCAGCTTGTCTGTTTTGGTGCCCCCTTGCTTAATCACACTCCGGATCCTGAAGAGGGACACAAAACCGGCCAGAAGAAACATGGTCCCTGTGAACAGGTACACCACCAAGGGAGCCAGGACGAAACCCCGCAGCTTGTCTAGGTTCTGGTTGCCCACATAGCAGATGCCGGCGACCGGGTCGCCATCCACCGAGCTCAGGGCCAGCACTGCGATGGACTTGACGCTGGGGACGAGCCACGCAGCCATGTGGAAATACTGGGAGTAGCTAGCGATGGCTTCGTTGCCCCATTTCATCCCGGCAGCCAAGAACCAGGTGAGGGACAAGATGACCCACCAGATGGAGCTGGCCATGCCAAAGAAGTAGATCAGGAGGAAGACCACCGTGCAGAGCGCAGGGCCCGTGGTCTCGTAGTGTATGTGGTTGTAATCTTTATTGCAAGCCACGCTGGCGTGGCCCACCACCAGCCGGATGATGTAGCCGATGGAGACGAAGAGATAACAGGCGGACAAGAAGATGATGGGGCGCTCCGGGTACTTGAATCTCTCCATGTCGATCAGGAAGGTGGCCACTGTGGTGAAGGTGGAGATAAAGCAGAGGACAGACCACAGGCCTATCCAAAAGGTGGCAAAGGTCTTCTCGTCCTGGGTGAAGTAGGGCTGGAAGCAAGGGACGGCGCAGTTGCGGACGTGGCCTGTCTCAATCTTGTTGTAGAGCGGGTGGGACTCTTCGGAGATGAAGACCAGGGGCTCCCGGCACTCGCACACCCGCTTGCAGCCGGCCCCGTTTAGCGGGGTCAGGTTCCTGTGGGCACCTTTGGAGGGGCGGGTGGGCTTGGTGAGGAAGGGGGGCAAGGTGGTGGCGGCCTCCGTGCGGTTGTAATCCATGCACAGCATCTCGGCGTCCCCCAAGACAGGCAGCTTGTCGCAGTTCATCCTCTCGGGCCAGGCGAAGCCGTACTGCCGCATCAGGGGAGAGCAGCCCGCCTTGGCTCTCTCGCAGACCGAGCGGCACGGAGGCAGCGGCTTGGCGTAGTCCAGCAGGCAGATGGGCGTGTACATGCTGCACAGGAAGAACTTGAGGTCCGGAGAGCACTGGATCTCCACCAGGGGCCAGAACTGGTGCACCTCCAGCCCGGCCTCGTCCTGCGTGTCGTGGTTGAACTGGTTGGGCATGTAGGTCAGGTTGTAGCCGATGCCCTTGCACATGGGCACCGTGATCTCCTGGCACACGATGGCCTTGGAGGCGGCCGCCGACGGAGCGGGAGCCTGAAGCAGCAGCAGCAGCAGCAGCAAGAGGCTCAGCCACGCGTCGCGGAGGCCGGCCATGGGGAAGGCGGCGCTGCCTCCCGGGTGGGGGGGAGCGCGCTGGGTTTAGCTCTTCGGACCGAGTCCCGGGAAGGAGAGCCGGGGGGTCCCCGTAGCAGCAGCAGCAGCGTCGCCCAAGGCGCACATGATACGAGGCGCCCCCTCGCAGTCCGCTCCGAGCCCCGCCAAGCCAGTCACCCCAAAGTCCTTCAGCGCCGGCTAAAGGCGCACCTGGGCGCTTCTGTTCCCCGGCCGGCCGGGCGCCTTAAGGGGGGTAAAACCCGGAGGGACGCGAGCAACCCAAGAGGCGAAACTCCATAGCAAGGCGGCGCGGGGGCGGCTCTCTCCCGGCTCATGCTCGCCAACTCCGCGCCGGGCAGGCGGAGGCGCGGGCTCCGCTTCACAGGTCCCCCGACGGGATCGCCAGGGAGAAAAGTTTCTTCGGCGAGGCCACGGGCGCCGCGGTGCCAAAGTCCCTCCGCGCGGAGCGCACGCCAGCCATGCAAGCGGGACGCGCGTCCTGGCCCGGCCCGGGGCCGTCACTCTCCGACGGGCAGCGTTCGCCTGCGGGGCTCGGCCAGCGCGCTGGGCTGGCCGCGTGGAGTCGCCGAGGAGCCGCCGCCGCCGCCGCCTGCCATGCCGCCCTGGCTGCTTCGGCCGCGTCCGACAGCCCGCTCGAGGCTCCTTCCGGCCGCGTCTCCCAACGGGGCGCTGCGGGCGGAGGCTCCGGCACCAAGCGCCACGCCGCCCAGGCTCGGGTCGCTGTCGGGACGCGCGCAGCCCGCCAAACGCGCCACCGGCGGCGAATGAAGCGCCCAGCCGGAGCCACCTGCGCTCTAGTGCCTGCGCGCCAAGACCGCCCACCCGCCCCGACGGGGCCCGCCCACCCGCGCCGGAGGCCGGCCGACGCGCTGGCCCCAGAGCCGCCCCCTCCCCGCGCCAGAAAGAAGCCGCGTCGGGGCCGGCCGGGCCGGGAGGGAGACCGAGAAGGCTGCGCCACGACGCCCAAAGACGCGCGTCTCGGCGCAAAGGGGACCCTCTCCCCCTGACCCTCCCCTGAACTGCAATTCCCAGCTCCCTTGGCAAATCCCAGTCCCCACGATGCTTTATTTGAGGCAGGGGTCCTTTAATTGCAAAAACAACACCCCGGAGGGCGGTAGGCACCGCGAAGTTTGCCCCAGAGTAGAGCCGTCAGTATTAATGACCATGACAGAGTTCTTGGTCTGCTCAGCTTGGAACTTCGTTGAATGCCAACCACGCGGAGACTTCACCCCATAGTAAATGGGGTTACTCTTTGAAGTGCCACTAACTTTGGGCACTGGCTGCTGCCACGAGATGTGAAGAAGATGCGCCGGCTGTAAGGGAGACTTAGGAAGGATATGTAACTCCCCCACTTAGCCAACGTGGCTAAATGAAGCCTCCAGGTCCAGCGCAGAGGACTTCCAGCGAATTGCAAATAGTAATACCATAAAATGCAATGCAATAAAAGGAGCGACAACAATATGATTAATAACCAACTGCATCTAGCACAATGCATTAGGATTGCTACAAAAGGCAAGGAAAATAAATAATCAGCAAGATTGGTCTCCACCAAGACCATTAGTAATTTTCAAGTGCTCCATCAGGGTGGGGAATTTGGGAACTGCTGCCATAGAATTTTTGCTGGTCTCCCAACGCGCCACAAAACTCTTGACTGTTTTCCCTTCAAATTGTGTTATTGCTGCTATTTATGTATTTGATGTTAACTGGCACCCATAGCACTTTGCAGAGGAATTTAAGTAAATAATAATAATAATCCCCCCACCAGTCGAGAACAGGAACTGCCTCTGCGCACGGCCTTGATGCTGACATGGAATCTGGCAGCATGAAGGCAGAGCAAAGGCACCATCCTTCAAAGTGCACAAAACCAGAAAACTGCACAAGCAAACTATACCAACCATCTGAAAAGTGTGTGCTGTGAATTTACGGTGGCTTTTTGGCGTGTGCACAAACCCAGAAAACCACACAAGCAAAATTTCAGCTGCCTGACTGTGAGCTTTTGCACTCTTCTTGGGTGTGGGTTTTCTTTCTAAATGTGTGCGCACAGGTATCTCTGTGTGTGCCACCTCATCGGCACAATAGAATCAACTAATGCGGCAGGGACAAACAGAAAAGGGGATGCCTGCTTGCAGAAACAGAAAAGACTGAAGTTCCTCCTCTTACCCAAATTCAAATACAAGCAGGTGTGAACTGCTCCAGTCTATTCTGAATGGAGGAAGTGGATTAACATAAATTGTGCTCAATCCACTCTGTCTTGTAGCACCAAATTCCATAAGTTAATTTTGCCCTTGGTGAGCAAGTTTTTATTTTTTTGTTATAGGAAGGAACCCAGGAAGCTCCTTCTACTGAATCAGACAAATTGATCCATCTCACTCAGCAATGTCTACTACACTGACTGGCAGTGGCGCTTTGTGATTTCAGGCAGAAGTCCCTCCCAGCCCCTGCCAAGAGAGGCCACTGATGGAACCTGGGACTTGCATGAATAGTAGGAGCATTAGCCCTGAGCAAGAGCCTTCCCACAGTGTCTCCCAGTCTGGGGAAGCTCCTGCCCATTGATTTCGAAAAACAAGACAAGAGTTATTGAGGTAACATCAATGCACGAACTATTAGATATTCTAATGACTTCTTTTGTTTATGCTTTATGCTCTTATCAGTTTCTGTAAGTCACTCTGGGACCTTTTTGTGTGTAGCAAGGAACTAATAGCAGTAGAATTTAATAAGAAATGGAAGATGGAGAAACAGAGAGGGATTTCCCCATCCTTGTGATTTTGTGGGGGTGGAAGAAGCATCTTTCAGATATGTGCCACTTTTTGAGACTGACGGAGCCTTTTCCACCCTTCGGTTAGTTCAGAGCATGCAATGTATTCAAGGCTTTGCACACACCTGGCCTCAGCCTGTGTTTTGGAAGTGGTAGGAGGAACCTGCTAGGATAATTGGAGGATGAAGTATTGAAACTTCATATTCTCTAGGTGGCGAACTGGGGCAATTGCCAGCAACACAGATCTAGGGCAATTTTCCTCCTGTGGCTTCCCCTAGCAACAGTGGGGGGCTATCCTCGCATTGTCCAGAGAAATCAAGCCCCATGAAGAGGTGCTAATAATCCTCTTCAGCTTGCAGCACTTAGCACCCCTTGGGTAGGTGCTAAGTGCTGCTAATTAAAGGGCTGTTTGGAAATGGAATCACCTGTGGAGTCCATTGAGATGTACAGAAACAATCTAGGGCTTCTAGTTTGCCCCACACACTGATCTTCACTGGTCCTCCTCCTCCTCCTTTCTGGAGAGGAGAGTGCTTTCCTCTGCAAACAAGAGGCTATGAATGGGGGGGGGGACCCCCATCAACTGGCATCTTAGTTTGCCATCCTCTTACTCATAGCAAGCAATATAGGAGACATAGGAGGAAGTGGATGGATACTGCTTGGCAGTTATCTAGTGCTATACATTATAGAGCTTTGCTCAGGTTCCCCCTCCCATATTTCTTACCTCATTAATGAGAGAAGAGAAATGCTAAATACCTGTAAGGATGGAGAACATCCAGCCCTGCTCATTGGAGCTGGGCCACAATCCAACAAGGAGACAAGGTCAAACAAAGGGTAGCTGATGCTCTGAGCAACCCCACAGACACTGTGTGGGGTCTGCTTCTGAATAAACACGGGCGTGATTGCACAGGAACGCAGCAAGTTCCTAACAGGTATGGGGAGGATATTCAGATGAGGAATCAAGATTTAATTTACAAAGGTTCCAGCTGCCATAATATTCTGATTGTAGCCCGCATGCTTTGTGGGGCATTACATATCATCTGACGTCTTTCTGTGCTCACCGTACACACGCAGGTCCAGATTTGGATTCCAAGCTTGTTTCTGAGGTTCCGACCACGGGAGACAACTCTCTGGATCTGGATCTAAGAGGTTCCAGGGCTCTTTTTGTGGGGGGCGGGTAGTCCTCTGGACCCCCCTCCTCTGTTAGTGACGTAACCTGGTTTTGGTGGCAGCTGGCTTTAGTTCACACATTGAATTTCCCATAGAGCCACAGCAGAATGATCTACCTAGCATTGCACTGTGGGGTTGTGGGGCTGAGGGCTGGGGGGAGGAATGTAAGGGCCCCCCAGAGAGACATCAGATGTGAGCTCTTCCACGGCCACAGTGATCTGATTCTAACTCTGTGGCCAAGTTTGGGTCATATCTGAACTGAATTTAGATCTTACTACTGCCATGATGACCACTACTGATGCTCTCTTCATTTGTCCAAGTTAATAGCTATTAGGCTAGAGGCAATATGTGCTTATTTTTATCCATTAATGTTCCTGTTAGGCTGGTTTTTTTGTTTTGTTTTGTTTTGTTTTGTTTTTTGCTTTTAGCATATGCAAGAGGAAGGGGCACCTACTCACCGAAGACCCACACCTATTGGGTACTATCCCACTATGTTTTACTGCAATTTGAGTGGGTCTGCTCTATGAACATGACAAGCTAGGTAGGTCTATTAATTGCAGTGGGTCTACTCTGAGTAATGCCATGTTGCTCACGTTTCCATGTAATTATTGTTCTGGGAGATATCCCTCTTGTTCAAGAGAAGGTGTATTACCAATTTGCAACTCATACACACCAGGGATGACTGAACACAGACATGACAGAATTATCCCCACCTGATTCACAGGTGGTAAGACCCATGCAATTAATCCTGCGGCCTCGTCTGTGGGTGGCTACCTTGAGCCCACAAGTCGACTTTAACTATTTAATTAATGTATTTCTCACAGCACACTAGGAGTTCTCTCATCGCACACTCAGTTTAAGAATCACTGCCAGAAAGATATCTGCATCATGCCCAGACAGATCCTGCTCACCGCCTGGCTTGTTTATTGACTTTGATTTGTAGGTTGCCCCAACACTTGGGGTTGGTAAGGTTGACGTTTCCTTATCTTAATCCATGCAGTAACTCCCATTTTACAGAAGGTCAACTGAGGCGGACTTGCTGAAGGCCACCCATCAAGTACATGGCTGAGCCAGGGTCTCAGAACCAGAAATATTCAAAAAATGTTACACATCACTTGGGAAGACAGGCGAACTAATGACAGTGTACTGGAAGAAGCAAATATCATTCTTCAATATCAACTTTGTTGGACTGGTCATGTTGTCCAGATGCCTGATTATCATCTTCCAAAGCAACTACTCTATTCCCAACTTAAGAATGGAAAGAATGGAAAGAGGTTTAAAGCTGCTCTCAAGGCAAACCTTTTAAAAATGTAGTATGAGCACTGATAACTGGGAAACACTGGCCTGCGAGTGCTCCAATTGGAGAACAGCCTTTACCAAAGGTGTCATGGGCTTTAAAGATGCTCAAACTCAGGATGAAAGGGAGAAATGTGCTAAGAGGAAGGCACGCTTGGCAAACCCTCACCGTGATCAACTCCCACCCGGAAACCAATGTCCCTACTGTGGAGGGGCGTGCGGATCAAGATTTGGCCTCCACAGCCACTTACGGACTCATTGTTAAAACTGTGTTTATGGAAGACAGTCTTACTCGGCAAAGAGTGATCACCGAAGAAGGAGGAAGAAGCAGCTCAGAACCAATCTGCATGCCTTCCTTCTGGGACAGATGGAGCTCTTTGGCCCACTTTCCAATGCACCTTCTGCAAAGCAGCTCAGCACCGAATCCTCCAGCTTCCTTGGTTTGCGAAACAGATTTTTAAAAAACGTCCCTAACAAAAAAACCCCACACGGCACACCCTGATGCAAAAGCACAATTGCCAAGACAGACCTGTTTGCCATAATCTGTACAGAACCGCGTTACTAACATGTTTTTTAAAAAAATAAAACACACACACGAAACGAAGCAAAACAAAGTGCCAGTCCTAATTCACCTCCAGAGTGTAAACAGCTTGAGAAAGGCTTAATGTTACATCAGTCTGATTTTTATAAACATGCTGTCTATTATGCTGGGAGGTTGGCTTAAAGCAGCCTGAATGGGAGAGAAGGAACACATCAGGTTAGTGAAGTGGAAAGGTTAAGGTACTGTATAACCTATTAACCTTTCAACATGTGCCTTTGTCCTTCCCAGTCTGCTCCAAGAAACTTAACTCTTTCACTCTTGCCCACCACTTCCGCTGTCCAACAGTTGAGTTGTCACTTGCCCTAGATAGAAATGATTCTGTCTTCGCTTGCTCACACATGCCGGGCTACTCCAATCCAGTTGCCCGTAGGAAGGAGTGTTCCTCTACTTATTTATCTTTCACACAGTAACATGCGTTTGTTTAACAGCCCACATTGTTCCTCCAGCTCAGAACAGATAACATTTCATTTCACTTCTGTTAATGGCAGGGGCGGCCCAACATGGTGCCCTGTAGATGCTGTCGGGCTCCGACTCCCATCAGGCTCAGCAGGGCCAATGCTCAGGATGATGGGAGTTGTAGTCCAACAACGTCTGGCTGGAGCAATGTTGGCTATTTCTGAGATCACCTCACCAAAACCTTGTAACTCCCCACCTCTCCAACACCCTCCCAAAAATAATAAAAATACAGTGGTACCTCGGGTTAAGTACTTAATTCGTTCCGGAGGTCCATTCTTAACCTGAAACTGTTCTTAACCTGAAGCACCACTTTAGCTAATGGGGCCTCCTGCTGCTGCTGCGCCGCCGGAGCACAATTTCTGTTCTTATCCTGAAGCAAAGTTCTTAAACTGAAGCACTGTTTCTGGGTTAGCGGAGTGTGTAACCTGAAGCGTATGTAACCCAAGGTACCACTGTAGAAGAAAACAAGTCTTCTGTTCCTTTAAGAGCTTGCAAGAAGGACAAAACGAAACCGCATCTGGAGCTGTCTCTGGCACTGGAAGACATTTGTAAAGAAGTCTCCTCCTGTTAAATTTCTGCTTTTTGACTCAGCTGTTAAAAGACACAAGAGCCCAGCCATTAAAAATAACAACCCCAACTAGTGATCTTTCTCACTTTACAGGGAGAAGAAAGCTGGTGAGTCAATGGAGGTGCAGACAGCAAACTCTCAGTATTTGGAGCCATGGTGCAACATCCAGGTAGGAAGAAATGAGCTGGAATTGGTGTGCTGAACTAAGAACTTAAGAAGAGCTCTGCGAGGATTTGCACAAAATGACTATTCCATCACCCTGTTGCCAGACCCTTCCAGAAACCACCAAGGTAACAGCTATATTCCCACTTGGTATTCAGAGACCTTTGCGCAGGTACAGTTAGCTATCTTCTGTGAATTTGTACTGCTCTGATTGTCATGGTTTCCTCTCAAGGAATCCTGGGAGCTGTAGTTTGCTAAGGTTGCTGAGAGTTGCAAGGAGACCCCTGTTCCTCTCACAGAGCTACAGTTCCCAAAGTCCCCTTGGAAGGAGGATTTATTGTTAAACCATTCTAGAAGGGGCCTCAAAACAACTCGCAGCCCCCAGAACAAGCCTCATTTCCCGGAATGCTCTGGGGAAGCCATGACTGTTCAAGTGGTACAACAGTGCTTTAATTTATGGTGTAAGAGTTGTGAGTAAAATGGCAAGGACATGCAAAAAGCACAGTTCAACTAGAGTTAAATGTACAGTGGTACCTCAGGTTAAGTACTTAGTTCGTTCCGTTCTTAACCTGAAACTGTTCCTAACCTGAAGCACCACTTTAGCTAATGGGGCCTCCCGCTGCCACTGTGCTGCCGGAGCACAATTTCTGTTCTCATCCTGAAGCAAAGTTCTTAACCTGAAGCACCACTTTAGCTAATGGGGCCTCCTGCTGCCGCTGCGCCGCCGGAGCACAATTTCTGTTCTCATCCTGAAGCAAAGTTCTTAACCTGAAGCACTATTTCTGGGTTAGTGGAATCTGTAACCTGAAGCGTATGTAACCCAAGATACCACTGTATGCAAAATAAGTGCCAGGGGTCACATTTCAAATTTTGAGACAGGGTTGGAGGCACCAGTCAAAAAATAGCTGCCATGGGGTGGGTCATAACAAAATTAGAGAGACAACTACCCCCATGCTTACCATGAAAAGTCAGGTATGTCCTGCTGGTCCTGATTGTGAAGATAACACAATATTGATTACACACACACACACACACACACACACACACACACACACACTTATGTTGTCTAATGACAACAGTCCTAGGAAAAATGGTCACCTCACACACAGTTGAATTTCACAGAGAAGGTACCTGCACATTTTGCCCCACAATTTTCTTCCTAGGAGGGTTTGAGACTTACTTAAAAAAACAAAATAATTAAAGCTCAATATCTGGGGCACCTGTGAAAGCCTTTGCAGGCACCCGCAGGTGACCCCTGCCTTTTACAATAGCAGTAACTGGTGATAGCATAATCATCTTAGCATGCTAAGTGGGACAAGAAACTGTTATCTCTATTTAGACCAAATGAATAGAATCAAACATCAGTACTAGATTTAATTCACCTGATACACCCTGAAGTCTCCCTTTGAAATCTCCTTGGCAAATGATCATTCATTCATAATGCAGAACACTTCTATATCCACGGACGCTACTATTCTTCATCAGGGGAGGGTCAAAGGGAGATTAACCTCACTATGATTGTTAAACAGCCAGGAGTTAGAAATCTTTGCGCATCTTCAGCAAATCTCCCAGTTGATCCAGCTCTAACTTCTGTGTACTGCTGTCTTAGATTTTAGAAAACTAAGCCACACTTCAGGAAAGACAAAGGAATGAACAAGGGGTGAGGGAAAGTGTGTGTGGTGACATTTCTTAACTCCTGCCACAGTTAATATTTTACACACACACACCCTAAGACAAGGACACAGCCTTTGTTGGGCAGGGCCAAAATGAGCAAGGGCCTATCCCAGCTGAAACCCACAATCTGTTTTCAGTGACATGGAAACTGCTTACTTTGTTTGTTTGTTTGGGTATTTGGTATGTGTAGTACTTCTTAACAGGAACTTTGTTTTATCAGATGTAGAGAGTGTTCTTGCTGGCCATCTATCATGCTTGCTTAGTTGAGATTCCTGCATTGCAGGGGGTTGGACTAGATCAGGGGTCTGCAACCCGCAGCTCCGGAGCCGCATGTGGCTCTTTTACACCTTTGCCGCGGCTCTGGGGCGGATACTAGCGAGGGGAGGAGGCGCATTGTGCACCCCAACACTCCCCACTGTGGCGGGCGCTGTACTGGCTGTGACGTCGCATGGGGGCGGTGCGTGCGTTAGTCATGCACCGTCCCGACGTCACCTTCCCGTCCGCTACATTGTAAGGGGCATGTACGCTGGTCACTGTTTTGAAGGGGAGTGAAGAACACACACACACACAAAAAGGTAACCTGTTAATTTAATGTTTATTTCTATGAGGAGGAGTAATTCTGAGGGGTCAAACAAAGAAATAATAAAAAAGTGACAAAAAAGTTATTTTTATAATGACGAGTTTTGCGGCTCCCAGTTGTTTTTTTCTTCGGAAACAGGTCCAAGTGGCTCTTTTCGTCTTAAAGGTTGCAGACCCCTGGACTAGATGCTCCTCAGGGTCCCTTCCAACTCCACAGTTCTATGATTCTATAATCTTAAGCAGATTTTCTTAAGGTAGAGCCTGGGTAGCGGTTGCTGTTCCTTCACCTTTTATATAAATAAGATTTCTTAGTTTTACGTGCATTGTCTGTTTTTTCATGTTGTGTTTTCTACAGATCAGTTCCATTGGTTGTGAGACATTAGTGTTACAAACAATGTTATGTTAGGAAGAAAAGGGGGAAAGAGGGGGAAGGGGGGATGGTGAGTGGGGTGGGATTTGGTGGCAATGCTTCAATTCTTCTTCTTAGTGTAGGTGTGGGATTTTTGTGTCAGTGTTGCTTGTGTGGGTTCTCTTTCCTATTTGCTTGTATTCCTTTGGTGGTGAGAGAGACTGAGGGTGGCCTAGGGTGTGGTTGGTTGTCTTTGGTTGGCTGTAGTGAAATTTGTTTTTGTGTGTGAGTGGGGTGTGTGTGTGTGCTTTTGGATCAGGTTAGGCAGCTTGATTTGAATGCTGTTGGCGGGTTCTTGCCGTTGTGTTGTTGGGCTGTGAAAGGGGAACCAAACCGGGGTGAAGGCGTCTTCTTCTATTTATCCCCGTGTCAGTTAATAATAATAATAATAATAATAATAATAATAATAATAATTTATTATTTATACCCCTCCCATCTGGCTGGGTTTCCCCAGCCACTCTGGACGGCTTCCAATAAAACACTAAAATACAATAACCAATTAAACATTAAAAGCTTCCCTAAACAGGGCTGCCTTCAGATGTCTTCTAAAAGTTTGGTAGTTATTTTTCTCTTTGACATCTGGTGGGAGGGCGTCCCTGTTTCCCGGGGACAGTCCCCAGATTTGCGAATAAGTCCCCAGACAAATTCCATCCCCGGAATGTCCCCAGATTTCATCTAATGTCCCCGGGAAATGCAACAGCGGCAGTCTCAGCAGCCCGGAGCAGTTGGCTCTGGCTGGCTTCAGGAGCTGCTCGGAAGTCCCCATCTGATGGTGGTGCAGGGGCTCAAAGGTGCAGCTTCTGGGCTGCTCCCACCTTCCCTGACCCCAGCAACTAAGCTGTGAAGGGAGGCTTCATGCTGCCTATCAGAGCTTGCATGCAAGCAGGAGGGGGCAGGGATCTCAGTTAGGCAACGGGAAGCCTCCCTTCCCAGCTGAAGGATCTCCTGCTTACACGCAAGTAGGAACGGGATTGGGGCTGCTCCGATGGGAAGGGAGGCATTGCGCTGCCTGAGAGATCCCCGCCCCCTCCTGCTTGCACGCAAGTAGGAGTTGGGATGGGGCTGCTCCGAAAGACAGTGTGTAGCCTGCCTTCCCAGCTGAGGGATCTCCACCCCCTCCTGCTTGCACACAAGTAGGAATGGGATTGGGGCTGCTCCGATGGGAAGGGAGGCATTGCGCTGCCTGAGCCTCACCGCCACTCTCGGCCCTCCTTCTCCGCCTTCCATGCCTGACCCACCACACACCACTTCCCCACCACCACCACCAAAGAACCAACAACTCAGGGGCTGCCCAGGCTCACGGAGAAAGGAGGTAGAGGCCACGGAGGAAGGGGAAACGTGTCGGTTGAGGTCAAGGCGGTGGCCGCCTCTCTGCCACCGCCATCGCTGCAGCATCAACATCCCGAACGTGTAGTAATTAATTGAAGTGTCCCCAGATTCATTGAAAAAAATCTGGTAACTTTATACTTGGAGGGCCTGTGCTTTGCACCCCCCTTGAGTATCTTTGCTTGGAGGGAAGTGTTCCTGAACTCTGATAGCGCTTCTCACTACCTGGGATGGAGGGTCGAGAGGGGTGTGTGAATGTGTGTGCAAACTAGCCTAGTGTCCAAAGTTCACGTTCGTTGCCTCACCCCACCTTTCCCTCTGGCCCTCCCCCCCCCAAGGCACGTGGCTCCTGGAAAACTTTCCAAAAAGAAATGTGGTCCTCAGACTGGAAGAGTTTCTCCACCTGCACTGCAGTCACTGATTTACTCCCAAACTACCGTGGTGTTTTGTAGACGGTAAGCAAGCTCTTTGTTTTCTGCCTTCAGTCTTTGCAGTCTGAATCTCCCCTTCTATACTTTTGGACTGTCAGATGTGACTTATTGCAAAATGTCAGGGCTGTACATGTGAGCACAAGCGTGTTTGGTTAAGCGTCGCTTTTCTAAAACAGTAAAGTGACGTCCCGTTTGAGAAACAGCCATGATGAATGATTTTAGGTCAAGGAAAGTCATTTAGTATTTGTTGTGTAAATATCTATCTATTATGGACTATGAGTCTGTGAATTATGCAAGCGCATGTGAAATAACTTTCTCCCTTCCCTCTCATTTATTCAACAGAATATAAATGGGTCCTTCAAATCAATTAGGGCCCTTTGTGTTAGAAGCTATTGTGTACTTAAAAACATTTTTTTAAAATGGGAGCATGCATTATTTACTTAAAATAAGCTGATATTCAAGAGTTGTGTTAGCACAGATGCCTTTTAGGATTGTGGCTAGATAGCTTAAATCTGTTAGGCTGCATCCAACCAAGAGATACTCCAAGTAGACCTGTTGGAATAGATAGCTTTAAGTTAGCTATCTTCAATGGGCCTCCTCAGAGTATGATTTAATCATATGTATAACGCACTGCGTTATAACCATCAAATCATAAGTAGTCTTTTTTTGCCTTGATTCCTTGTACAGATAGCTGCTTAAGGCACTCTCTTCATAGGCACTGGACTGGAGACTAGCGCTGATGCCTTTTCATGGCTTGTGGCTTGCCTGGGCAGGCAAGTCTAGTTAGGTCCTCCAGGCCTTCCCAATTGGCTTGCGAGGCTATTTTGACCAGCCCACACCCACCAAAAGCCCTACATCTGAGGTCATATATGATGTCAGGCAAAAGCACAGCTGGACCGAAGGAGACCTGCAGACCTCATCACCTGCCAAGCCCTGTGCAAGGTGCTTTGACTGTCAGCTGATTGCTGGGACTTGCAAAGTGCCGCGGGTGACATTTTGTAAGTCCTGATGATCAGCTGGTTGCCTGTGCAAAAGCAGGCCACCTGACAGTATTGGGGTGTCAGGTGACTAACACGTGTGAGGCCCTGCCCATCTGTCTAACTTGGCCTTGCAAGGGGGAAGGAGATTGGATCTGGCCTGCTTTAGGAGTTGTAAGGTAGTCAATAAAGAAGACAGGAGTCCTGAATTTTGGGCATTGGCTGCCTGTGTGTTGTTTACTTATGGAGGAGTTGATGTGGCCGAAACCCTATCCCTGTGTGTTTGCCTAATTAATAATAATAATGTTATTATTTATACCCTGCCCACCTGGCTGGGTCTCCTGAGCCGCTCTGAGCGGCTTCCAGCACATATTGTTGTTGTTGTTTAGTCGTGTCCGACTCTTCGTGACCCCATGGACCAGAGCACGCCAGGCACTCCTGTCTTCCACTGCCTCCCGCAGTTTGGTCAGACTCATGCTGGTAGCTTCGAGAACACTCTCCAACCATCTCGTCCTCTGTCGTCCCCTTCTCCTTGTGCCCTCCATCTTTCTCAAAATCAGGGTCTTTTCCAGGAGTCTTCTCTTCTCACGAGGTGGCCAAAGTATTGGAGCCTCAGCTTCAGGATCTGTCTTTCCAGTGAGCACTCAGGGCTGATTTCCTTCAGAATGGAGAGGTTTGATCTTCTTGCAGTCCATGGGACTCTCAAGAGTCTCCTCCAGCACCATAATTCAAAAGCATCAATTCTTCGGCGATCAGCCTTCTTTATGGTCCAGCTTTCACTTCCATACATCACTACTGGGAAAACCATAGCTTTTACTATACGGACTTTTGTTGGCAAGGTGATGTCTCTACTTTTTAAGCACATATAGAAACATAATAAAATGCCAAACATGAAAACCTTCCCGATACAGGGCTGCCTTCAGATGTCTTCTAAAAGTTGTGTAGTTCTTTATCTCTGTAAGGAGGGAGCCACTGCTGAGAAGGCCCTCTGCCTGGTTCCCTCTTAACTTTACTTCTCACAGTGAGGGTACTCCATCTATTCAATTTGCATTATTGTAAATAAAAAGATTACAAATAAGCCTCCATGTCCCCAGTAAACTTTCTTTGCAAGGGACATAGGCTGCCCTAGAACTTCCTACCACTCAGGGAAGTGGGGAAGCATAAAAAACTACTAGGAGTAGCCAACTACGTTTAACTGAGAGTAGTTCCATTGATATGAATGAACATGGCTAAGCTAAGTCCATTCATGCAAATGGGTTTCCTCTGAGTAAAAGCATGCATTACGCTTTTCTGGAGAGCCAGTGTGGTGTAGTGGTTAAGAGCGATAGACTCGTAATCTGGGGAACTGGGTTCGATTCCCCGCTCCTCCACATGCAGCTGCTGGGTGACCTTGGGCCAGTCACACTTCTTTGAAGTCTCTCAGCCCCACTCACCTCACAGAGTGTTGTGGGGGAGGAAGGGAAAGGAGATGGTTAGCTGCTTTGAGACTCCTTCGGGTAGTGATAAAGTGGAATATCAAATCCAAACTCTTCTCTTCTTCTGTATGATCAAGACTAATGTGTATTTTCACTAAATGACAATGATTATTATATAATGTAAAGTTCCTACTGGCCTTCAGCTTTACTTTTGACAAGGCGGGCTGATGTGGAAGAAACAACGAAATCTCTCTGCCCCAAACAATCCAACCTCCAAAGTGCCTTCACCTGGCAGGCTGCTTGTTCTGCAAAGACAGGCTTGCAATGATAATCTTATCTTGGGCTTATCAAGAATGGGAGGAGGTACATGGCTACCCCAAGGGGGCAGGGTTGGCCCTGCCATGAGCCAAGGCGAACGCTTTGCTTCAGGTGGAGCGAGGCCCACCTGCTGCCACCTGTCTCCTAAATGAAAAGGTGACTGGAAGACTTTCTCTTGCACCTGAAAGGAGCTCTGCCCTGGCCACTGGCAGAGAGAGGCAAGTTCAACATTAATCCAAGATCAAGGCTGGCAGCGGCTGCCATCGTTTCAGTTCTCACCCCAGAGCCTCCCTCTCTGGGGATGGACAGAGAGAAAGAAGCATTTTAGGGTGAGCTGAAGCAAAGCACTGTGTGGAGCCCCACAGACTTTAGCGGGTGAGAGCTGCGCTCGTGCTGCTCAACTCCCCCCACCCCTTAAATCAAGGGGCCCTAAAAGTGTCCAGAAGTTTTGGCTGAACACTGAGTCACCAATGTAGCCTTGCAAAACGTGCTGACACATTGACTGCTGTCATAATAATAATAATAATAAATAATAATAATAATAATATTTGTGGGGGGAGAGATGGGGACCTTTTAAAGATTCCCGAAACAAGAAAAACATTGACTCCCCAAAATCGGACCCCCGGATGTCACAGCCATGCCAAAATCTCCACTTGCGTAATTGGCCCCAAGATTTCGGAGAGAATAAAATCCAATTTACCTGTCAAAAAAGTAGGTCTGAATAGGTCGCGGCCAAATGGGCCCCGGGAATGGAGTGCCACTGGCTGTCTCCAAGCCCCCGTTTCGCTTCTTTTCACTCTCCTCTCCACAGGCCGCCCTTTTCTCGCAGAGCAGAGAGAGGAGGAAAAGTTGGAACAATCTGCTAAAGAGGCACAATGTTCTTTGCACAGTTAGTCCACTAATTACTATTAAGCTCTAGTTCCCTTTTGTGTTCCAATGGGGAGCCTTCAATGAGATGCTACCTCTTGGGCCTTTCATGGGGCTGGCCTACCCCTTGAATAGCAGACTTCTCCCCCACGTCTTTTCCCATATTAGTTGTCCCCCCTCCACTCATTCTTTCCTCCCCTCCTTCGCCCCCATTTTCTTCAGATGCCTCTTTCCGCCCCCCCCCACCTTCTTTACTTTTCCTCTCTTTTTTTGTCCATGTTGTGTAAGGCCCTAAATGAATCTTGACTGCCCCCACGGCCGACTGGAGACGCACAAAAGCGTCCCGTTCCCCCAGCTACAGCGCCATTATGCACCCTAACAATGTACTAATTGGCAGTGACAATCGTGCTGTTGGGGGAGGAAGGGATTGTAAGGGGGGGGGGGGCTTGGTTCTTTTCTAATCAGCAAGCCCACTAAATAATAAAAAAATAAGATAAAATAAAGAAAGGAAGGAAGGAAGGAAGGAAGGGGAGAGAGAGGCAGAGAAAGGTATGGCTGGAGGGAGAGCAACACTTTGCAAGACATGAGGTTATTTTGTTTGGGTCAGGCAGAAAAAGAATTAAATCATTTTGGTAGGGGGGTAACGTGAATCAAGGGGGGGTGGTAACGACACATAAATCGACATTCTCTCCTTTCTGCATGGGGGCA